TATAAAACTTTGCATGATCGTGTATGTTAAACATTTTCATATAATTATGTGGGTAGGAATTTTCATTTTATATCTTATTTTTATGAACACACAAACTTAATTTCGTCATTATTATGTCTTCAATGTAATCGACTTCTTTCTATATAAGTTTTTCCTGTTTTTTTTCTTTTTGAATCTTTTAATTTAGTTTTGATTTTTATATGTTTTGAGCAGAAAACAAACAATATCTGTATTAGTTTTATTTTTAAAAAGTACATAAAAAACTGTAAACATATTGAGTTATTTAATTTAAATTATGAGTACAGAAAATAGAAAATATTATCATGAATTAACAAAAAAAATATAGAAAGCACTATCATATTTATTACTATATAACGTATAACGATATTATGTACGGTAAATAGTCCGTGCCTGAACTACGTCTGAAATTCAAACACAATAAAAAATAAATAAATTTCAGCGTTATATTATTGTGGTTTTCAAAATCAATTTGAACTTCACTTTTTAATCAAAACTACCAATAATTTTTTTGAATAATTTATATTTATTCAACAATTTATGCGAAAAGCATATATGTCGAAAACGTATCTCTGACTTCAATTGTACAGTTATATGGAGCTGAATTATATATGCAATACTACAATATTTGATTTCAATCATTGTAATATGTATTACATTTTTGGACATTGAATATAAAGTTGGAAAACTGCGGTCACAACAACAAAATGACATTTTTAAATTCAATTATCAAATAAATTTTTTTTTTTTGGACTGGTTTTTTTATTTTTGTATATTAACGTTGCTGACACATCAACTTTGGCAATGTATAAATTAAACACTGGTACTGCCATATCATTAATAATAATAAAAAAATTAAAAACATGGTTCATGTCACATCAGCTGTGATAAAACAAAAGTTAAGGATGTATAAAATTTTCTATGCTCGAAATACTCACTATCTGTATATTTTTTTATTTAAAATTTGCAGACTTTTATGTGAATAAAGTGTTGGAGCTTTAGACTTTGTAGTATATCCATATATCTGCACAATTAAAGTCAGAATATCACCGAGTTATTAAGAAAATATCTTCTAAAAATACTATATCACACAAACTTCTGTAGACAAAAATATTTTCTATCCAAAATATTTAGGACCCTTTTCTAATATACATATACAAAAGATATATATACATATATATTTATATATATGCATATATATACATATATATATATATATATATATATATATATATATACATATATATATATATATACATATGTATATATATATATATTTATATATATATATATATACACATATATATATATATATACACATATATATATATATATATATATATATATATATACATATATATATATATATATATATATATATATATATATATATATATATTTATATATATATACATATATATATATATATATATATGTATGTCACTTAATTTTTCACAAACATTTTATTTCAAATTAAAAATTAATAAAAAAAAAATGATATAAAAAGCAATATATTAAATAAGAAAAAATATATAAAATTTAATGAAAAAAGAAACCAAGAACGATAAAAACAAAACACAAAAAATAAATAAAAAAAAAATGATGTGAAATTTTTTATATTAATTTGGCCTTATGGAGTCGGTTACACAATGCGAGATATTCGCTACTTCTGGAGAGATGGCCTTAGTAGTGTTGGAATGAGCAGCGAAGTAGAATTACCACAATTTCGTGTATTAGGACACAAGCAGAGGGCGACCGAAATTAACCTTTCCACAGGTACCACCCATAACACTTCTCATTTTCACTCTCTCTCTCTCTTTTTTTTCCCCACCTCCTCCTCTATTTTCTCTTATTTTTGTATATATATATATATATGTATCTATATTTATATACACATATATATGTATATATATTAATATATTCTGTTTATAACATAATTATTATATATATAATATTATCGCTAAACTCTTGAATCTATCGTCTTTCGTTTCATTTCGTTTTTCTTTATTAAAATATTTTTTTTAATCTTATTTTTTATTATTTGCAAAAATTTTGAATTTTATTTTTTTCTTCTTTAATTTTTTTAGTCTGGGTTAGCAACAGTTTTAACACAGTATTGGTATTTTATGTACAAATTTTCATTTTATTATTGTTTTTTTAACTATTTATATGTGCCAAATATCTTGAAAGGAATACAAACACAATTTTTTTTGTATATTTCTTAATGTCAAAAAATCTATTTACTTTATATTAAAACAATTACTTCAAATAAAAATACCCCAGTATAAAATAAATAAATAAATAAATTAAATGTTAACAACATTAATGACAAATATTTTTCAATTGAGCGAAATCGTTTAAGAACACAAAAAATAGAAATTTCTAAACCAGAAGAGAAGTACAAACACGCCGTAAATATAAAATATTATAAAGATTTTATTTTGTCATAGTTTCGTATAATATAATTCTAAGTGCAGTTGTTTTGATATAAAGTTTTGAAATTTATATTTATTGAATTTATTTCTCACCTCCAACGTTATACTTTTCCGTATTTTATACCCTATGTGAGTTTTTAAGTTTTGCTTAATCGCAAATCAAAAATCCGAAAAACACCCTTTTTTTATGTATTGCGCCTCTTTTCCTGTTTTATTTTTTTCCATTTTTATTTTTGTATTAATTTTTTCCAATTTTTTTTTGGTTCTTTAGTTTTGGTAAAATAAACATTTTAAAAACACAATAAAAATAAAAAAATAATTAAAATTGATTAAAAAATTAAATTAAATAAATTACAAAACAGAGTTTTATATATACAACAAAAATAAATACAAAAATTATTAAAAAATAAAATTCAACTATGTTTTCTATTACTATATAACATTTTTTTGTCAAACACAAAACATTTATATACAAAAACACACATACAAAAATATCAATTAACATATACAATACAAATATAAAACATTGATATACCTTACAAGTATCTACTTACCTTATAATTTTGTTTTTTTTTTAAGTAAGCAACATAATTATGTTAGGGATTTTCATAAATACAAAAACAATAACATGATATTTTTGACAGCTGTATTGACATAAAAATTAAACATCAGTACATGTAATTGAACTGTCTTATAGTCAAGGCTCGTGACAATTTCACCATATTCATATCATCATATTGTTGATAATGAAGTTTTCAAATGTTTTTAAATTAATTAAATTTATTAACAACAGCGTAACTTCCATTTTGATATATATTCCGATATATATAATCATATATATCGCCATAAATCGTGTTTATGAAAATCTCTACATTTATATTTGAAGTTACATTATATTATTTACTTATTTGACAACAACAACAACAAAAAAATTCTATCAACAAGAACTAATTTAACAAATATAGTACACAATATACATATACATTTATTATAAGAAATAAATAATCTCAGACGCAAACCAGAAAAATGCTGTAGCACGCAAAAGTTAGCTAGAATATATATATTATTACATTATATATATACATATATTATTATACATGATTAACTATAAATTTTAGGAAAATATTTTATATATTTACATATATACTTAAATAACATGAAATATATATATATACAGACACTTATATATAACTTTTCAAAAAAAAGCTATATAATTTTTTTCATTAATCTTTTTTATTAAATAATTTCGTTTTATATACATATACAGCAAATATAATATTACAGTATTATAGAAAATAAAATTATATATAAAAAAAAACAACTACAAGCATATATACAATATTTAATTATATTATCTCAAATCGAATAGGAAAAGTCAAATTTCGAAAGCTGTAATAAGATTTTTAAGCATACATATACACATATATATATATATATATATATATATGGATATGTATATATATATATATATATATATATATATATATATATATATACATATATATATATATATATATGCATTATATAATTTATTATAATTATTTTATAATTATATATACTTCATATTTACCTAATTATATAAATTTTCCGAATAAAACATATAAATAAGTATATGGTAAATTTCGCATAACTACACTGTGTTAATACGAACAGTGGTGATTATACATAATATAATACATATAGTATGATTAAAATTTATTCTTACATATTTTTATTATATACAAAAAAATATATAATAAATTTTTTTAGTAAGGCAAGTTATATTTTTTTAAATTATGTATTAAAAAATTAATATTCCAATACTATAGAGCTCATAAAATATTTATATAGTTCTGAATGAGACTATTAAATTATATATATAAATTAAATAAATGAAAAAAAAAATTAATTAAAAAATATATATATAATTCTTTTTTTTTATTATTGTTCAACTAAAAACAAGATTAATTTTTATTTTTTAATATAATTTTGAAATTTTCAAAAAATGAAAATTTTTTTTTTTTATAAAAAAAAAGAATAAGACCTCTACCTTCTAAATGCTAAACTAAATTCCAATCCATTTTATTCAGCAATAATTCTGAATAAGTCAAATTGACGTTAGATTTGCATTTTGATAGAGGCTCTAACGTCTGGTTTCAAAGTTGCAGTAATACTGTAATGATAAGCATTTCCGCTTATAAATTGTAGTTTGCTGATTTTCTGAATTACTACAATTTTGAACTCAGGGAACCTTAAATTTTGTGTTTTTTTTATTGTTGTTATTTCAATTAAATTAATTACTTTCAAAGAAACAAGAAATTATAAAAAATTTTTTAATAGTCTCATTAAATGTTTTCGTTTATGCATTTTTTTTCTTTCGATAAATCATTGCAAATCTGACCACACCGAAAACTCATCAAAAAAATAAAAAAAAATATAAAAAATATTTATTATATACAAAAAAAATACCCGCTACTTCAAAAAAATAAAAAAAATATGAAAAAATACAAAAAAAAAAAAACTATTTTTTCTCAAATTCACAAAAAATACCATAAAAAAATACCTTAGTTGGATATACTATGAGAGATATTCGCTATAAATGGAATGAGGGCCCTAACTCGGTTGGTGTTTCGAGTGAGGTGTCTCTACCCCAATTTAAAGTATTGGGTCATCGCCAGAGAGCTATGGAAATCAGTCTTACAACAGGTACCTGTAGACGGTTACCGATTTTTTTAAATCTATATATATATATTAATAATTAAATTGATATTAAAAACATTAAAAAAAAAATTAACATTTTTTTTAAATTTAATATGTTTCGTTTCTAAATATATATATATAAAATTTAAAAATTTATTTCATTGTTTTAATTTTGTTTTCAAATATGTAAAATTAAATTAAAGCAATTAAAAATAAATTTGGTTAATTATATAAGCGATTTTTTCTGTTTTTTTTTTTTTTTTTTTTTTGCGTAAAATCTATATAAATAATATAATATATAAAAAGAAAATCAACAACGCTCGCCATTATTCACATACACACATATATATATTGTATATTTAATTTCAAATACAACAAGAAATTTAATATATTCCGTGACTTTTAAAATGCAACAACACTACATATATTGCTACACAATTCAGCAACAAAATACAACTCGAAGCTGAACTGTGCAGTGATACAAAGGTTACTGCTATTTTTAAATCATAGGTTTATGTGTGTGTGTGTATGTAGACGTGTATATTTTGTAAAATTTAACATATAATACTCGTAAATCTAAAAATATTTCAAAATTGTTTTATTAATTATACACATATTTATAAACAATATACAAAATAAATATATAATTTTTTGACAAATAATCTTTGTATATATACATATGTAACGTATATATACGCCATTTTATTATGCACAGAAAGGAAATTTCCTTCAATATTTTTGAAATATATTCAATATTTTAAAAATATTCTGACTAAAAAATATTCTACTACTGCAATTTTTATTTATTGAAAACTATTATATAACATTTTCAGATTTTAAATAGTTTTAAAACTTGTATATATATATATACATATACCTCCTTTTTGTCAGTAAATTATTCGCATTATTCTTACTCAAATATCAATTTTTTTAAAAAAACCAATAATTTTAATTTAAGAACAAAAGATTATTTGAAATATATTTCCATAAAATATATGATTTGCGTTGCGTCATTGATTATATTTCTAATTCTGTTCCTATACTCATTGGCGTTGTTTACACATTTACACAGTACATCAGCTCGTTTTTCATCTTCTTATGTAAAAAAGTTAAAATATCAGTAATTCAATTTTTCGTCACTACTCTGAGTTTCATAATCAATTTTTCAAATGTAAAGGTCTAATTGTTCCTCAGGTGACTTTATCAAACGAAATTTAAAATATAAATTTTAAAATTTATTAAATTTTTTATTTTTAAATTAGCTTGGAACATAGAACTTCCAAGCCTATATGTAATTAGCTTGGAACAGAGAACTTGGACACCAAATTGGAATAAAAAACTTAATAGTAAATAATTTCAATACTTATTTTAATACTTCTTTCAATATCCAACAAAAAATTCCTACCCTGGTGTCCATTGTAAATGCATTATTGCAACTATAAAATTTATTATTTAAATATAATGTACTATATTTATACAACTATATTTAATATAGTTGTATAAATATAGTACATTTCCCAAAAATTTTTCTTATGACTTTTGCTTACTCTAAAATTGCAAAGTAATACTCTCAGTTCGTGCTATTATTAATACTTTCTTGTATTTAAGTTTACGCGAACTGAACGTGTTCGTTTGTCATTTTTTATTGCACTGAATTAATTCAACTTTACGTGTAGATGACGCCACTATGTTACGAGTATATACAATGCAAAATATAAAAAAAAATGCAACATTAAAAATTCCCTATTTTAACTTTCTCTATATATACCAGTGTTTTTGCCACAAAAGATGGCTTTTTAAAACAACAAATTTGATGAAATTTATTACTCATAATTTTCATATAAATTATTAATATTCTAATATTATAAATTAGATAAATTACATAAGGACAACCATTATAACTAAAATTTTGTCCTCAATTAAAATTTTGTTATAAAAACTTTCCGAAGTATAAAAGTAATCACAATTTCAAGTATAATTTAAATTTAAAAAGAAATAAAATTAAAAAAAATAATATAACTATGAATTCTTGAAGATTTTTTTTCCATAAAATATATATATATATATATATATATATATATATATATATATATATATATATATAGCCATAGTTGTTAAATAAATATATTTGATTTGCATGTTGAAAAAAATTTTTTTAAATTTTTATGCATATTATTATATAATTGTTATTTTTTCAATAATTTATGATACATAGATAAGAAAATTAGTTATTATATAATACAAATTACATATATGATAGTTAAAAATTTAGATAATTAGTTTTTTTTATTTCGTTCTATATTTATGCATGTAAATTTTTTTATATAATAGTTAAAACAAATTTTTATAACTCTTTTATATACTAATTTTATATTATATGATATATGAACTGATTTGATTAAAATACTAACGCATAACAAAAAAATTCACTCAAATCATTATTTATACTTAATAATTATTATATAATAAAAAACAAACCGAATTATAAACATACACGTACAAGGTAGGATACAGAAAAAATATTTTTGTTTTTTTTTTCCATTCAATTCATCACACAAATTATATTTTCAGTAATTTCTCAGTATTTCAAATGATTGCCATAAAAGTTTAGATTATGAATTTCAATATGTCATGACACAAGCGTCATAAATCTGAAAATGTACGATGCCGATGCAATTTTTTCAAATCATTTTAATTTTTTTCGTATTTTTATAAAATTTTTTATTATATTATGTCAATTGCAAAAAATTGCTTAATTATAAATACATAGTTATTTTTTACTTGTCAAATTAAATCTTTGACATACTGGGAAACATTATCAAAAAAAGAACAAAAAGACCACATTTACACTTAATTTCGCTTACATACTTTAATATACAGCATGTTTATATATTTATACATATATATACATATATTATAAATATCTTTAAAAAAATGCTTATTTAAGTTATTCAGGAGATTCAAAACAATTTTTTTGTAAATAACTAAAAATTTAATAAACTTTAATTATTGTTCCTAGTTGAAATTATTTTCAGGGAAGAACAGAATGATAAAATGAATTTGATTAACCAGGTATTGATTTTAGATAAAATAAATTTCTTTTTTTTTTTGATTAATTTTTTTTTTCAAAATTATAGAATATATAAAAAATATATTTTTAATGTTATTTTTTATAAATATACATTTTAAAAAATATGTTTTTAAATATAGATACTATAATTCATCGCATAAGCCGTGTATGAAATAAGATTTCGTCAAAATGGACCTATAGATATTTGCTTTCTCCGGAGAAATAAACAATACTCTGAAATAGCTCTTGTTTGTTTTTTTTTCTCTTTTATATATGTATACATATATATATATATAAATATATATTTAGGTATAAAAAGCCTTTTTTCAAAAATTCTTTTTTTTAATTTCCCTAATCCGTTTCGAATCTTTAATTTTTTTGTTATCGGAAAATTCAATTTAATTATTTCTTACTATATACGTTATAAGATTCTATATTTATATCAACAATTATATAATATATTGAATAAATGCAAATTCTCTATATCTAAAAAAATTATAATCTTATTTCAAGAAAAAAAATCATTTACCATTTTTCACTTATTTTAATGTTAAAATAATAAATCATTGAAATCATTCGACTCATTTTTATTCGAATCACATTTCATTCGAATCGCTTTTCATTCGAATCATTTCATAATAAATAATTGGTTATAAAAAAAAAATCAAAATTAAATTTTAAAAAACTATTTTACATCAATTTTTAAAGCTAAAAAACTGCATACTAAAATCAAGAATAACAATGTTGGAAAAACATAAAATATTTTTATATATTTTATTTAATTGTATATTATAATAATAACATATTTTACTAATTTTAATTTAAGTTGAAATAGAAATTTTTACTATGTATCATGTATATATTTTAGTATATTTTCATCAACTTACAATTATTCATTCAAAAGCAATAATAAAATAAAATTAATAAATTTTCACAAAATATTTTATAAGTACCTTATTAATATCTAAAACATTTTCATAGTAAATATATGCAATTGTTTTCTTTTAAATTTTATTAAGAAAGTAATAAACATTTTAATCCTAAATATATGCAACATTTTTTATTTATTCTCAATTTCATTACCATTGTAATGGAAAGTAAAATTAATTTAATTTCATCCTGATTATATGCAAATATTTTTTCTTTAAAACTATATTACTATTCAAATTTACAAAAATAAATTTAATTTTAATTTTCTTTTTATAACTATAATATATTTAAATTATCATGTTTTTTTAATGGTGAACTCTATAAATCTAATTTTCAACTTGCTATATCGATAAAATTAATTATTAAATTTTCAACTTATAATTTCAACTAATAGTAATATTAGTTGAATGTTAATTAACTAATAGTTAATATTATTGAATAAAATATAACTAAGAAAAAAGCTTTTAAATTCAACTTCATAATCAATTTCGAAGTCGAATTTAAAATATTTTTGGAATAAATGAAATTAAAATAAACACAGTCTAAACAATCCAAAATCCGCGAGCTCGGATGTTAACTTTAAAATCGGCTCTTGTTTATAATTATTTAAGTTTCCTAGATTATACAGAAAGAAAACCTAATTGCTTTCTGAATACAATAGTTCACTATCGACACCATTATATACACAATACTACCATTTATGTTTCATATCATTATTATATTATTATAATAATTACCATCGAATAAATGTTACAAATTAAAACTTAAAAAAATCATATTTAATTTTACTTATACATTCAATAAGAAAAAAAAAAATGATTCCATTTTATACGATTTAGTATATTTTTCAAAAATGAATTAATAAAATAAAAATAAAAACAGTTTTCTAAAGCTAAATTTTAGTATTTTTTAACACTTAGTAAAATGCATCTTGGGAAAAATTTATAATGTACGATGTCATTTTTTAATTGTTAAAAATAAAATTCAGCTAATAAAATTGTTTCGAAACCTTTCTTTGTTAATTGTTGATTCTCAATAATATATATATATATACATATATATATTTATATATATATCTAAATTGTAATAATAAGTAATGAAAATAAAAATTAATGTTAGAAGATAGTGATTATATATATGATACTTACGCGTTTCTGGCTGCCATTTGCAAGATTCTAAATCTCAATTGTTATAGAATTTTTTGTACTAATTTCAATACCTCGTTTTTATTATTTGTTTTATTCATTCTTTTTTCTCTATATTTTTAAATTTTTTTTTTTTTTTGGTTGATCTTCAACTAGGAACAACAAAAATAAGAAAAATACATCAGAACACATTCAAAATAAATATAGAAATTCAATAATAAGTCTTTAATTTAATATAGAAATCTCATATATACGTTATATATATAGGAACTTTGAACATTTTATACAAAAATACCAATGCAAACATTCATTTTTGATTTATTATTACAAATTATTTAATAATTTATTTATTTACAAATAACACAATTTTTTTTTTAATTGAAAGTGTTTTATTTGTTTTCCTATTTTTTTAATTTGAACGAAATATTCAGTTGTTGACGAAAATAATTTTTTTTTAAAATAAAATTAAATTCAAAATATTAATTTAATCTTTTCCTTCTGACACCTTTCAAATCCATATCACTATTTTATATACGTATCACTTTTTTTACACAATTAACAGTTAATATAATGAATACAAGGAAACACTTTTCACTTTCAGAAAAACAAAATAGCAAACATGACAATTCATAACTATGACATTTTATAAAAATAACAAAACAATTTTCTTGATTGTCAAAAAACAAAAGTTTTTATTACATAATCGAATGATAATACTATTAGTCTACACAAACACTGTCATCATTGTAATATGTATAATACATTTTAACTCATATGTAGTTATGAACAAATTTTCTATATGATTTTCTATAATCTATCATCCATATATACACACTATATTTTTTTTTTCTTTTTTTTTTATTTCTTCTATTCAATTTATTTGTTCCTTGAATTTATATGTTTACACTTAATTATTAACCAGTCTCTTATAATCTTCAGCTTTTAATTAATAAAAAAAAAACCACAATTTTATATTAAAATTTTTATTTTACATTTTTTTGTTTTTGTTGTTTTCTTTTTTAATTTTTTTTTTTCAAATTTAATGAAATAAAAAAATATTTCAGACCACTTTATATAAATGATTAGGACACTAGACATGACATTTTTTTTTATTTTATTTTTATGTTTTTGTTAAAAAAATATTTAATTATTGTTAAGTATCCATAAATAAATGTTAATTTTTGTTACTTTTTATATAAGCAAAAAAAAAATTAAAAATATTAAAAAAAAAATACTTTAACCGAAAGATGACAATTCAGAAAAAGAAAAAAAAACAGTTTTTTCAAATCATAATCGATTGTTTTTTTTTTCTTCATTTCTTTTTTACTATTTTATTTTTTTTTTTAATTTATTTTTTATTTTAATTTTTATTTATGTTTTTAATTATTTAAAAAAAATAAATAGGAAATTATTCACGTTTGGCTTGTGAAATTCAATTCGTCAGATCAATGGGTTACTATTTAATTCAAATTTATATCCCATCCGGATTAATCGTAATAATATCATGGGTATCATTTTGGCTTAATCGTAATGCAACACCGGCTCGTGTTTCTTTAGGTGTAACAACTGTGTTGACAATGACAACACTTATGTCTTCAACAAATGCCGCACTACCAAAAATCTCATATGTCAAATCAATTGATGTTTATCTAGGAACATGTTTCGTAATGGTTTTTGCAAGTTTATTGGGTAAAATTTTAATAAATATATACATATATATACACATATTATTTATAAATTATATATATAAATAAATATATATATATATATATATATATATATATTATTTTTAATCTATATATATGTACATGTATATTATATGATAATAAAAATTTTTTTTAGATATTTTTATATATTATTATAAAAAAATTGTTATATGTATGTATGAATTATTTTTATTGTTTTTTATTGAATTTTTTAATTAAATTGTGTTTTGTATTTAACTTTTAAAAATTAAATAAATATATGTATGTTTATGTTTACCATAATTATACATACACATACATAAGTTTATGTTGAAAACATTTATATAATATGGTCAGTGGAAAGAGCGGTAAATTGTAGAATTATTGTAAAAAATTTTAATATCAAAAAAAAACGAAAAAAATAATTTTTAAATTTTTATAAAAAAAGAAAAACAATTCCGTAGAATAGTTTCGTGAAAAATACACACAGTACACGCCACTGAACATTTATATTTGTTTATATAATAATATATAAAATGCAAAATGAGATACATATATGTATATCATGGCTGCAGTGTGTTTGAATTTTGACGGGGACAAGGGACAAGTGAAGTAATACACGTCAAAGACATAAGATACAACAAGAAGTAAAACACATTCTTCTTCTTAAAATCAACAATATGCAAAAATATTGACTAAATAGAATTCAGATTGTTTCTGAAATCATAAATTTAATAAAAATATTTATGTCATCATTATCACAAGAAAAGTGAATGAAAGGAAAATGAATGAAGCTGACCAGTCGACTTATTTTTTCCTTCACCAAAGAAAAAATGATTGAGTGATAAAAAGGCGATTTTTTTTCCAATACATAATTGCAATGCACAGCGGCAAATATTTTTGACAGTTCATTTTTTAGTGATGACATCAAAAATGAATGATAGATTCTCAAAAACGTGAGTGATAAAAATAATGATGACACGCCCCTATATCTAATTAAGTTTACTTTATCTTTTATGAAATCTCAAAGAACAGACTATTGTCACGAAAAAAAAGAGAATTAAAGAAAGAGAATTGTTTGTGAAATTCATAGCTATAAATGTCTCCTAAAATCAAAAATTTATCTTTGAGACTTCTTTGACGTATTAATTTTTTATATGCTACAGCTTCATTTTTCTTATATTATACAGTTATTTTCTCGTTTTTATAGCACACACAGCCGTATATACTTATAGTTTTAAAATGTTTTTATAATTTAACTATATATAATAAAAAATATTTTATTATATTTATAATATTTTCGAAGTTTATTTATTTAATTGGAAATATTTTTTTTAAATATTAATATTCATTAAAAGAATATTTCCAATATACCGTTGAAAGAAATGTAAAAAAAAATTGTTTAAACCAAATAAATTGAACACTTTTTTAACATAATAGTTGCGAAAGTCTATTTTATGACTGGGCCGAAGTTCTATAATGTAATAGTGATCGAATTATGTTTTGAAAACAACTAAATAAATTGGCGTTAATATTTTTTATTTTAAATTTTTCTTTTTATATCTCCATATATGTTAGCCATATAGAATATTTTCAATAAAGTTGAATATATATATAAAAATATATAGAATGACATTATTCTATCACTATTGCATTAGAATCATGCATGCCCTGAATCGAAGGTCCTCTAATGAATAAAAAGTATTTTCAAATAAAAAAAATAAGTAGAAAAATAATAGTAAATCATTAGATGACTGTTTTCGCATTAATTTCAAAAAAAAAAGAAACATCATATCGTTAATTCATTGTATTCGTATTTTTGTTGATAAATTTATTAATTTTATTAGTTTGTCATAATTTTCAAAAATATTTTTTATTACTTTTTATTGTATATTAATTTCTGGTAGATCTAAAACCGGTTTCATTTTTTAATTTTTTTTTAATGTTTGTGTTATAAAATGTTTTTATAGTTATATGTTTTGTATTCTATAGACAGTTAATTCAAACTGTTGAGAGTTTAAAGAAATGCCCATGAAAATGTTTAAAGAATTTTTAAACGAATTTGAAAACTTTTATTTATCGTTTTTACAACCATTATACTTCACTTCACGTATATGTCAAGTATATGTCACGTACATACTTCAAGTATATGTCAAGGAAACTACGCCAGAAAAATTATTTTTTGGTTGTATACAGTATGATTATAAGCAAAAATTAAATAAAATTCTTTTCAAATGAGGTTCTACCAAAAATAATATGTATATGCATATAATCTAATCATTAGCCTGACGATTTGTGATAACAACACAAATTTATAAATATATATATGTACATATTTATATTAGTGTGTCATAATAATTTCAGTTTGACAACTAATTAGAATTAAAAAAACATTAGAAACAATGTTTAAAAAACTGTATAATACATATGAATATTACATAAATCACCTTTGTTCTACAAATTATAACTTCAAAAACAACAGAAAATTTGCACAAATTTTAGCATAAAGCTACAAATTATACTGAAAAGTATATGTTTCAATTGCAATCAATAATAATTAAAAGATCCTGCTTAAATTTTCATTCCAAATTTTCTAAAATTCTTTTCTTAAGTTAAAAAATTCAACAAACATGAAACCATAGTTTCTCTAAAGTATAAATTTTATACAAAATTTTTTATTGGATTTTTTTACTGATTGTTAAGTTGGGTATTTTTTCTTAGATAACAAAAGATACTTAAATATTTTTGTTTTATTCGTTACTGTTTTCTGTTATTTAAAAGAAAAATTCTAAATTTAACAAAAAGAATCTATAAAATTCTACATTTGGATTTGTTTCTTTTTCTTTCTTTTTTTTATTATAATTTGTTATTATACATCACCAAAAACAAATAAAAAAAAAAAAACATAAAAACTCATCTTAGAATACGCCACCGTCGGTTATATGGCAAAAAGAATACAAATGCGAAAACAAAGATTCATGGCCATACAGAAGATAGCGGCTGAGAAGAAACTCCAAGTCGATGGAGGGCAACCACCGCCAAATCCAAGTGCGGATCATGGACATGGGCATGGTCATGGTCATAGCCATGGTCATCCTCATGCACCAAAACAAACAGTGAGTAACCGACCAATTGGTTTTTCCAATGTCCAACAAAACGTTGGATCGCGCGGTTGCTCGATAGTGGGACCCTTGTTCCAGGAGGTGAGGTTCAAAGTTCACGATCCCAAGGCTCATTCCAAGGGCGGCACATTAGAAAATACTGTCAATGGCGGGCGAGGTGGAGGTGGAGGAGGCGGAGGGGGTGGCGGGCCCCCTAGTGCCGGAGGTGGAGGAGGTGGTACTGAAGGCGGCGATGCAGAAGCTGGTGCTGTTCCACAGCATTTACTTAAGCCAGGAAAGGTAAGAGTCTTACATTTCAGTTTTTATTAATATATACATATTGAATACAAATACAAATACGTACATAATATGTACACTTAAAATAAACTATACAAATAATTTCACAAATTTATTATTTAAAAAAAAATACAAATAACAATTTTATACACTGTAGTACTTTTGCCACATTAATAGAAGTTTTTAAAAGAGTTTGCAAAAATCATTATTTCGCATAAAAAGAAATGCAGTAACCATGTAGGTGAGGTCAGGCATAAAATACAACTTCTCATTTGTAATTCAGTTAAGATAATTTTAATATGCTTGAAGATATATATAAATTTCATATATGAAAATCATTCAATTTTTAAATATCACACATAAGGGTTACAATAGTTTTTTTAAAGGGTTTTGTTTTTTTTTTAACTATTATAAAAATTTAAGCACAAATCCAAAGAAAAATTTATAAAAAAAAATACTAAATTGTTCATTTAGGAATTCTTCCGATCCATACTTATATTATAAAAATAAAATTTTTTTCAGGATCTCAATAAGTTATTAGGCATAACATCATCCGATATTGATAAGTATTCCCGAATAGTGTTCCCTGTATGTTTTGTGTGCTTCAACCTCATGTACTGGATCATCTATCTACATGTTAGCGATGTCGTCGCTGATGATTTGGTGCTTTTAGGTGAAGAACATTAAAATGTTTTTATAATAACCTAACATAGTAGCCCTTTTTTAAAATTATTTATATAATAACCATTGAAAAAAAAAATCAATTAATTATTAGTAAAAAAAAAAAACAAACATTTTGTACGAATTTTTTTTTTATAAAAAAAAAATATAAATCAAAATTTTTTTTAATATTTAAAATTAATCTTATAATAAAGAATAAATTTGATAGGAAAATTTATAAATATTTATGTAAACTGTACATATGCGAAAAATATACATAGACACAAAAAATAGTCCAAAAAAAATTTTTATAACAATCATTGTAAAACATTTCACAGGAATATTTTATAACATAATATATGAAAATTTAGAATTAAACAACTATTTAGCATTAAAAGTTTAAAACATTTTAAAATTGAAAAAACATGCGTTAGTAAATCTATTTTCAAAAAAAAATCCCAATTTCATTTAAAATTTATTGAAGAAAATTGCTTTTCTTTTAACACAAATTATGATATTGTTAAATTAACATAAAAAAAATATAGAAACACATTTATATACGTTATATACATGTGTAAATATGTGCTATAAGTTATTGATATATTGAAATCATTATATTGTTTTATTATAGATATTAGCGCAGCAAACGCGGCTCATAAAAATTTTATTTTTTACTAAATTTAATCCAAAAATTAAATAAAAGAAAATGTAGTGGTTTAGTAAAAAAATATTTAGTTCTCACATACTTACACACTGTTATATAAATTAGAATTTTACTATATGTACATACATAATTATACATAATATAAATATATATATATATATATAATATAATAATTTAATGTTGAAAAAATTTATATAGAATAATTAAAAAAAATGATATAGAACAATGTTTGATTTGAATTTGCAATGATTTTTGTTTTTCGTTTATAGTTCGAATGACTTTTTTATAAAAGTTAGTTTTTTTTTATATACAAAAATATTTTTTAATTTTTTTATTTTTCGAAATTTAGTATTATTTAAATAAATGTATATTTATTTAATATAATTATATAAATATTTTTAAATTTATTAATATATTATGCAAATTACTGCTTTAAAATATAATTTTATTTCACAAAAGTATATAAATTGAAGAAAAAAAAATTTTAAAAACTAAATTTTAATTGATAAATTTTTGGTGCAAAGTTATTGAAAGATATATTTTTTTGTTACTTACATAAAGTATTAACAATATATCATTAATTAATCAGAGCTATCATGAGCACAATAATATAAGTGCGTATTATATATCTATATATAAATATATTTGTATATATAAATATATATATATATATATATATATATATATATATATATATATATATATATATATATATATATATATATATATATATATATATTTATATATATAACTATATATATATATAAATATATATATATATATATATATATATATATATATATATATATATATATTTATATATATATATACGTGCATATATATAATATATATAGAATTAAATAAGAAAAAAAAAATAAATAAAACCTTTTATATATTAAAATCATAATATGTTTGTATATAAAATCAAAACATTTCCACAAAATTTGAAATGCAATTTCATTTTCATTTTCATATCTCCTTTAATTAATATAGTTTAGGTCTTTATTACATCGATTAATTAAACAAAAAAAAAATACAATAAATTATTAATAAAAAAAATTATTGCTTTGATATATTACATAAATATATATAATTAAATACTTTTTTTTGGAATGTTTCTTATTCGCATTGCGCATAGTTTTTAATTTAATTTAATATGTAAAAATGATATTGGGATATTTTTTTCTATCTATGATATGCAATTATCGTCATAAAAGAGCATATGAAGTTTGAATACAAAAATAAATAATGAAAATGGATTCAATAATATTATGTATACTTTCTATGTATAAAATAAAAAAAAAACAAAATTAATAGGAAACCTAATACAAATATTATAATTAATATTAAAAAAAAATTATAAAACAAAAAATATTTAACATAATTTTTATAATTTGGAATTTAGCTCGATTAATTTTAATCCTATAATAACTTAAATTTTTGACAGTTTAATATATAATAATAGATAATTAATTAACGTTTTCATTTCCACTTATATAATACAATAATTTTTAATAATAACTGTAATACTTTAATTTTATTAAAATTATTTTTAATTATTCAAAATTTAAACAAGCGTAAATTTAAAAAAAAGCCAAAAAAATTTTTCATTTCAATTTCGTAGTGCAATTCGTTATAAATATTGTTATAAAATTCATTTCAAGTTTTTGTCGTATTTTACTCATAATGCATTAAAGAAAGGTGTGAGTATATGAGTTAGATGTTATCGCTAAATCGTTAAAATCGCTAAAAATTGCAATTAAATTGCCCCTTAAATTTCAAAGCGACATTTTTTATTTTGAAAATTATCAATACTACAGTTAAAATTGTGTTTGTTCATCCACTAAAAATAAAAAAAATCCATATTAGTTTAAAATTAAAAAAAAATTAATGAAATATCAACATATATTAATTTTTAATTCTTAACTTGTCGGCATGAGGAGGTTCAAAGATTGATTCATTAATGCACAAACAACCTAAAACATAATTTTTTCATTTGATTTTCAGTTAGATATAATTGTTCCGTTGTTGTTTTCAACTTAATACCTTAGATAGATAATCCCAGCTGTAGAACACTTTTTTGAATTAATTTTGTTTTACTTGATAACACACCAACCCAAAATACTTTAAACTTATTTGTTTCAAAATTAAACTTATGAGTTTTATGTTTTAGGACACTGGAATTTCAATTTTATACTAAAATTGATCTAATTAATATCCCTATTGAAAACTCATTGTTGATGAAGTTGTTTAATCTTAAAAATTCCGCTATTTTCTATATTTCATTGGTTGCAATTCTCTATATTTTATTGGTTGCAAACAATATTACCTTCGAATAAAATAATTTTCTCATAAACACATACATACATATATAATATTATGTAACATTTAATTTTAAACAATTGTAAATTTTTATACGGTCAATGATAAAGTAGCAATTTTTATGTTATTTTAATAGAAAAAGGAGAGGATATACTTTGAAACAAGTGAAGCACACAATTTTTCAAGGATTAATGCGTTTTTGGACATACATACATTATATAGCTGCCTATACTTAAGAAGTACCTTTTCAAAGTAGCATTTAAATATTTTCATTTAATAAAGTCTGTTTTATTCCTTTTAAGAATTGAAAATTTCTGCATTAATTCTAAAAAAAGCGGAACATTAAAATATGTAAAATACAAAATACAGTAAATTGTTTACTAACCAAAATTATTTTCCAAGTCCTGTTAGAGCTTCTAGATTCTATGATTCAATCACTAATAAATTATTCACACCAGGTCAAATCAGCTGTTGTATACCTTTATAAAATCTACTCATTTTTTCAACAAAATATTTTGTAATATAAAAAAATATATAATTATTTTTGCGAAATTTTGTAAAAATCTAAGAAAATTAAATATAAAAGCACACAAAATCATAAAAACTTTTTAGAACATTACGTTGCAAAAACTAAATGTGAACAAAGATGACAATTTCAATTAAAATTTAATATTTTATGTGTTGAGATTATATTTGAAATTTCAGTAGGTTATTCAAAATTAGTAGTTTAAAATCGATTTATGTATATCGATTTATATCGATTTAATATGTTGTAGCAACAATTGATACTAATATTCCAGTAAAAATGCTAACAATAATAACATTAACAAAAAGAACATATAATTCACAATAGGCTATTTGTACTTCAAAAAATATTGTAATTCACAATAAGTATTAGGTAATGACAGAATTAGTTTGGCATTTGCATCTCCTAAACATTATTTTTGATACTGTTTTAATTTCAATTTGAATTTATTCATAAAATTTATCATTTGCTCAAGTTATTTTTAAATGAGCCATAAAATTTTTTTATATATTGAAAATTTTATCACAAATTTTTTCTAATGAAAAAATTTCATGATTTATAAGTAAATGATTACCTTTCTTCCGATTTAATAAATTCCAAAAAATACTTAATTTGAAATTATATCATTTTTATTTCATTCAAATTGCCTATTTAACGCTAAAAACCGTACACAAATATTTAAAAAAAAAATAAAAAACTGAAAACAATAATATTAACGTACATTGTTATTTTTGTACCATCTGGCATTTTTATTCTATATTTACCTTTTATTATTTGAATTTTTAATAATTCATGAAACGTCATACTTAAACTGATTTATAAGTATATTCCGTAAGCCTTACTTCACGATACGTATTGCATTTCTTTTCAATAATTTGTGTTTTATTTATATACATGTATGTATTATTACATTTTCTTTGCACCTCATTTTTTTTCTATTTTTTTTTTTGTAATTGATACAATTATATATATTTAAAAACGTTTAATTAAAAACAAGAAAATTTATGATAAACTTTATTTGATCAAATTTTTCAAATTCAAAACATTAAATCCCTTTGAACGTTGTTGCTTTTGAAATTACAATTAAAACTAACAATAAAAATTAATGACAAAAAGAAAAGAAACAAGAAAAAAATTATTCGCAAAATGAATAATTTAAAAAAAAAACCAACACCGCAAATAGAATTCATTTTTAAGGATCCAATATTCCTTTAAAAATTTTTACACAACAAAATTTCTTTTTTCCAGGACATTAATAAATTACTAGGCATAACACCGTCAGACATTGATAAATATTCCCGAATAGTGTTCCCTGTATGTTTCGTGTGCTTTAATCTCATGTACTGGATCATCTATCTACACGTTAGCGATGTCGTCGCCGATGATTTGGTGCTCTTAGGTGAAGAAAATTAAAAAGGATTACTACTCGTATTCGTAGTCACCCTTTTAACTTTAGAAATTTATTTTAATAAAAAAACAAAAAAACAATTAATAAAAGTAAAAAAAAAATATATCAAAATATGATTTCAAAGTATTAAAAAAGAATTATAAAGAAAAAACAAACAAAAAAAATATTTTATTATCTATGAAAAAAAAATTGTAAATGTTTCGTTATAAAACAAATTTTGTTAATAGTAAATTTTTACATGAATTTTGTTTATTAGAAAAACGAAATAAAAAATTTTATAAAAAACAAAAACCCAAAAAAAAAACGAGATAATTCATATATACTTAAATAAATATAAAAAACACATAAATTCCCAATGCCTACTGAACAAATACTATTTATAAAACATTAAAAAAAAAAACAAACCAAATTGTAAAAAAATTATTAATTTTAAAATATTTGAAAAAAAAAATATATCATAAATCCAATAAATTCACTTGAAAACTATAATAAAAAAACATTATGCAAGCACCAGAAACTTAAAGGAGAAAAAATATTTACCGTAGCATCCGAAATCTCTTTTTTATTCCACGCTACATTTTTCAAATACGTACATAAACTTACATAAATTATAATAAAAAATCGCTTAAAAATTATTTATGTATTATGATATACAGTTATTATATAAAATCGCGAATAATCCAAAACATACAAATATAATATACACATTTTAGTTTTAAAAATGCACCATAAGCCACTTTTTCTTTGATATTCAAAAACTTACTAAAATTTTCTAATTAATCAAATTCAGTTTTTCATCAAATTTCATTCAAAAATTCTCTATGGACATATACATATACATATATATATATATATATATATATAAGAAAGAAAGTTTGTACGGGAAAAGCATATTTGAGGTGCGCTTCCAATACTTATGCCAAAAATTAATTATTTAAATTTAAGTTTTAATCGTAATTTAGTCGATTAGCAAAAAAAAATAAAAAAAGCCCAAAAAAAAAATAAACTCATCCAATTTTCGAGACTTAATCAAAGTAAAAAAAAACATATAAAAGAAGGAGTAATCGACAATATCAAATATCGATCAAGAACCAATATATGATGGTCACCAACCGGCAGTGAACGATTTATGCTAAAAACGAAATATTGCATATCAACTTTGGTATACAACTCTTGCATAAAACCGGTTCACAATTGTTTTAGCAAATAATTATTTTTGATAATTTGAATTTGACATTTTACTTAATTATTATTTCATTAAATAAAATTAACTTATATACTCTTCAAAATTTCCCATTTTGCTCAAAAAAAAAAATCAGCAGTAAAAAATTTTTTTTATTACAAAAAAAATGTCAACAAATTGTAAGAATATGCAATGTAAAATCAGGCAATCGGCATTATTAATTACGTGACATTTCTTTTTTGCATTATCGGTTACAATAGAAATGGAGGCATCTGTTTCACAACTTTAAAAGTATTGTTACAATTTTTATTAAATGCAATAAAAATGCGCGTAATAAAAATATAAAAGAATTCAACGCGCATTTTAAGTTATCGATAAAATACTCGGAGCTCTTCATTACAGAAAATAAAAAAAAATATTTAAACCGCATTTTACAAAAAAAAATTATCATAAAAAAAATTTTAAATAAAATAAAAATTAAATAATTACATACAAAAATTGTATATATTAAAAAATTCTTGCATTTTAATTAAATATTTTTTTTTATTTATATTTAAAAAAAATTAATTTTAAACAAAAATAAAAACAAAAAGAAAAACAAACGAAGTTTCGTATTTTCAAACGATGACTACAAAAATTCGGAACAAAAAACAAAATATAATTTAGGTTTCAAATACATATATATATAAATATATAAAACATCAAAAATTATTATTATATAATATATAACTAAAAATGAAATGAAAAAAAAAATTTTTAAAAATTTAGATTTTGTTTTTTTATTCTTTTTTTTTATATTCAATATGGCATTGGGATTAAAAATAAAATAGTTATTATAAAAAATGTATAATTGAATTTTTAAGAATAAAAAATAAGAACCATAAAATGATAACAAAAAACTTAATATAGTGTTAGCAAAAGTGTTATATACGTATAACAATAACTACAAAAGTAATTGTAAAATAATAAATATATATTACATAAAAAATTTTTGCTTTATAGCAAAAACATAATTAAACAAATATTTACCATATATACTCGTAATATATAATAAAAATACTTGCGAAAAAATATTAACGTATATAATGACGTGCATAATTCAATATTTATTTGTTTATATATTTGAATATAGTAAAGCGTATATAAGTGTATAATATATAAATATATACATACTTCAGTAAACTGCTTTCCATTTGGACAGAAAATGTCTTGAGTTCCATTTTGACAGAAATATTAAATGTATAATCCATATACAGTATTTTAAATGCTTATATGAGCCCTACACGTACTTTTAATATAACCCTTCTAAATTATATGAATTGGCATATTTTGTATACTAAAAATTTCTCTCTATTTTCAAATTAAAACTAAAATTTCAAAGTGTGTTTTCTGCCATTCACATGATATTATGCACTTACATAAAATTTTACAAAATTCTGTCTACCATTTTATTCTTTTCAAATTGCAAGTTAAAAACAAAATAAATTCAATTTATTAATTTCTAATAATTTGCTGAATGACTTATTAACTTTCCATTCGAATGATTCACAATTTCTTTCGAATTTGACTCAAATTTTTACTGTACATTTAATATTCCCAAATGAAATTAAAATATACTAGAAAAATTAAATGTTTTGTAATTAAAATGCAATAAAAATAGCTCCTTACATGACATATGATGTTGACATATGATTTAAGTCAAGTAACACTACAAAAGCTTTTAAGCTTTCTAATTAAAATGTCTTAGATTCAACTTAAAACTTCAGCAAAATTTCTTCTCCAATTCACAGTATACATATATTAGAATATATTGTTTATATGTATGTACATATAAGAAAACTCTAAGACATAATTCTTTCTCAAAAAACACTTAACCTATACTCTTCATCAAAAAAAAAGAATATAAAATTTTAATTATTTAACAAAACTTTTTTAATATGCAAAAAAGAAATAGGGCTTAATCTGGAACCGTTGAACGGGTAAATTTGTATATTATCTTAATTATAATATGCAATTTTAAATATATACATACATATATTAAACGAATCTATAAAAAACTAACTATGTATATATATATCATGTTACTATATCAATATAAAATTAATATTAAATAACCTTTTTTTAATAAATATTAAACTTGCACAACAACGCATGATTTTCTTTTGTCTTCCAATTTATAATAAAAGCAAAAATAAAGGAAATACTTTTTATTGAAACAAATATACATATATTCACACATACTTATACTGTTCATCTTCATTTACTGCGTTTGTATGCAATTTGAAGCCGACTTCAAGCAGATTTTTAACTCATATAAACGCTTCTTAACTTGAAATTTTCAAGTCAAATCGATCCGACAAAATTACTAGCATGACTTGAAAAGCGACTGTACAAATTGAAAGATTGAAAATTATAAACAAATATATATACTCGTAATGATTGTCAGCTAATGTTTGTGAAACCGAAGTCGATTTCAAGTTGATGTTTTTGTAATGTACATTACAGTATACTAGCAGATTAAAATTTCCGCCATGTAAACGAAGTAATTGATTTGAAAGTTTCAGGAAAATTTTTTTGATACAGATATTAATCTGAAATAAGTATTAATATCGTATTACTGTAGTTTTGAAATCAAGACTTATAAATACATTATATAATATATAATAATTAACTAGGCGCTATACGAGTATACACATAAATATTTCACATATTATTAACATATTATTTTTATATTATATTTATATATATATAATATAGTTAGGTGTTATATATTTGCCACAACAATATACCTAAAGAATAATTTGTGTAATTGCAAATTATTATCTAATTTCAAAAAATTACCGCAAGGGTCCCAAACTTTGTACTATAATTTTGTTGTTGCTTACAAATCAAGATATGACATTTAATATAGGACATGTTTTATAATTGAAAATTAAAATTATTTTATTATTATTCCTGTACAGTTACATAATATTTAAATTCAACTTTCAAAAATATTGAAAATATTTTTAAAAACAAACATTTTCGATTAAAAAAATTATATTTTCTCATCCATATATATACACATGGGTACATATGTATATGCATATGTACATATTCTATAAACATGATGTATATATTAGGAGATAATTATTTACATATCCATATACATACATATTAATTTGTAGATGTAATAGCGCAATAGTATTTAAAAATTTATCACATTTAGTTTTAACAAAATTTTATTCAAAAAATTAATTGTCAAACTGTGTATTCATAAAGATACTACAAAAAATAACGAAATGTAATTTTGAAATAATAAAGAATAATCTTCATTCCAAGTAAGTTACATAGAAGGTGTTGCCATTTGATAATAAACTACATATAAATTTTCTAGCAATTCAATCTCTTTTAATTCAATTAAATAATTTAAAAATTTTATAAATTAAAAAAGTTTAAATATAAATTAACGTAATATAGCAAAATTGTATTTCCTTATTATTTACTTTTAATTATTAAAATGAATAAATTTAATTAAAAACTTTCAAAGCGTATATATAATTTTATTATTTTAAATATAAATAATAAACAATGTATAAATATATGTTATATAAAATAACAAGTACTAAAACATAAAATGGAAAAATAAATTGCATAAGTGAAAAACGGAATATTCAAAAACCAAATATTGTCCCTAATAATATAATAAATTTAAAATGCGGATTAATTTATTGGCAATTAATTTGTGTGGTCGATATAATTTTAAACATTGAATATAATAAGCAAACTGACTTCCATATAAAAAAAATAATTTCATACAAGAATGTCTTTTGTCAAAATATATAGCTAACGAAGTTCTATTTAAAACATATATTCTAAATTCGAAAATCGATATTTTTCGATCTTACATAAAAATTAATACCACTTATAATTGGTCACTGGGGAATGGGTCACAGTACATTATTATTTAATATAATTCATATTTTAACCTATATTAAAATGCATAATATATGTATGTATAAGATTAGATCAAAAACAAATTCCGCAAGTATAAACTTCTATATGTATAACATAAAAATGATATAATATATTCAATATATTCTATCATAATATTACAAAATATTATATAAATGTTATAATTATAATATAACAATATACGCATATAAAATTTATATCGAATTTATAATATGTGAATAAAAATATGCTCAATAGTTTATAATATGTATTCTATTACAAAAAAAAAAACAAAAAATCAAAAATGAAACACTATTATAAACATATAAAATATGTTTACTACATTATACATATATATAAAAAATGTAGAGATTGTTAAAACCGCAACTCTTGTGCATATGAAAAAATTTTATCCCGTATATTAAAAGCAGAAACATTAAAAATGAAAGTGATATACTAAAATAACCATTTATATATAAAAAAAATATATAAAATTAAAATAAAAAAAAATAATTTAACAAAACATAGAAACAAAAAAATAAAATAAAATTATGTAAGTGACAAAAATGAGCTTATCAATTGAAAGCAACAAAATTTTCTTTTTACTTAAGAAAATTTGCAAAACACAAAAATTCTAAACAAAAAAAACATTAAATAAGTATAAAAGTAAGTAAAAAAAATTATACATATATACTATGAATATACTTTATTTTGTTATACTTGTGTAAAATTCGTTTTTATTTATAATTTAGTTTTTTTTAAGAGAGAAAAATATATTATATATAATGTAATAAAATATTAAATTAAAAATTTAGAATAAAATTTATATTAAAAACAAAAATTCAAAAAAAAAATTCAAAAAAAGAAAAAAGTATAAAAACAAACAAACAAAACAACATGAAATTCTGAAATTCTAAAACAAATTAATTAATACATATTTATTATTAAAAATATAATAATACATATAATAAATTAATATAAATGAATAAATATATATATATCTATATAAATATATATATATATATATATATATAAATAGAGAATATAATTACATTTAAACATAGTAATCACAAAATATGCTTTATGCGTATACCAAAAAAAAATAAAGAAAGAAAAACACATACGAGTATATTCATAATATGAATATTAAAAACATATATAATTACAAAATAAACAAGATAAGTTTGTAAATTGACAAATTATACTAAAATAGTCTTTAAAAATTATAAATAAAAAAATATATAAATGCAAAACGTGAAAGTTATAAATAAATATAACATATATGTATAAAATAACAAAAAAAAAAATTAATTTGATAAAATATATAAATAAGTAATAAAAAGATACCATAATACAAAAATGTTAAGATATAAAGAGTAAAACTTACTAAAAATGTATAACAATATTACGATACAAAAAATTATAAATAAAAAAAGAAAAATTATTTTAATTTTCTTTAGGGCTATACATTATTATATAACTATTAAAAAAAAACTACAACAATTCGTACTTATATATAATATATGCAGGCAGTATACATGTGTATACATATATATAATACATATATATTGGTATAAATATGACTATAAACAAATACTATTACAATTGCAAATATACTATAAAATACGTTTTTTTCAAAAAATTATTTGAGTTTTTGATAGCGTTATTCTTCAAATTTTATTTTTATAAAATAAAATTTCGTGTTTTACACATTTTTTCCAATAGAAATAGAAAAACACCTTAACAGACATTCCCGAAGTGTCATTTCTTTCAAAAGTAATTACTACCAATTTGAAAAAGCAACATCCCTGTAATTTTGTCTAAAGAATAGAAAATTGAAAGTGAAATTTAATTAATAGATGGCGCATATGTACATAAATATGGTGTTTTTGCGGAATATATATATGGATTTGTATATATGTATACACATATCCATACACATGTATATATGCACTAAAATATTGCATATAGAATTATAAATATAAAAAAATTATATTAATTCATTTCCAACAAAAAAAAAAAATTTAAGCAAAAAAAAACGTAAAAAAAATTTTTTTACTATTTTGGTGATTAACGAACTTTTTTATATTAAAGAAAAAATTGATACACATATTGTTATATTATTGAGTATTTTAATTAAACATTAATAAAACACACTTATAAAACACATACTCTTATAAAAATAAAAAAAAATAAATAAAACACCGACACATTACAACAAAACAAAAAAATAGTCATATTCATACATAAATTCTTACATTGTAATAAAATGCAAAATAGTTATTCAAAAACAATATTTTAAAAATAAAATAAAAGAAAAGAATAAAATTGATGGTCTCAAGAGCAATTTGCAGGATGCAACTTACAAAAACAAAAAAAAAACAAATATTATAGTTATGCTAGTAATAAAAAAATACAAAAAAGAAAAAAAAATATACGTTTAACTGTTCGCTGTTTAGAAAAAAAAAAATAAAATAAATAACAAAATAACCAATTAAAAATAATTAAACATAAAAATTATATACAAAAAAGAATTTATGTTTTTAAGAAAATCGAGCATTATTGGTAATACTTTCAATAAATTTTTTCAAAAAACTTTTTCTTGATTTTTTCAATATGCAATCTTCTTCCACATTTTTTCTCAAATTCCTTATTTTATTTATTAAAATCAAAATTTTGAACAATTTTCATAGTTTTCACAAAATAAGCTTCTATATACAATATAAAAATATTCGTAAAGAAAAATTATTTAAAATTATTAGAAATATTAATTTTTTCAGACATTTAGAATGCAATAAAACATAAAAATAATATTTTGTAAAGCAAATTATATTATCATTTATCAAAATATTCGAAACTTTAAATATAACAAAATTTAAATATAAAAAATTAAAAAAACTTTTATTTTGTCAACAAATCGAACAATATTCTTGAATGTTTTATAAAAAAATTCAATACGAATTGAAGTTTTCAAAATTTTCAAGACAGAAATTGAATAGTGCAATAAGAATGTCAAATGTTAAATAAAAAACACGTCACGTCACAAAAGCAAATGCAATATTGTATCAAATTGAACTAATATAAATATATTAATAAATATATAATTTTGTTATACAAATGTATTCAGATGAATTTCAATATCATTTCTTTTTTACGAATTTTAAATTACATTTTATCTGAATAAATGTAGAATATTTATAGAAAAAAATTTGTGTTTATAATACAATTAGACCAATATGAATTTTACATATAAATTTAAGTAAAATTTCATTATATAATGAAATGAAAATAATATCTCGCATAAGCAAGAAAAAAAAGGGGTTAAATTTTTTAATTGAATATTATGTCACATACGTGGCATTTCCTCCAACCTTAGAAACAAACTCCCAATTAAAACTATTGACTTGTTTGTTTTTCACACTTTTATCTATCATTTCTCCGTCCATCACGATTATAATGAACAATATTTAAAAGAAAAAAGCATTTATATAATTACTATACATTACAATTATGTCGAAAAATGTTAAAGTTCCTATACTAGAATTTTATATACTCATATATATATTGGATATATAATAAATACAATTAATTTTAAATATAAATTTTCGTATAATAATTAAATAATTTTTATTTAAATTTTTCTAATATATTAATTATAATTTTATTTTAAACTGGTTAACTATTAAAATTACATAATTAAATATAAAATTATTTTAAGTGTAAACAATTCCAATATTAAATAAATTTTACATATAAAATCAAATTGATTCAAAACTTTAACTATTTTTAATTAAATTAATATTTAAATATATAATTAATTAAAAATTATTTTTAATATGTAATTAATAAACCTACTTATTATAAAGTTTAAACTATTTATATCCCTGAAAATTCAGTATAAATTTAAAATTAATAAATTTTTTAATTTGCTTAAATTGCACTGATTTGCAACTTTTAGCGCAAATATTCAAAATGCTTTTTTTCGGTTTTTTTTTTTTTAATCATTTATTTATATAATCATAATATTGCCCAGTTTTTGATTCGTTAAATAAACTATATAGAATAATATATAGAATGCAATAGATAAAGATATAAAGCTACCCAGAATGAAGCGAAATTATTCCCGCAAATTTTACCGACGCCGGTAAAATAGCCTAAAATCAATAAAATCCTATTTTTTCCTACATCATTTGTTTCGAGGCGTGTATGACATTATGTGCAAAATACTAAACTGTTAATTTTATCATTCCGATGTTGTTCTAAAAACAAATAAAAATTGACAACAGTATATTTGTATTGTTGAACTCCTTTCATAATCTATTTTGCTTTCGATCTTTTATCTAAAAAAAATAATATATTAATAAATTATATATTAATAGCCAATATACATAACAAACGGTGTTACCACACTCAAAATTAACAAACCATAATATGATCAAAATGTCACAAACGCTTTTCGGTAAAACACACTCTTTCCTTTTTAGAAGCCTAACAATATTTCTGCATTTTAAGAAACCCATATAATTAGTAAACTGTACATTTTAATCCCAATATAAACTGTATACATTTTCATATCAATAATGCTCGAATATAAAAACATAGAAATCTGAAAAGAAAAAAATAAAAAAAAATTATTGACAGTTTAAATAAAAGAAGAAGAAAAAAAAACTATTAACTATAAGAACATATAAAAAACATTTTATATAAAAAATAATGTACTTTAGATCTCAATTCTACAACATTTAAAATAAAAAAAAATATTATATATATATATAGACATAAAATAGCAATGATTCAAATTTTAGATAAAAAAAATAAAACTTGTATTTAAAAACAATAAATAAATATTTTTAATTTTATTTAATTTTACTTTTTTTCTATATATACAAATATAGAATAACTATATTTTACGTTTTTTAGCATTTCACAAATTCAAAACTGCACGTTAAAGTAAAAATATTTACGCAGTCTTTTTATATATTTTTTTAAGTTAACGATTTGCATACAAAAAATATTTAGAAAATTACGAATAAAAAAAACGAAATAATAACAAAAAAAATTTATAAAAAAAAGACAAAAATATTTTATTGATAAATTCCAAAAAAAAAAAAACAAAAAAAAGCATAATAAAAAATTTAAATATAATAACAAAAAACCAAAAAAAAAAAAAAAACAAATTGCACTTAAAAAAATTTAATAAGAAATAAAAAATTTTTTATATAAAATATTCAAAAAAAAAAAAACACAAAAAAAAACTAAAAAAAAGCATAAAATTTGTAAGAAGTCTGGTCGCAAATTTTTTTTTCTATATTTAATTTTTCGATTTTCATTAGTTTCGTTTTTGTTTTTTTCTTATCTCTAAAATAAATTACAAATACAAAAACAAAAATCCTCGAAAATCAATTACATATATATTTTATATTTAAATGCAGTTATAAATTCTTGATTTTATATAATAAAAAAAAAACATAGGTAAAAATTTATTAATGTCGTTATAAATAGTAAAATTATTAAAATAGAATTAGAAAAATAAAAAAAAACTACAAACCTTATATACCTAAAATATGCAAAATCCAATGAAATTTTGTTTTTTTAAATTTAATTGAAAATATTTCAAATATTAATTAACATTTTCGTTTTTGTTATATGATTACTGAATAATTATAATAATAAATATTTTATGTTTTTTATTATAAAATTATTTAAATTTTAATTACATATATACATACATACATAAATGCTTAATGTAGCTATTATATAGGCTCAATTAAAAAGAAATACTTTTAAAAATTTTGAAAAAAGAAATATCCATACACACATTTATTTAAATGGTTGTTTAAAAAATGTTCACACAAATTAAAATCGATAAATACTATAATATAATAATAATAAAAATATAATAATAATAAAATTTCAAGAGCAAAATACAATATAATTGTTATTATGCTATATAATATGAAAATGCAAAATTATGTTTCTATTATATCACAATATCAAAATGTTATATAACTCTCCATATTTATTAATAAATATACATGTACATATTTAATATGCTTTCATATACGATAATATGCAAAAAAACATATGTACATACAGGAAATTTCCATATTTAGTTATCTGAAGTATATAAGGAAGTATACACACAAGGATAAAAGGATATTTAAATTGTTGTATGTATATATGTTATGCAAACTACAGAAGAAACTGTTATACTGCTAAAAATCTGTTATACGAAACTGTTATACAACTGTTCATAAATATAAAATTTATTAGTATCAAAAAAAAATATTCTTCAAATTTATTTCATTACATATTTGAGACTTCTACGATCAAAAATATGTTTATGTCACATTTCTATACTGTCGAAAAATATTTGACACAATTAAAAAGTTAATTTTCAATTCATCGTTAACCTTTTGTTTTCTATTTGGCTATTGCCTATTGGTAAAAACTGGCAACGATATGGTAAAAAGTGGAAAAATTATATTTTTATACAATAAAACGACACTAAGTACCTAAATTTTGAAAACACAACACTAGTTTGACAACATCCATATAGTGCATATTTACAAGATTCTATTTTGTGTCTTTGGATAATTACAGTTGATAATAAATTTGAATCGATATAACTAACTTAATTAATTTCTAATATAAAGACTTACCAGATCTTTATTAGAATTGTAAGCACCTACACAACAATATTAGGCGATAAATGTATGTATGTGTATATATTATATAGTTCAATAAATACAATATCAAATAATAAATAAATTTTCTGTAAAACAGAAAAAAAAATACTATAACGTACATAACTATAGAACTTATATACATATTGTGTGTATGTAATATGTATGTATATAGATACATATATGGATTTTGCATTTTGATATTTTAATGGAAAATTAAAAAAGTTCTTATACGACTGAAAATAAACAAAAAGACAAAATAAAATTTTAAATTGATTTTTATAACTTTGTTATTAATTGTTAATTTATAAAATATACTTTTTTTTAAGCAAAATATCTATACAATGTGCATAACACCTACATACATAAAAATTTATATTTATAGAAAAACGTGCTATATAATTTAGTAAAAAGTAAAACTTTATTTAATTAAATATTTAAGTTATAGATTTTTTTAAACTCTAACAACTGTTATCATTTGGCATAATACACAAAAGATAGAAAAAGAAACAAAAATACTCTTCAAATAATTATAAAAAAAAATAAGAAAAAAAAAACAAAAGAAAAAACGGAACAAATAAAAATTATTGTAAAAAATTATAAGTGCGATTTATTTAATTATTCTGACTAAATTCTTTACAGAAGAAAACAAATTATATCTAAACGACACTTACCGAATTATGCTCAACGCGTACATTACATTATACGCCTGAATCTAGGCAAATAAAAAAAATAATTTTGGAAGTATACACGTTTTATACGTTGGTATTAAAAAATTATCATGACCATTGTGTAATTTTTACCATCTATTTTTTTTTATTCTTGATTTTCAAAACTTACTCATAATGCCATATATATCAATCAGGCCACCAACGTTAGAGAGTAAATCAAAAAAAATTCCAAATTTATATGGAGTTTAAATGAAAAAAACTGGAATTTTTTATTTACTCTCTATAAATATTAAATTAAATCCTGTCTAAAATTTTTGAATAAGAAATTGACTTTAAAAAGAAATTGAAAGAAAGAAGAAAAAAGAATTGTCATAATCTAAATCGCTTTCAAAACCATATGAAATAAAATGAGAGTCACAAAGAATACTCAAAAATTTCACAAAAAATTAAAAAAATACTTTAATCGTATACAATGCTGCCAAACGTATCATTTTCACGGTACACATACTATTTTTTGGCCCTTGTACCATGAAAAATTTGAACTTGTCATGGTACGCTAATTGTGTATTTTTTAACCATTTTTTGATTAAGTATGAAATAAATATTATATTAACAAAAAATTAAATATGCGAATAACACTGCATTAAACACGTTAAAGACATATACATACCATAAAGACATATACATAAGAGCATGTTGTAAATCTAGAATTTAGTTGCTAGGTTCCATCATAAAGTTCCAATGACTTCTATTGAGGTTGATAACTGTTATTCGGATTTAGAGTTATTGTTCTGTATCACACTGTTATCAGAAAATTCCAAGTTTATAACATATATAAGAAAAACAATAAGTCGAAAAATACTCTTACAAGTTTTTATTTAATTAATTTTAAATAATAAATTTTCTTCAACTTACCAAATAATTGAACTACGTACTTCACTTAATTGATAGCGTAAAAATTGTGGGAGTAATGGAACATATTCTGATATCTGCTCTGTCATTAAGCAAAAAATAATCGATTTATCGTTCAACCGAGACTTTATAATCATATCTTTTAATTTTGCTAATTTTTTGTTTTATGGACAATGTAAGCAATTCGGGAAATGAATCATTTAATACCACTTTTATTTAGAATTTTACATTTTTTTCTTCAATTGAATTCGATAATTGCTAAATATAAATTTTTTAAATTAAATTTAGAATGAAATTATTTTTTAATTATATTTAAATTATTTTAATGATCTAAAAATAAGTTCGATTTTTTAGTAATTAAAACCTTATGTAGTCTATTAATAAATATTCAGTAAATTAATAACAACATTTTTATAAAAATTCTTAAATGAAAGAAAATATTTAATAATTTGATTTTACATAAGACCAATATTAAATTTATATTCTAAATTTTATAATTTGTGCAATTATCAATTATCACATTTAATATTTAATTAGATAGGAAAATCTCATATTACTTACAATGAAGCTTCAAATTTGATTTAGCTTTAAAAATATGCAAGAGCAAAATATTTTGCAAAGTTTTAATATTTACAAAAATAATAGAAAAAGTTTGTTTACAATAATACGATGGTTATTAGTCATCAAAAATGTTATTAAAAAGATATATTACGCAAAATTTTTTTATGAATTTCATATTAGTAAATTTAAACAATTTTTGAGCATTGACTTATACAATTATCACTAAATTATTAGCACATTATTGAATATTTTAAATATTATAATTAAAAAACATGTGATCAGATTTTATTTTAATTTATTTGAGACTGCATATGTATGTAATAAAATATACTAGATAGATCTTACAAAATAAAATTTCGCCTTTTTACTCACCAAGTATGAAGAAAGTGAGTGACTATCATGAATCATGAGTGAGAACAGTATTTTCTAATACGTATTAGATGTTTTCTAAAATGTACACAAAATTTAATTATTTTTTATTTACAATGCTTTTGTAAATGACAGATCGCTTTGATTTTAATTTTTAATTATTTACCCAATTAATATTTTATATACATATAACAATATCTTTAAACATTAATATGGTATAAGATTCGTTCTTAATGTCGGAAAGAGCTATTTTATTAATCAAATTTAAATTTAGTCATGATATTATAGAGTTTTTTTAATAATACGAGGAACGTTCTACATCTAAAACAATGGTCACATATGATCTCAAACCATACTCATTCAAATTTTTAAAATATTTTTCTGATATGCCTTGTGCGTTATACCCAAAACGGTTTTCCCTAATTTTTTTTTTAAATAAATATTTTTTTATAAGCTATTGTTTTAAAATCTATTATTCCCTAAAATTCATTTAAAAATTAACACTGATACAATTATTTAATATAAGGAAAATTTTGGTTCTCAGCAAATTATTCCCAATAAAATTAGTGACGCATGTATTCGCCAACTAAAATACTATTTCTAAAATTATTAAAAATAATAACTTGCTATGATTTTTTTTCTTAGGATTACGTACACAAAGGTAAAATTAATACCAGATTTATAATAAGTCATGTATTCATAACTAAAATATATTCAATTAGCACAATTATTCTAAAATTATTTACGATAAAATTCTCTAGACTTTATTCAAAAATTATTGAGCTTAATTTTGTATTTTGAAAAAGAGTGGGATATTTAAGATAATTCACACATTCTTGACAAGAAAAACGAAACTATAAAAAGTTCAACTTCACATTGAATAAATTTAGATTTATAAACCCTTTGTTTTCGTTAACTTGTTATCGGAAAACATATTTGGATAAAAAATGTTTAAAATTGTAAGTATAATCTATATTTACTATTATTATAAAATTTATAACATCTGTTGCATAATGTGACCTCCATAATTATTTATTAAAATTCTTATTATTAATTTTATTAATTTTTATTTTAAATATTCAAAATATATTGCAGATAATACTTTCAATTTTGATAATATGCACGTTTGGTGCACCAACTGAAAAATCTGATCAACCAGCTTTATTGTTGAAATCAGATAGTCACAAAGATGACAAGGAAATAAAATCTGCAACACTACCAGTGAACGAACGAAAATACGGGGAACATGTTGCCAAGCGTGATACAAATACTGATAAATCAGATGCTAAATCAACAAATGATAATTCAGCTCCTAAAGTTAAAGAGACCAAAGAATTACCTGCAGAACAGAAGCCAAAACGAGAGACCCATAATTTACAGTCTCATCCAGCTGAATCAGTAAGCAGCCACGAAGAAAAAAAAGAACCATCATCTGAGAAACCTAAAGCAAAAACGTTATCTGAAGAGAAAAAAAATAAACGTGAAGCACCCAAGCCACAAACACTTCCCGCAACCGACGTTAAATCAGAATTAAACCCAGAATCAGTTTCTAACCAACCAGAACATAACAAAGCTCCGAAACCAGCAGTTTTACCAGCATCTGCTCACCAGCATAAACGTGAAAATCCCCAACATTTACCAGCCAAGGAGACCGAAAATATTGGAACTAAAAGTGATTCAGATAATTCTAAAAGTACAGTAGTTATCAAAGATTCTGAATCAAACAATAAAAATAATGCTCATAAAAGAGATATCCCAGTTTCGTTAGTGCCCAGTACAAGTCCGAAATCTGAAGTTAATGAAGCAAAAAAATCTGACGCTAAATCTAGTTCGGAAGAGAAAGATTCAAAAAATGATAGTCAACATCGTCCATTACCTACTTATACCAAACCCGTTCCCGTTGCTGATTTATTCAAACAACACTGACATCAAATAGAAAGCTCAGATTAAAGTTTCGATTTTAACCATAAGATATTTTTTCTAACTATTTTTGTTAAGTTGTTAAGGGATTCAACTATTTCATGTACAAGTAAAAATAAAACCATAAAAAAAAATAATTTTAGTTTCAGTTCTGTTCATATAGTTTGCAATCTAATTACTTTTTTTTTTAAGGTAGGCCAAAAAAAATGTGTAAAGAAAGATTTAAAATACCGAAAGAAAACTGGCTAAAAATGACAACACTCCTTTTACACTAAGGTTCATTAAATACTCATTCGTTTCAAAATAAAATTTATTTATTATAAGATGCCGTGCATCAATCTAAATTTGTCTTCACATGAAGACTACATAACCACTTATAAGTGGCTTACAATTTTATTAAAAATTGGATCATAACAAACGGAATCTTTTTATACAATCTAGTTTTTTCAAATTTCAATGCCTACTGCTGTCAAACCTAACTCTTTCACATAGATCTTTTCAATACTCCATTCTACTTAATTTGAGCATACAATCATAACTTGAAGTATAAGCGATTGTTTTTTTTTTAAATTTACAAGTATTTTATTGTTTCTGGAACCGTAAAGTACTTGTACATATCATAATTAAAAATTATTCATAAGAAAGGTTTGTCCTCAAAAGTTCAATATATTATGTGTATTTAATTTTGTAGAATCAATAAAATTTTACTAAATCTAATCTGAATAAAAATCACCAATTTAATATGTATGTAATACCTTTATTTGAAATTGAAAAAAATAAGCTTGTATCTTAAATTTTTCAAGAGCCTCAATTACTTCTTATAATATTACAAATCTTTATTTTTTTTCTTGATACTGTTTTGTGTTTTCAATGCAATTGCTCTCGAAATGAAAGCCTAATATACAGCATTAAAATATTCTTTAGACTTTTTTGGATCAGCTACCATTGATTTTAAACCAGGTTTCCAATCAGCTGGACATACTTCACCGTGTATGTCTGTATATTGAAATGCTTGAACCAATCTTAGAGTTTCTTCAACATTTCTTCCAACCGGAAGATCATTGACAGTAATTTGTCTCAAGTTTTGATTACCATCAATAATAAACAATCCTCGAAATGGTATTCCACTTTCCTCATCTAAGACTCCGTAATCTTTTGCAATTTTCATTGATTTATCGGCAAGCAATGGAATATTGAGCGAACCTAATCCACCTTCCTTGCGCGGTGTATTTACCCATGCCAGATGAGTAAAATGGGAATCAGTTGAGCATGCTATTAACTGACAATTGATTTTTTTAAATTCATCAGCTTTTTCTGAAAATGCTATGATTTCAGTAGGACAAACAAATGTAAAATCTAAAGGATAAAAAAAGAGAACAACGTATTTTCCTTTATAGTCATTCAAATTTATTTCTTTAAATTGTCCATCAATAACTGCTTGTCCCTTGAAGTTTGGAGCTGGCTTTTGAATTTGTGGTGTCATTGCAATATCTAAAGAAAAAACAGTTTTGTTAAAATTTTTGAATTTCTCTATGCATACATATAATGATTATATGTATAAAGTCCAATATAATATTTAGAATTTTAAAAAATAAAATGATGAAGATCCTAAAATTATCTACACACAGGATATTATTTCTACTTTAATTGAATTTCTTATCTAATGGTTGTCGGCTAAAAAATATCATCGATCAATATTAAGAATAAAAAATTATCAATTTTTATTATTTTTACTTATTTTACTGATGTTACTTCCAAATCGTCACGAAAAATGAAGTTGCAAAATTACGAAATGAATTACGAAATATTTTTATACACACAGCAACGAAAGTCATCATACACTATTATTTTTTTAAATAATTTAGCATCAAAGATATCGAAATAAGTTAATATTTTTATTATTTGTTAGAAAATAAAGTAAAAGAAATATATAAGCTTATATATAACAAAAACAATTCATTAATTCAAAGTTATAAAACAAAAACAAAAAATTCCATTAAAAATTGCAACGAAATTCATCATACACTAAATAAAAATTTTAAAGAAATTGCAGAAAATATGGTATCTAATACCTTGTTGGTCCACCTTTTGCTTGAAGCACAGCTTCCAAGCGTCTTGGCATAGATTGAACTAGGTTACAAATGACAGTCGACGGTATTTTATGCCATTCTTCAATTATAACGCGTTTCAAAGACTCCTTGCCAGTTATGTCGTGTTTCCTAATTTTTTGTTCTAAAAAATCCCATAGATGTTCTATGGGATTCAAATCAGGCGACTGGGGTTGTGAATGGAGTTGTTTTGGATCGTTATACAACCGCCATTCCTTTGCAACTCTTGCAGTATGTTTGGGATCGTTATCCTGTTGAAAGACCCAGGTCGATCCCAGCACTAATTTTTTGGCAGACTGTTTTAAATTATTTTTAATAATATTTAATTATTGCCACTGATCCACTTTCCCACCAATAAAAACTACACTGCCCACCCCAGACACCGCAATCGACCTCCAAACCATCATAGAACCCCCACCATGTTTTACTGTGGGTATAATTTGTTGCAAATTCAGTGTTTCATTACACTTACGCCAATTTTTCCCCTACCATCTGCACCAAAAACATTGAATTTACTTTCATCTGTGAAGAGCACGGTTTGCCAGAAGTCCAAAGTTGCTTTTTCGTATTTTTTTGCAAACTCTATTCTTTTGCATTTATTTATATCTGATATTAGAGGTTTTTTACGTGGAACTCGGCCGTGATATCCTTCTTGCCACAAAAATCTACGAATAGCTTCGGCATGTATATCAGTGTGCAACTTTTGTGATGTACTTGCAACTAATTTTGGAGCACTGAGTTTCGGATTTTTCCCTAATTCTTGTAAAACACCTCTATTAGTACGGTCATCCATTTTCGAAGGGCGACCAATTCTGTGAGGATTTTCTACGGTTCCTGAATTTTCGGCCCGGTTTATTATTTGGACAATTGTCGAGAAACTCCGGCCAATTATTTCCCCAATTTGTCTCACAGATTTGCCTTTATAATTTAATTTCACTATTATTTCCCTTTCCTCTATTGTAGTTTCTTTACGTGTTTTTGCCATATTATTTTCTTGAAGTTGGTGAGCTTCATTAAATGAAAACAACAAATAAATTGACTTGTGCTTCAATAAAACTCTAAGCCTACTTTAAAAAATATTTCATGTCGGCACCTAAATGTCGCGAAACAGATTCCATAAAATTAATGTATGATAACTTTCGTTGCAAAAAATATCACAAATTTTTTATATTTTTCTTAAGTTTAAGCATACATTAAGTGGGGCCTTGCATCTTATACTCAATGTTCTTTAAATTAATTGTGCTTCGAAACTATGAATGAATTTTTCATCAAACTGTACTAAATTCGGAGAAATAGCAAAAATATAGGGTGTATGATGACTTTCGTTATATAGTGTACTTCATTCTGCTTTTTATACTTTGTAACTATTCCTATATTACACTTGAATATAAGAAAAGGGTTAATTATTTACAGTGAATCACAGTGAACCAAAGTGAACCAATCAATCATAGCGATTCACAGTGTTTGACTATTGGTAAATTCTTAAACGTCAAATTTTACAAAATCTGAGTTGTCTGAGTTTACGAATACTCTACTGCGTTTTTACTTTCAGTCAAAGTTTAAATTCTTAAACGTTTAAAAAAAGTCAATTAAGCGTCAAAATTGTAGATTTTTTTTTTTACATGCAGACAGTCTGACGTAGTAATTCAGTAAATAAATTTGATGTATTGAGTGACTATCATTACGTTAAAAATAATATAAAAATATTTTTTTTGTTAATTTTTAATATGTAATTTTTAATAAAATTATTTTAAATCTAAAAAAAAATTTTTTTTTGTTTTGACGTTTACGGATGATCAAAATTCAAAGTCAATTACGGGTAAAAAGTTTACTACATTTCTGTCCGTAAAAGTTTTATACGTCAGACAGTTTGCAGACTGAAAACAAAATTTTGACGTTAAAGAATTTGCGGTATGACTACTTAATTCAAACCACAATAAAAAGAAGCAGCGATTTCGATCACTTACATTCAAATATTCATGTTAATTTCCAATTATGCAATACTTATTAATTTTTCACCGTTAACTTGATTTATATAAACCGTTTATTTTATTTGATTTTTTTTTGGTTTTTTTGATAAATTACATTTGTCAAATGTACATACTGAAAATCTGGCAAGCTTAAGAAATTATTAACAAATATTTCGCTACAAAACTTTTAAAAAATTGTAGTAATACTTTATTACTATACAATTCAGCAATTAGCTTAAATTTATTAAGTTATATGGCAATGTAATCACATATGTAGGCCATATATTATCTGTATCTGCTGAACTTTGTGGCAATCAAATTTTACTAAGATTTTGAAGTCGTGAATATTTAGATTAATTAATGAAATTCAAACTATAAAAAATAAATATTTTAAGTAAAAATAATTTATGCTAAAAAAAATAATTAAAAATTCATTGAAATACTAGCAAAAGTAACAATTCACTTTAATTAATCGTTAACAATTTACCTTAATAAGTTTTCTTTTGACTTCAAGTTTTTGTATTTAAAAAATTATTTGTACCTATACCTACTAACAATAAAATAAATGTTACTTACATACATACTACTATATTACCATTTAGTAATACATGACGTATAGATGTATATCTATAGGCAGACAAATACTTTTCTATTATTTTACAAATAAAAATATTTTCCTAAGTAAACATTTATGTATATAAGCTTCAATTAAAAGCTTCAATTAATTATTAATGATTTAATAAAAGTAAATAAGATTATATGCGCTATAATCGACTATAATCGATACTTATTGAATGAAAATGCCACATTAACGAGCGTTAAAATTTCTTAATAATAATTTTAGGCTTTGTCCCAGTCATAACCTAAGAAAATCAGCAGATTTCAATGTAAAATTTTATAGTACACAAAATGATTACATTATTTTTTACTGCAATGCAATCGTGAATCGTTGGAGAAAACACAATATATGCATATGTACATAGGTACGCAGTACCAACATAAATATTATGTACATACATTCAGGAAACTGATACAAAATCGAGAAACATAACTTAATATTTTGCATGTATGTACATATGAGTAGGTTTTAAAATTGAACTCAGAGACACAATTCAGAGGTGAATTCAACAAATAAGTAATACCCAGGTTTAAATTGATGATAACGGCGATTTTACAAATCTTGGTTTCATTACAAGGCGAATCGATATATTTTTGTATTCTTTTAAATTTAATATGAAGCACCATCTCATCGAAATGTGCACATACATATTTATGTATATTGAACTTGTTTTATTATAATAATCAAATTTTTAATTATTATAATAATCTAATAGTTTAATAGAAATTTGTATGTTTAAAAGTACACAACATGTACAAGTGCATAACCACTTGTATCGAATTCATTAATCGACGTGAAAGGAATTTCATCGATATATTTAAAGTTTGAATCACCTTTACAACTACATACGTAATTCATATACATCCGTATATATAAAATTATATATAATAATGTATTAATGTATGTACGTATATTGTATTATATTAGTTAATGCAAATCTTCTACTCTAATACCGGATTTTTGAAGGTTACAGCTGACACCCGTCAAACTTGTAAATATATATTAATATATGTGTGTGTATACATGTTTTATTTTCTAAGCATAACTAATTTTATACATAGTTTTAGTAATATATACATACATGCATGCATATGTCGGTAAATTCTATTCTTTCTTTTTAAAGCTTGCATTTATTACGTATGATTTATTACTAGAATCATATCAACGTTCTTCCACTAATATATGAGTACTTACATATGTTTATACATTCATTTTTGTATATAAACGTGTGCACATTTTTATACTCATAAAATTACGCAAAAATATGTAATTCATTCAACATTTTAATAACCGTATTATACTTTAAATAATAACAATTGTAATATAATACGCAAAACAATCATATTTCACAATTAAAATTCTTATGAAAATTTTATATGAAAAGCAACAAAAAAAGAACCAGATTTAATTTGCCGGCCAAAAAATTTGAGATACCCTTTGCAAAATTTTTATCCGGAAGTGAATTCAACTAAGTTCATATTTGGAAAATATACGAAAGAATTGAATGCACTTAAATATTCGCAAATTTAAAATTTTATAAAATATCAAATCGATAAATAAGCAGGTACATACCCTTTGATTTCCAAAATTAAAAGTTTCTAGAAATAATTATGTATCGCCAAATTACAACTTCTCAATTTATTCAATTTGAAATCCTCCTTTTCGCACGCACTCAATGACTAAACTTAAGTATAATTGGAATGAAATGTTGAATACAATAAACAAAGACAAAGCGCTTCACAAATTATAACTTTTCAACAATGATGTTACTTTTTACATTTTTTTGTATCAAAATACTACTTTTTAATGTCTAAACATTATTCAAATGAATGGAATTTACTTTGACAGCAGAGTGTAAAATTTAAGTTAATGGAACTAGTTCAAAATTTAAAGATACTTTCACTGATTTTGTGAGAAATCAAAAATTTAGTTAATAAATAAAAACACCAAGAAAAATTTAATTCAAAATTATATGATATTATAAAATTTCGTGTATTTTGCATATTATTTCATGTTAGCTGTAACATCTATAAATATTAAAAAAAACAAAGGTGGAAACAGTATGAAGTATCGAAATAATATTATTCTGTAATTTTTGTAATTCAATAATTTACAGTTTGGTTTTTAGGGAAATTATCTGCAGAAAATGTGCTTTTGAATTTGTACTATTTTGTAAGCGTTGACATAACCAAAACATTTGATATGATTGACCATAATATTCTTTTGGATAAATTACATAATGCTGGAATTAGAAGTTTCGTGCAGTGAAATTTTATATGAGTTTTTCTAGTATTAATGTTTTGTCGAAGCTTATGCGTTTATTAAAGCTTATGCAGATGACTTGCCCTTTGCATATGATTCTCTAATTCTTCTTGATCTTTACGGAAATATTAATCAATAAAAATTAATGAAAATCAAATGTAGTAAAATTATTTTGATTTTTTCCATTTTGTTAAGGTTTTTAAAATTTTGACATAGAAATGGTTTTTGTGCTAAATCCTTTGTACAATAAAAAAAGTTTCAATGCTTAGAAACTTCAATTAAAGCTTGAGCAAGTGGCCAAAATTCCGTAAAAAAATTTCAATGTTTCGAAACACTTCGCACGAAATAATCTAATTGAAAAAAAAAATGAAAAATAAAAAAGGAAAAAATGGATTTTTCCCAAATGTGCGAAGGCTCGGCTGTCTTGAAGTACATAAAATACAAAATCAAGCAACATGTTTGTTTTACGTCTTTTACTGGGCCTTTCAAAAATTGTTTGTTTAAAGCCTTTATCTTTTTTGGAACGAAAGTTATAATCAAAAGCTCTTGGATAAGTAGAAATTTTGTGAAAATTTCTTAAAATCTTTGTAACTCGGAAACCCTTGAGATTCCGCACCTAGTCCTGAACAAAAATTTTACCATTTTTTGGCCCTCTAACCAATGGTATTTGTTGTTGTATAGCTTTTAAATCACCATGTATAGTCAAGATATGGCAACCACAGGTAATTTTTTTTGAGCGATTTCTAACAACTTCAAACTATTTCTGTCAAAAAATTTTATAAGAATTGAATAAGACTCAATTTTTTCATTAGATTTTGCTTGATTTGATTGGATGTTTACACATTAAATTCCCATTCTATCTAGCAAAATCGTTAAACTGTGCCTGATGTGTAAACGCTGTTTTAGATTTTTGATTTGACATTATCCGTTACTTCAATGATGCTTTATAAAAAGTGTAAGAGAATTGTAACAAAAACTGCTAAACATTTTGATACATTTTAGAAAACAATTTTTACAATATTAATAATTATTAATACATACTTTATTTGAACGTTTGTTTGAAAATTTCAATTTAAAGTTCGGTGCAAACGTTAATTTTTGCCAAATGTTACCATATCATTAAATAAATAGCGCGTTTATGCTGCTAGTTAACACTTTATTGCTGTAAAATATGCCAGTTTATTTGATTGATTATTTCTAACCACATTTATATGACATGCGTAAGAAAAGCGTACTTGATTTTTTCGATACCCGATTTACTTTTATTTTACGTATCCACTACGTATAGAACGCATTTATGAAAATTGTACAATGTCAAGAGCTTTTACTAAGCTTTCTGGAATGTGACACTTTGTAAAGTTTACGTTGTAAGCGCATTATTGAAGTCACGTGATACTTTGTAAAGTATCACGGAACTATTTGAATGTGATACTTACGTCGTAAAGTTTACGTCGTAAGCGCATTACTGAAATCACGATATGTTTAAAAATAGGTACTTTAACTTATCAAAATAAAAAATACTAGAACTATCGCCGTTAATTTCAAAGCATATGTTAAAATTTAATTCTGTCCCGTGAGAGGACATGTTGAAATATTTTTTAATTTATAGGTTTTATGTGCATACATATTTATAAAGAGTTGCCAGGTTTTAGTTTGTTTCATCAACCCATCTCCTATTAATGGCAAAGTATACGGTAAATCAACATGAAATGCATGAATTACAAATTAAAAAAAAGTACTCCGTAGATGCTTATCTTTCGGAGCTAATAGCATTTTAAGGATAAAAGTTCTTAGAATGAGATTGACCTCATTTTAAAAATAAAAAACAAAACCTTCAATAAGCACCTACTTGCATTTATTTCATAGTATTGATCATATAATTAAAGTATGTGTGTATATTTATGTCGCAATTTATTGAATACATTTAATTTTCATTAATAAAATTATATGTAATGTATGTTTGTAGTTTTTGCATACAGTATATTTTTAATTTTTAAAAATAAAAACGAAATAAACTTCTTTAAACTTGATATAAAAAACCCATTTAAGATCTACATGTGCAAATTAAATAATATAATCGTAATAAATAATGATTATTTATTATATTTTGTTTTTATAATAACCTTTTCTATTATTTTTACAATATACAAATATCAGTATTTTTGAGTATTGAGTGATGGTACTATTGGATAATGATGAATCAAGTATAATTACTGGTTTCATCTAATTGATGGATCAAGTAGAGATAAAAATCGATTCGATTCAATTGATAAATTTACGTCAAAATTTTTCAACCGCGAATTTATTTTTAAAACACAAAATTTTAATTTAATTAACATAAAAAAATATACCAAGGTTAATGAGAAAATTTCTTTAATCGCATAAAATTAAAAATCTTATCACAAAATATCAATTCGTTTCAGTATCAAACCTCACAAAGCGAAAACTTGCCTCCAATCGGAAAAACAACAAATTTTTTTTTAAAAATCAAATGCAGTCCTGTAACTATTAATATATTTATATAAAACTTTAAATTTGTTATATTTTTAAGAGGTATATGAAATTTATGAATATATTTATTATCAAAAATGAAGTGTCTTTTTTAAATTAAAATCCCCAAAATTGAAAACAAAAGAATCTTGCCTTATAATAAACTCACAATACATAAAGTACATTATTTATTACCTAATGGTCCAAACTATTTATTTTATGGAAAAAAATAAAATAATTACCCCCTAATATATGTATTCATTTTCATTTTACAAATGCGAAACAAAATGCGAACACCCAATCCAGCTCATCTAAAGCCGTCATTTAAATATTGAATAAAACTTTCTTTTACAATATTTTTTTTCTCTAATTAGAATTTTTATTTTTATATATTATATGTTGCACATAATATGTATATGTATACATAACACGAAAAATTTGATATTTTATTAATAAGACAAATGTTATTATGTAACATAATCAAAAAGGTGACGTTAAAAAAAGTCTTTTCATTTTCTAACATAGGAAATGATTAAATATTTAATAAAAAATAATTAAAATTTATGAACTCGTATCACTTAGATAGGGTCATAAAAAAGAAAACATTTAAATATGAAATATATCTATAAGTATTGATCAATAAGGTTATCTCTAAAATTACAAATTCGAATTGTAAATTAGAGTTGTAAAAAAATTCAATTTGAAACACACATAAAAATCTATTAAAATTAAACATTCCCAAAAAATACGTAATACAAAATAAACATGCATGTAATCATGTTTTAAAAATTAATAAGCATGAATTGAAATAATATTTCATTATTTCTTTAAGGTTCGAGTATTTATAGATAACAATAAAATTTGTTATCTGTATTGCAACCATCGCACAATCATCTTAACATTATTACTTAAGTGTTTATAATTTTTAAATAATACATTCAATGTATTTTAACATAAAATTGAATGTTTTTTTTTATTGTAACACATATAACAAAAATAGCTTTTATATTTTATTATTATATATGGAATAGGTTTATATGATTATGTAATATAAAATAATACATAACATATTAATTTTTTTTGTACATTAACATATAATTATATACATATGTACTACCGTCCATATCATTTTTTTTTTATATTTTCGATGCAGTTTTAAATATGACATACATTTGAAGAAATAATCCAATTATATTAATTTTTTAAGAAATTAGTCCAACATAAATTATGTGAAATGTTTTTGAACAGGAGTGTGATTAAGAATTATTGATATTTAAAGCTACTTTTACTAAAATACAAAAAGCTTAATAAAAAATAATGCTAATCAATGGTCCATTTAAACGTACAATATTTTTTTATTAAAATAGTAAATAATTATTCTTCAAAAAATTTATTGTAGTTCTTAGGTTATCATATACATTTGGGACGGCCGGTAGCAAATATTGAAGTTTATACTAGAATTATATAATAATTTGAAAATTCAAATGAAATAATAAAAAGAAGTTGTTAACATACTTAATTGCCTAATTATTTTTCTTAAAAATACACCTCAATTTTTATTTAATTATTAAAAACAAATAATATATATCATATATTTATATTTAACTTACGTAAGAATAAAGATATTTTTTTAATATCTAAATATGAATGTATCATGAAATTTTATTAGCTAATATATAAATATGTTATGTTAGTTTAAAATACATATATGTAAACTATAAATTTTTTTTATCTTATATCTTGATTATTTTTGACTAGAAATTATAATATGATTAGTGCAATAAGCAAATTATTTCATTGCATGTATAGTAATTTCAATATTTTTTATGCAACTTATTGTTTTTCATATTTGGATAAAATAATCATATTAGTGTTGTATTATTTATAATTACGTAACATCAACATTTAAATCGTCAATTTTAAGTGAAATTATTCGACAATTTCTAATTCTGCAACTGGTAAATCCGATGTTTCTTTACAAAACGTGCTTGATCTTTCCAATTTTGATTCATATTTAACGTCTTTTAACTGTTCTCCGTTATCCACTACAATAATTTCAATTTTCTGTTCTCGAGTATCTTTTACATATTTTCCGATTTTCTTCACTTTTTCTTGTCCAGCATTTGTTTTATTTTTCTCAGCATAATTTTTGCTTTCGACCGTAAAAACAGCCTTTTGCGTGTTATTTAATTTAATTGTTTGGTTATTTTTCATTAAAGTGCTATTAATAGTTGTTAAATTTTGTTTTCCATTCGGGGATTGTTTTTTGTTTGAAATGGATTGCGGCAAACTGGAAGATTTAAGTCGTGTTGGAATATTAGAACTGCTATTACTTTTATTAATGCCGTTCGACTTTGTGCGTGGTAATGCAATTTTTGCATCGAAAGTTTCTGTTTTAGCATTTTCAACTTGCAATTTCGCTACTTTTTCCAAATTTGCCGCTTTTCGTGCCAGTATTTCTCTAGATTTAGCGCTTAGAAAACTTTTTTTAACTGATACAGATGACACTGGAACAGAAATTGACCTATTTTTAAATGCATCACGCGGAGAAAAACCAGTAGAACTAACGCTAGAGAGTCGACTAGACTTATTGGTAATGGAAGATGGACTAGATCCAGAAGTATTTTGAAGACCTGCACCAAATCCAGTAGAAGTTCCATTTGCAGTGGATTTTGTTTTAACTAATTTTGTCGTTTGTATTACATTCAGCGGTTTTTTTGTTGTGTTATTCTTAACATGATTTTGTGATAAGTGAATTTTATTAATACCTGGATTGGATCGAGAAATTTGTCGATTTTTCGTTCCACTGCGCAGAGATTCATGAGAAATTGTTTTTTCGGTAATAATAGAGCTACGCATACTGTCCGCTAAAGAATCGACAGATATTTCATTTTCTGTTTGGACATGTGATTTTACCTGAATTGATCTTTTAGATGGTGAAGCTAAACTGTCCAAAGACATATTTATTGATTTTGTACCAATTTTCCGTTGTGTATTTTGTATTTTTCGAGAAGTAGCTGGACTAGAGTTCCTAGAACTGTCACTTGAAGATATCTGATTATTTTTTACTTTAAGATTATTATTTGATAAAACCTTTATCGGCCCAGTTGAAGTCGCCACACGTGGTTTCCTTGGCTCTAAATATCGTGGGCGAATTTCAGATAATCGATTCGATAATGATGTTGGCCTTGTATTTGATAAAGATGTTGGCCTGTTAGAGGCAGATAATCGAGTATTTGTTAAAGAATTGGGCCTTGAGGAGGACTGTTTCAAAGAATTATCTGGTTGACGCAAAATTACATTATTACTTGTAGTGGACAAAGACGAATCTTCAGACAATGTTCGTCGATGTCCATTTGTGCTTAATTTTTCGTGTACGGATGACTTAACTTTTTGCACCACATGAACACTTTGTATTGCACGTAAAGAAGATTTGGATGCTTTAACTGGAAAAAATAGAGTTCTTATTATAAGAATTTTAAATAATTATTTTAGAATAAAAATTTACCACCAAAATTATTTTTGATGTTATCTGTATTATTCACTACTTGAATTAATTTTTCATTAGTTTGAGTATTGCGATCGTGTGTGTTAGTTTGTGTGTGTGCCGAAGCCCGATATAACTGTTTGTCTTGATCCAAGGCTCGCTTAGAATGTGCTTGAATAGCTAGTTTTACTTGATACAAATCTTGATTTCTGCTCCCACTGCTAAATGAAATTTGTTGTTTATTATTAACATTACTGATACCAGCATTTCGTCTAACATCCAAAGGCTCAGTTAAACAAGCCAACTTTTGAATTTTTTTTCTTAATTCCAAATCCATTCTTTGCCATGCTGTAACCCGCATCGCCCGTGAACATTGCCGTGTCAAACATTGTTCTACAGCTGAAAGTATTGCACTTACTAAGCGAATAAATTCTTCATTCCATTCCATTTCTTCTTCAGTTCCGCCCAAAATTAGAACATTACCAAAATCATGGTTAGAAATATTGTTTGAGCTTTTATTTTCGCTTATAGTAGCTGGCATTTTTATTACTTTTGCAGCTAAGACCGCGTTTAACCGCGTCACTCTTTGGTAACTTCGACAGGCTTGATCAGGATTCAGTGATGATGCTGTTCGTAAAAGTAAATTTTCTAATTGTGTTATATCAGAACTTTTATCATTTCCTAAAGATAAGAAACTATCACTTGCTATGAGACTTGCAAAATGGTCACTTATATATGTATACGCTGCATCTAATATATCTCGCAAAAGATTTTCAATAACGACAGCCCAACGGAAATGGGCTACTTGTGCAATTAGTTGATCACAATCCAATATAGCTTGAAGTACTGATTCTGAAGTCTAAAAAAAAATATAAACCTAGCAACAATATATAATTAATAAAAGGAACAATAGTCAATTACCAAATGAGCTACAACTTGTTGGCGGCATCTGTTAAAAATTTCAGAAGGCAATTGTGCAAACGATCGGGTCGGCCAAACTTTCAAATAATGCCGACAAGTCCACTTCAAACATTTTCGATACAAATCATCCAAAGCGTGATTTAAGGCAACTGGTAGCACTTGCAAAATTCCATCAATGCACCCTGAACACGGTTTATGGAAATTATGACAGTAACTTGATTTTAACGCATGTGTTGTAACTTCCTTCAAACCTTCCAAACCTAAAAGATCCGCCAAAGCAGCCAATTCCATTAGACTTATTCCATCAGGAGGATGACATGCTCCCGAATATATGTGGCATAAAGCAAAGTGCACCGAGCTATATGAGTATCCTTGCAAAGAAATTACATTTCCAGCAGACTGTACCCAGCCTCCAGCTAGCATTGCAGCAAAGTATTGACATCTCGATCGTAAAATACATTTATGTGCCTTTATGCGCCTGCCATTTACCTCCACTATTACATCCGTCCCAATTTCTTGAAGAAACATTTTTAATAAATCTTCTCCTAATCTTCTGGGTTGTCGACAAGAAATTGATGACTCATCGAGAGCAGAGCGGCTAAAGCTTGATGCTAAACTAGAATCGGCTGTGGATATGTCTCCAGAGTTAATAAAGTCTATTTCGCTAGGACTTCTTTGGTGGTACATCAAACTTACGCTATTCAAGTTACTAATTCCCCTTTGATTTTGAAGCAAATTCTTTTCGGAATGTACATCATTAGGAAGACTATTACTGAATTCTTTTGAAAGATGAGGAAATAATCTAGTTAAACTTCGTAGATTTTCTACCGAGTTCGTAATATTAATTATACTATTTCCGGTCGATCGTGTCATTGCCCACGAGTGTGGTCGATTTCGGGTAGTTTCTTGAAATAGTCGATTTATATGCCGTTGATTGCCTATGTCAAAAGATATAGTAAGGGATTGGAGACTAAAATATATCATTAATATTATTTATGTTTTACATACCGACTGATTTGGACATAATAGCCTCAGGAGAGTGTAGCTCAAATTTAATAGGAGCAATTGGCTTATCAAGATCAGATAAACGAACAAAAGCTCCACTTTCTCCTGCTTCGGTTTGTTCATTAACAGTTTCCAACAACATTTTTTGTTTTTCTATGGTAGCATGAAGCGATTCCATTGTGTGTGAAGTTGTGTGCTTCTCAGATTCATTATTCAAAGTTGATTTTTTTGGTGAAGATGTTTCTCTGGTTTCAATAATGGTTTCCATGATTGTTGGTCTGTTTATGTCCTTTAAAGCTGTTACATTTGAAACAATAGAAGATGGATTTGAAATTACAACGGCTGGCTCGCGTATAAAGTTTTCGTCTTGTTGAAATGTCAAGTCATCGGTATCAGTAGTATTTGAAGCAGGAGAAAGGTCTTTAGATAAAATACCATCCGTTATTGAACCTTGACTACTTTTATCAAAAGTTTCATTAATTTTTACATCCCGACGTCGTTTTTTCTGCTTTTCTACAATACATTTACCATTTAAATCGTTTTCTGCGGCAGAATTTGATGTCACAGAATTATTTGAATATGTACTTAAATCTGTTTTTGAACAAGTTATATCATCGAAAGGTGAAAGAGATGAATCAATAGACATGCTAGAAGTTTTTGATATTAATGGTATTTTGTCCAAAATATTCATTATATTATTATCGTTTGAATCAGCGGATAAACTGGAAGACCGCTTGTGTTCCTTATGCTCTGTGCGTACGCGACTCACGCTACATGAACTAACTTCTGGATTATTCCAAGAATGACGTTTCAAATCATCTTTTTGAAACAATGGTGTTCGACGCATAACAGGTGATTGCGTTGATTGTAAATTTTTAGTACCAACACTATTACAAACTGCATTTGTTAAATTTTGTGGATTCTTCCGATTTTCTTCTGATAATCCTATAACTTCTCCTTCAGAATCAGGATTTTCCAAATGAAAGTCATGTTTTTCTAAAAAGAAAAATTTTAAATTATTTTATAATCTGGGTGTACTTTAGAATAACGTAATTCAAGAAATTTTTTATTGGATGTAAGTTAGTTGCAAGCTACCGATGTTCAATATACCTTTCAAGTTCAATATACCTTATGAAATATGTATATTATTTTTGTATGCAGACTCAGTTTTGACAATTTCAGAAAGCCTGCAGTATTTACATTATACTCAAAGTACATTTAAAATAAATTAGAAATTTCTAAACTTATTTTAAATTAGTTTTTAAAAATATTTCAAAGGAAAACAGACCTGAGCTACTATTTAAAGAATTTCCTTCATTTTTCCCAATATCTTCTTGCTTCTTTTGCAACAAAGAGCTTGATAATCTTGAAGCCAATGAAAACGGTCCCTTTTTGTTTAAAACCTTTTTTTCGCCAAGATCTATGAACATAGAAAATATATTTTTTTTATCCACATCGCTAGTTGAGGATCTTGGTGTACAATTTAAGGTTTCTCTCTGGGACGGTGGGGGTGTAGCGTTTCTAGAATTTTCACTTTCTGATAAATCAACGTAAAAACCGGTTGCTTTTTTACCGTTTTCGTACAAAGATCTATTTACTTTTATATTTTCACTGCACCCAGCTGTGGTTCCTGACGAATAATCAGAATCAATACTTTTAGGTGGCTCCATGTCATTCAATGAAACATAAAATCCTAGTCCACTTCGTTGAGAGTTTCCGGAAGTATTTCTTTCAAACGAGGAAATGGAGCGTGCTGTGTTCTCAGTACTTGAAGACGAACTAGTACTTCGCCGCCTTTTTCCATTTATTGAACAATCACTCATATCAACTACCCAAGTTTGCTGTTTTAACTTAGGTTTGTCACGGGAAGTTTTAACAACAGCATTACTTTCGAGATCATCGTCACCACGTTGTAAATCTAGTGAAATAAAGCCTCCAGACACTATAGGACAAGTTTCAGTTTTGCGACGTACTGGTGGACTCTCACATTGTTTGGGTGTAAAGTCTTTGATAGATGCTCCCCCTGAAACTATTGGTGCTGAGTCGTCACATCGCAATTTTTTTGGTATTTTAATGCCTTGTGAAATATTATCCAAATCATCATTTTGCAATGCAGAATCTTTTATTACTTTCGTACTCTGTCCAATTTGCACAATAGAGTTGTGTGGCGTATCTGGCAAAATGCAAGAGGCTGATGTACCACCTTAAAGAATTTTTAAGTAAATCTTAATAAAACTTATATCAAATTAAAAGATATAAAATATAGAAAATAAAAAAAAACACATGTTGTAAGCAACATGTGCAGAAGTAAGATGATTAAAACTTAAAGCTTTACCTGAATCAGATGCCAAACGTGAATTACTAAAGTTACTAGACTGTTCACCATAATCGCTACCATCTCCAAATACATCTGCAGGTTCGTAATTTGAAAAGCGATTAATGTTACCTTCCACATCTGACCAAGCTAAACTCGGACCAGGACTTTCCCCCAAATATTCAATGAAATTATTTTGTTCCGTTACTGGAATGTTTCCATTGCTTTTACTTACTTGAGGTACTGGGGCTCCATTATTAAAAGGAATTTTCGGATTAATTATATGACCCGAAAATTGCTGAATATTGTTTTGAAAAATCAAATTTCCTTGTTTTCGCTCTTGATCTTTGCGTATCACTGCCATTTCCTTCTCTTCTGCTTCATTAATACAAGAATTTACGGCAGAAAAGGTGGAATTTTTAGTGTTAACATTACTGGCTTGTCCAGTTTCTTCAACATGTGATGTAGAAAAAATTTTTACTCCTATTTTAGTGTCATTAGGACTTTCTTTATTAAATTGATCTTTGACCTCAATTCGACGTGTTTTCTTAGAGTTTTCTCTTTTCCAAAGTTTCTCTTCATCTGACAAATTGTGTGAATTCTCTTCAGTATGGGAAATGGTTCGCTCATTCACATGAGGTGAATCGCTTGAAGAGCTACTTGTATTGCTATCACGATCATCAGGACGTTTGTTTTTATTGTGTGCATCAATAGATTTTGTTTTACACAATTCAAAAGATTTATGGAATGTTTCGAGTTTGTCTAAATTAAGTTTTTTTTTCCAACTTTCAGAATTTGTAGACTGACTTGAAGCTGATATCTGAGAAGTTTCCTCTGGTGAACTAAGTGTCGAGGCTTCAGTACCATTATTCCCGTTAGATAATAAATGCTGTCGAGAAATTCCAGATAAAGTATTTTTCGTACAAGACGACATATTCAAAGTTGTTACATTTGCAGACAAGTTATCTATTGGACAAGTGGGCTTTGGACCGAAACATCCGTTTTCGGGAAGGGTTGGTGGATAAACTTCTGACTCGTCTAATAATGATGCAGCATCTATGAAACAAGCACTTATAGGACAACTTGCTGTTACTGTTTGAGTTTGTGAAAAACCAGGCTGCGAATTTGAATTTTCCCCTTTATTCTCTTCATCAAGTTTCACATATTTTTCGGAAGCAATGTCTTTAACCTAAAAAAAAAACATTTATCAGAAAGAGTGAATAATGGCTTCAAAGTTATTAACAATTTTACCTCAAGATAATTAGTCCCACTTGCTATTACATTTGAAGGTTGTGAACTATTATGTGGAAACACAGATTCCCAAGAACCAGTCTCGGATGAAACAGATGAAGTTTCCATTATTACAATTTCTTCGTTTTGTCTTTGCTTTTCTTCTTTTGTAGAAGTTGATTTAATTTTCTTTTTTTCAAAAATCTTATTATCTAAATCACTATTATTACTACTAGCGCTTCCACTACCGTTCCCACTAGCATCACCAACACTAGTTAAAATAGATGAATGAATATTACTATTATTACTGCAATTAGGATTAATTGGCAGATTTAAAGGTGATCCAAAAGATAAATTATGCACCTCACTACTGCAGAGTGTATTTTCTACGATTCCAATACTACTATTGTCTTTTTGTCGACCGACTGTGGAAATTTTGCTTTTTGGAATGTTGCCGCTAGTTGAAGGACAAGAAAAAGTAGTTTCGTTACAAATTTGATCATTTATGTGTCCATTGTTACTAATTGGTGAAAATGTATCTCGTTCTTCATCATGACTTACTTCACATATTTTTATTGATGACTCATTTAAACTTTGAAATCTATTATCAATCTGATTTATTATTGATCCTGATAATACGTTATGGTTTGAAACATTTAACTCTAATTTGGGGAAGTTTCGCTGAGTGTAACTTCTCAAATTTTCACTTGTAGGGGAATCTTCAACTAAATGATAAGATGTCGGAGATTGTGATGAATCATCTAATATTTCAAAGGTTGATCCAGAATCTGCTGACGATGTCCTATTATTTTTCGGATTTATTTTAAACTTACTGTCACTAGGAGTACTTGGACTTTCAATTTCTCGATCGTCTTCACAATAATTATCGCTGCTGTTATTGTCATTTAAGTTATCCGTACCAGATACAGGTTCTAAAATATCAAGGTCTGATGGATTCACAGTACTACTCATATTACCAGATGCTGTGCAACTATCAAATCCACTATCTAAAGTTGCTGTAATTAAAGATCGATCAATTAGTCGTGTAGTGGAATCCATTTTCTATATATAGAGAGGCATCAATTAATATTCCATAAATTTCCTTACAACTAAGGTAATTCATCAAAAGTACTTCATTGTATTTCTTACAATAACAAATAAAAATTCAAATTAGTAATTTAAGTTTTCCATTATTTTTTTTTTCTTACTAAAAGCAAGAAGTGAAATTTAACAATTACATCTTAGAACATATGTATAGAAGATATGTATTTTAAAAAAAAATATTAAGTTGAATATACCGCGATAAAGTTTATTTCTGGAAAAATATCACTTTTTTTCTGTCACAGACTTCAATAAAACTATTTATATTGATTTTTCTTTGAAACTTATGAAAAGCTCGTATAACTCAACCATATAAATTGTTGTTTCAATTATTTTCTTGGCACATCAATTTCATATCCTACATATATATATACACATATATATATGTACATACATCAACTCTGACATAAGATTTTCGACATTAAGTTAAACAATTTTAAAGTTCGAAAGTTGTTTAAGTCTACTAAACTATTTATTTCTTACTCTCTGGCTTTTCTTCAAGTTTCTTTGTATATTTTCATCTGGCTTTGTTTATTTACTTGAATGATTATATGTTTCCACTCTTTTCTTTTGTAATAAATAGTAAATTTGAACATGTGATGAGATCAATGTGTTGTTTTTATATTTTTATAATTCGTTTCTTCTTCCCCGCGCTATATTTTTATAAGAGAAGAATCGTATTTGTTGTAAATATTCTCATTATATAAATTTTAACAAAATTATATTTGATATTTGAGAAGATTATTTTTTGCGATGATCAGCTCGTTATGCAGGTGTTAAAAATTTTTATTAATCATAAAAATTTAATATGCTCCCACGCGAAAACATTTTTCAATAAAACTATTGTCTGAAAAAAGAAAAACAAAGAAATATAAATTAGTTTAAAGTTTTTACATAAGCATAGTAAAATGTTAATTCTATTAATTAAAAGTATCTCAAAATCAAAAGCTAGTCTTAATTGAAAATAGTAATCTTAAATAGTTAGTATTTGCTAAGTTTGAATTGATTTCATTAGTATAGAAAGTAAGAGAAAAATTTGTCAGATTATTTAAAAACAAACGTACTCTAACAAGTAATACGAAATTCTCAAAACAAATTTTCAATATCATACAAAAACATAATGAAATTCCCTTCCTAAAGAATGCTTTTCTGTTTTATTCTACTTCTCGGTTTTATTTACACGATAATTATAGAATAAATTTTAAGTACACTTTTATCCTACAAAATTTCTTTTGTCAAATAGAAAACGTTTTTCTATCCTATTAACAATAAAGTCGGATATTTCAAAGGTAAACGGTTAAAAGCGTAGTTATATTGTATACTTATGAGAACTTAATAGTAAGTCCCACCTAAATCTTAGGTGGGAGTTACTATTTGAGTAATTTGCATCTATTCAAAATATGTATTTAAAATTTCTGAAATCTATTTGTTAACTATCAACTACATAAATAAAGAAATGATATAGTGAGACTCATAGACACCTAATGCTCTAGTACCCTTCAAAAGTTGGTTTATTTTCTTTTTTTTTAAATACTTGCAATACAATTTAACACAAAAAAAATTAAATTGAAAAAAATGCATCAAAATTACGAAAATATTAAAAATTTGATAATATTAAAAATTACAACATAAGGAACAGGATATACAATGTCAAAGTGAAAAATATCGCAAAAGGATGAATAAAATGATGGCATGGCATGTGGATAAAGGAAACCACAAAAAAAACGTGATGTGATCAGCGTGATGTGATGTGAGAAAACGAAATTACTTGGCATACGAATTGAAGACGAATTTATTAGGTGTTCCCTGAGAAATACACAGAAATCTGAAATCTACCTCATTGCGAAAGTCCAATTCCCCGAGTTCAATTTCCCAAAAAGTTTACAATTTGAATGAACTCTTCAGATTACTGAAGAGAATTATAATACTACTTGAATTTTTATTTTACTTGAGTTGATACTTGACTACCAAATTAGAAATCGAAGTTTTTCGACTAGTTCCATTGTCAGACAGATTTTTTTAAAAACCAACATGTTTTTTAAGTTGACAGACCATCACACCAACACATCAGGTTTTCGCTGAAAATATTTTATTTGTTCTTTAACACAACCGAATGCATTTCAATTAAAAACTCAATATTCGAAATTTGATACGATCAGAGAATTTTCCCTTTATTACACATTTGCAATGCGCCCTGTAATAAATTGCACAAAACTTGTATTTCTTTTAGGGTTTCACAAAAAAAAGGTTAAATATTTTATGAATTCAGCGTAACTAAACGAAAAAAAAGTAACTCATAACATGCAAATGTTGCAATGAAATCAAAAACAGTAAAAAATATGGTACTAATTTCTCTTTACTTTTAATTAGGACATAATGAAAATTCTTCCCAAAATAATATTTTAAATGTAACCGACATTGTAATCAAATTCTCTCTTATGCTATTCACACTTCAATTATTTTTGCATGCCAGCTTTTTAACAAAAATTCAACATCATCATTCATCAAGAACCCAAAAATTAATATTTCATAAAGAAACATAAAAGGTTTACATAGCTCAATTTAGAAAATAAACTGGAATGGTGAAACTGAAAAAGTGCGAAAAAACTTAACCGTAGAATTATTCAACCGAATATTTGAAAATACATTGTGTACGAGTATCATACAATACTCATATATAAGTATGTACAAATACCTTGACGAATACTCTAACTTTTATTTATGTACAATTTATATACGTGGTTCTCTTCAGTGTTTGCAAAGTAATTAAAAAAAGTTTCAACGATACAGATTATCTGTCAACGATACAACGATCTGTCAAAAGCTAACGCATGTTAAAATTTGCAATTAGAATTATTTGAGCTTTAGGCTTAAACTAAAAAGAATAATACGTTTCCCTAGGCTCTAGAGCAAATTTTTTTAACATTCAAAAAATATGTTTTTTTAATTAATTCAAATTTGTTTTGTTGCGTGTTGCTTTACTAAAATATCAAAAAATAAATTTTCTTAAATATTTCCGAAATACAAAATAAAAAATACATGATTGTCAATTTTTTACAACTTTACATCAAATATTTCCTTCGGTAGTTCACATTAGTTGGAAAAATTTTTTTGCACTAATACATCTAATACATATTTTGATTTGGTTAAATCAAAAATTAGTAAATTTTTTAATAAATTAACGCAGCATCACAATATTTTTAAATATTTTATAAACTAGACATGAAAGCTGAGTCACATTGCTCATACCTAATTAAGTATAAAATAATTTAAAAGAAATATATATTTTTTCATATATAATATGGTTAAAAATTAAATTTATCTTGCCGTTTCCTAGTTTAGAAATATATGTACATATACTTTTATAATATACATATACATATAAGAGTGTAAATGATAAATGAAAAAAGATAATTAACATATCTTTTAAATTTAAATTTACAAATATTACAGTCACACCCGCTTATAAGCACATTACAATATCAAATTATATTTTCATGCGCTTTTTCCCTAATTTATCTTTGGACGTAAGTTTCAGAAAAGCACGAAAATAAAATTTTATAATATTTTGCATAAGCTATATTGAACTAACTATAGATTATTGCAGCTACAATCTCAAAATTTAGTTCAAAATGAAACTAAAAAAGTTTCTTGTTCAAAATTTTGTATTGCTTGTTAATCGATATAAAGATGAAGTATTAAATCAACAAATATTATAGAGTTTAAAATATTTATTACTGCTTTTATAAAAGTCTGTTAAAAACGTCTTCAAAATACGAATGACAACTAGAAAAATTGATAAAAGCAACTTCATTTTAGAGTATAAAGTTTTATTTTTATGCAGACTCCTTATATGAGGATCTGACTGCATAAACAGTATTACCCGCATAAAAGAAAACTTTCTTTGCCATTTATTTTGTTTCTTATAACTTCCGTTTATAAAAAACAAAAGGGAATCAAAGTTCCTTAAGAGAAAACCATTGAAAGATTACTGATTTCTTACAAGAAGAAACGAACACGCAACATTAATTATTTTATTCACATATTTAATTACATAGTAATGCCAAAATTGATTGACAAACAGTTTTTAGAATTGACATTTAAAAATATCTGATATTAAAAATTTAAACTGATTGAGAATTTTATTTAAAAATTCGTTTTTGTCCAGGCTTATATGAAGGTTAATTTGTGTTTAACATTTTTGTCATTCATAATGGTCGCTTTTAAGAGGTTCATTCTTATAAGAGGGTTTCTTTTTAAAGAGTAAAAAGACATTGAAACATATGTAAAATGACAAGTGTTTACCTGAAGGGGGGGTTTCTTTTAAGGTATTCCTTATAAGCAGGTTCTACTGTATACATATATAATATGTTTTAAAAACATATACACATATACATTCTTTGCATACAGAACAAAAAAAAATTTTAATATGAACGTGAAAGAATGACAATTATATTCAATGAAGTGCGAAGCTTTTTCTATTAAAAAAAATATTTATATAACAAAATTATTTTAATAAAGTCTGACGTGTTTAAATAATATTTTTGAAAAATTTAATTTTAGTTATAAATAATTATTATAAATTAAATAAATTTAATAATTTGTAATTATAAAATAACTAGCAATATTGGTTTGCTCATTTGCATAAATTAGACTTTTATAATATTAGGTATTTATTAATTTCAATAAGAATCAAATGTAGTACACTTTCTGATTTCTATTGACATAGAAAATGATATGCCCATTTTATAATGGTTATATGTGTGTAATATTTTAAATTCGGGAGGAATTTTGAATCCTGAATAAAACTACATACATACATATTTACCTTTTTGACTTTCCATAACATTATGCAGGTAGATCCTTTTTAATAGATGTATAATATCTAATATTTATGTATTATTTTAGCTCAAATTTAAATTTTTAGGATGTCAATTTATTTAAATTTTTTTGCATATTTTTTTTTTTGTCAAAATCCTTGCTCATAGTTTAAAACAAATTACAGAAGATTAAACCGACAACAACGTCTTCTCTAATGAAATTTGTGATTTTTTTAAATTTTTTTTTTATTATTTTTCTTAAATTAAATATTATATTTACAAATGTATTTACAGAGTGATACCACTTTGAAATATGGTATGAATATTAAAAATTTTCGAAACTAGTTTTCAAATAGACAACATACATACATATATGTACGTAGTTTAACGTATACTACATATTATTTTCTACGAAAATGAAAAGAAAAATCAAAAAAAAAAAAAAAACAAACAAATTTTTCTATAAAATTCTTGAATTATTGGGATATTGCGTTTAAAAGGCATTATAATTACTTTTCTTAGTTTTTCAAGAAAATCAAGTTAAAAGCATTAAACAAGAAATAGCAGCAAGTGAAACCTTGACCATGGCAATGGAAACAAAACTTTCATTACTTCTGTTTTCTGTTGCAAAATCAATAATGAATTGAATAAAATATAAAATAATTTTAATATATGAAAATATGAAGTATTTATTTTAACTAAAACTAAATTTATGTTAACTTTAATAAATAGCTTTCTTTAATAAATTTTACTATGTAACCTAAAGCAAGAGGAAAGTGAAACATCAATCAAAAAATGAAATTAATTTTCATAACATTTATATTTACCTAAAACAAAAAAAAATTACTTATCAATTTAATTATCATCTACTTATTTATCAGTTAATTCTCCAATAACGATAATTTTAATGATTGATTTGAGAAAAAAATTCTAAAATCCATAGTAATTAATATTGCACAAAATTTTATCATATTCCATTTTTATCCTATTATGCTAAAATAAAAGAAATTAAGAATTAAACGATCTATGTACCTACCACCTAAGAACCAGTAAGTATACCTTAGCAAATTATTACGAATAAATTAACATTTGAAAGACTTCTACCAAATTAGTTCAATTTTATTTTGAAAATGTTACAAAATTGTGGTTAAGAATGAGTTTGATTTTTCAACTGGGGCAATGGAGTTTATCTACTACCTAGAAATAAACTAAAATGCATTATATTATATATATCCAAACGAAAATATAGCGTCTGAGGCGGTTTACACGATAGTGCTTCATCGGAGTTTACTTTTTACAATATAAATAAGAAAACGAATCGAAATTTGAGTTATTGCCGTGTATAAAATCATGATTAATCTTTAAATTTTCATATTGAAATCAACATTTTGAAACAACGAGTTGAAACAAATGTCATCATCCGTGTTATTCGTAATATAGGGTAAATAGGCAGAATGCAGAATGCTCATTGTCGAAAAAAATTTTTTCACACATTTTACGAAACCACACGATCTAACACGAATATGCTGCAGAAATAATTTAATTCATTGCAAAACCAATACGAATAATTCGATGAATATTTGCCATTCATTTACGAGTTATTATTTAAAACACCGAAGCAGGAAATAAACTAAAAGCAAACTCTTGGAACAGAAGCAAATAATTATATACAATGTAATAATACTGTATAATTCGAGCTAGTTTCAAAAATACCTTTTAATAAGGACACTCAATAAAAATAGAATATTTCTCTAATAAAACATACTAACAAATTTATATATTTTTCATACATTGCCGCTTAATTATTAGCGTACTTTTGCATAATTTGTTGCAGTTTTCTTTAAAGTAACTTTCTTTTTTCCGCATGTTCAACACAATTTTCTATCTTTCCTTTTTCTTGTTATTAGCTTGGGTAGACTTATCAGAAACAACACAACTTTTCTACTATGCAAAACATATTGCTTTTTTTTTTCAACTTTTAATTTTTTCCATTAAATCTTCTCAAGTTCATTGATCGCTTTAATAAGATCACTTTTATCTAATAATATTGAACATAAAAATTTATGTTGTCATATAGTTACTTGGCAAGTTTTTTTTGGTATGAATACAATTATCTATACATACTTATGTATGTATATAACTACATAAGTATACCTGCAACTTACAATATGTAAGTAAAATCTCAAAATTAATTATAAACAATACAATTTTTCAAATATTTTCCCAAAGGAATAAGTTCATTTAGTAAACATTAATCTCAATATTACCCCTTATTTAATTAGGTAGGTACTTTAAGGATGAGAACAAAAATTAGAAAAAGAAAAACAGAACAGAAATAAATGGAGTTATTTAGTTGATTACCAACTATCTTCATACGTAACATATAAGCATTTTCAGAAAAGAGGATTTCTATCATTATTATATTGTTCTTAACAAAACAAATATATGTACATGCCAAAAATTTATATTTTGCTTAGTTTGATAGAAAATATCGATAGGAGATGGAGACAATAGAAAAATTTTATTTAACGAAAGAAAACATTCAAGTTCAGAAATAATTTAATTTTTTCTAGGAGCTCTGCATATTCCCGCCTATATGCAATAATTTGGATTTGTAATAAAAATAAGTGAAATTTAGCTTTCCGATTTGTTATAATTAGTCGCTTCTTCTTTTGTTTGAGTATCGAGTTTTCCTTTATTGAACATTGAATTTTTGACACGATGTAGTAGAAATGTAGTAGAATAGTAATATTTCTTACTTTTTGTAGCTAATTATTATCAATTTAATTTTTCAAATTAATGAGAAAGTGTTAAAATTTTGTAGAAAATTAAAGAGCGGTCATTTTAAACTTTCAGTGGTTAGTTCATTTTTACATAATTTTGTAAAAAATTTTACAATTCAAAAAGTGAGGATAGGATTTTGTTAAATTAATGTATGTATGTAATATACATTAGCATTTACATTACCTAGATAGTATATATATTTTTATATTATAAGTACCTACATGTTACATACTAGTTAGGTATAACGAAAAAATATTTTTTAAAATATTTAATTTTTTTTGCAAATAAAAAACACAATGATTTATTAAATCAGGAATATAAAAACAAGATCCATATCTGTCTATAATATAATGAGTCATCTTCTTATCGATATGTTGAAAAAATACATAAGTAATTTGGTTATAGTTACCTAAATAATTATATTATAGAAATATTGAGAAATCAATAAAATGTTGAATTTGTGAAGCCGTGTATAGTTTAATATTTGTACTTAAAAACCATACATGCACTTGAATATTTCTAATATTTTGTAACATAATTTTCAAATTATGCACATATATGTAAATATATTACCTGAAAAGTAGTTAGTTAGGTGGATAAGTAAATATATATACATAGGTATTTGATTGAAATTTCCTTAAAATATAATCTCACCTTTAAATGGTTTCCTGTGCTACATACGTTCGTTTTTAATCGAGGATAATTTTTAAGAAAATTTAGACTAATAAAATAATTTGTTTTTAATTTTTTACTTTTTAATTCTTTTTAATTTTCTTTTATAATTACGGTCAAGTCAATAAGCTTTCTCTTTCGCACCTTTAAAAAATCGATCGATAATACCAATTTTTGAAACTACTTACAAAACTTTATTCTTTTATATTTAACTTATATTGTGTTTATTTTTTCATTTGAAAAGTAATTTGAATTTTCGGATTTAACACCATATTAAATTCTTTTGGCTATTTCCTTTAAAAATTAAATTGTTCCATAAAAAAACAGAACACCCATCCGATTCCCAAAACTTTTATCGTATATTGCGCAAATTAACACTAAGAGAAAAAACTAAATTGACGTATACAAAATATAAAAAATTTATGAAGTCAAAAAAATTTGAAGTTTATTATTTAAATTGATTATCATTGCCACTCTCCCAGGTTAATCTTTTTCTATTATTATTTGTGTTTTTGTGTTGTGAAATTTTAGATATTTTGAGGAATAATGACATTATAATTTTTTGGCAGATTCAATAGGAGAAATATTATTCTGAAACACATATGAAACTTTTGTATGGTGTGAATCAAGCGTTAGGGAAACTTATTTTAAAAAAAATATATAAATTTACATTTTACTCAAAGTATTTAATTGTAAATATAAGACCAAAATGAAAATTAACTATATGATTTCGTAAATATAAATTTAATTTTTTTAAAATTGATATTTTTTTCAATGATCGCATAACTTTAAACATTGAAAAAATGAGAACGTCATCATCTCCTCTCATTTTTGTTGAAAAAGTATTATCTCAGACGTCATACATGTAAAAATTTTATAAAGTTTTAAAAACTTTCTTTACACCAAAACTCTCAGAGCTTTGGAAAATTTAACACTTTTAAATAAAATACAACAGTTTATTAGTTTATAAACTAATAAAATCACGAAACTAATAAACAACTGTTGTGAGACTTTGAAGTCGCAGCAATTTCAACAGCACTAACTTTATACGGCTAAAAATATTGATCAACCTGGGCTGAATTTAGCCATTCCATGTATGTTTATACTTAAAAATACGAGTACAAAGCAGATACTGCATGATCAATATTGACAAACAAAATATTAAAATAAGCACAGTTAAACTTCACTAAACTGAATGCGCAAATAACCTTAAAATAGTTCAAAATATAGACATTTTCAATTTTAGATAATTTTCGATTTTAAGATCTAAACCAAAAAGTCCAGTAAAGAATGCGAATAAATTACATTAATTGAATAATTATTTTATTCTCAGAAAATAATTTAATTGAATATGAAAAAATACTAAATTATTATTAAATTGTGTCACCTATATATTATATATAAACTTTTATATAAGTAGTTAGAACAATAATGAAATATTTAATATATTTATACAAGTTAAGATAAAAAAAAAATATAGGTTCTGTAGCTGCGGTAAAAATGATTTACCCTGAAAATTTCTAACAACGTATGTGCAGTCAATGTATTTTCTACTACACTTAGCTTACACCAATATATTTCTGGTATGTTCTCGTCTAAAAGCTCTAAATTTTAACGCAATGAGGGGGGCACCAATTTGATATATGTAGTATCTTTCTTACCTTCTTCAAAAAAAATTTGGAAATCTGTTTAGTAAAGGCTGCAAGTAATATTTTTTTGAAAATAATTTCGCGATTTAATATTAGCAGCATTTTGACAAAGATTTTGTAATATTTATTTAGTGTTATTTAGCCAATTGCGCCATTTTAGTAGATTTCATTATCTTTGTATCCACAAGAAATTTATAGCAAAATTATATCCAAATGGATACAATTGTATCCAAGTTGGAACGCTGATTATGTAGGTAAAATTATTTTGTATACTCGTATTCAAAGTGTTTCACTTTAAACTAAATTAAATTATTTTTGCTTAGACAACATGAAATTTTAATAGAAACGAAAATAATAAAAAAAAAGGCTCAATGCTATATAACATAACACTGTTTGATCCCAAGTTTAGTTTTTATACACTTTCAAAAATTTAGTTAATTGATGTAAACAATTTAATATAAATGTGTACAAAATAATCAAATATTGTTATATCATATGTAATGTATGACTCCGAATTATCCTAAAAAATTAAAAGAAAAAGTGAAATAAAAATAAAAATTTTGATTAAGGTATATTTTAATTAAGTTCATTTTGATTAATTTGTTATTTTTTTTCCAAAAAACTTATATAAAAAAATTAAATTCATTTATTTTAAACTTTTAGCGGAAATCATTTTCTCAATTTCCAATATGATTTGGTTAATGGGAACAGTGTTGTGTTTTGTAAGCAAGACGTGTCCATAAGGTATCAATTCTGTTTGATGTGTAAAATTTGATTTTTGACATTACGTTAAATAGTACCACATAGCAGAAAGTTGTGGGGGTATAAACTGCAGAAGAATAGCACTTTAGTTTTTCCCTAGCTCTCTCATGAACAAGTGCTAAGATAATTTTAAATTGTCAATTTTTTACTAAATTTTTTTTCTAAATACGTAGAAAAAATTTACCTACAAGAAAATTTTCAAATTAACAAATTAATTTAAATTTTTGGAATATTAACAATAACAAAACGGAAACTTTTTTATTAACTAAAAGAAATTATTATATAGAGCAAAATGGTATCTTTAAAATAATTTTCATATGGGGGCAGAAAATTAATCAATTTTGGAAATTGAGTATAAAAAATTAAATAAAAAAAGTGATATGCCAAATACCATTGTAATGTAGAAAAAAAGAAAGAGAAAACAGTGAGATATTGACTGTTTATTTTCACCTCTCTCTCTTATTAAAGTTACGGCAATAAATGTCAAAATAAAATTAATTTTGAAAATGGCGATGACGTTTCTCTCTTGTTATTAAAAAATTTTATGGCAATTGAATAATTTACTAGATATATCTATTTATTTGATAAAAAAAAACTGAAACATTTAAATATTCAAATTTATTAAGTGATATTGTTTGTTGGTGTATAAAAGAAAAAAAAAGATAAATTTTAAAAACTAATAATTAAAAAATTAATGTTTTAAAAGGAAATATGAAAACATTGTAAAAAAACGTGCTTAGATTTTTAATTTATAAAAAATTTAATAAATTTACAAATAAGTTGAATGGTTTTACTAATTTTTAAATATCGGACATTAAAAAGCAGGTTTAGTTAGTGACATATTAAATGGTTTCTACTTTTATTAGTCTCCTCGGTAAGTTGAAGTTTAATCCCAATACATTATTATTTAGAGATCTGAAAATCTAATAAAGTATATCAAGTATGTCCGAATGTTACACTACAAAAATAAAAATATATTTTTAGATATTCAATCATGGTGGGAGATTCCTTGTATAGCTCATTTTTGTTCATTGTTTAGTTCAGCGTTTGATTTGCCAGATATTGATATTGAGGTAAAATTGATTTGTTAGTTTGATATAATCTTAAGTTTATAATTTGGACACATTCGGTTGAAACTTTAAAAATTCATATCCAAAACTATAGTTATTTTTTAATTTAATTTCGCTACTCGATTCTTATTTTTAAATTAAATAGGATTTAGAATCAGCCCTTTTAACTGATGGTACCGAAGAAACGGTTGGTCTTCTACCTGAGTTGATCGTTAGAATTTTGAAAGGATGTGATTTATTAAGAACGAATAGAGATGAGATCACAACCAGTAATTATCAGATGTTTTTAAGGCGTTTCTTGCGTCACCAATGTAGAAAAAACAACGTTGAAAATTATTTCGACACAGACACAGATTTTTCCTCACTACCAGTAAGAAATAAACTGCTTATTCTGCATTCCTTGTGTCATTTTCGTTTGGAATCAACCGATGTATTCTATAAGTTTAATAATTTAGAAGCTAATAGCCTACGTGTTGAGCCCTTGGGTTTTGATTCCAAAAACTCTGGCTACTGGTACTTTTTTGGTACTCGTTTGTATCGCGAAGATATTAAATCGAACAGTGAAGATACAATTTGGCAAGTGGTTTGCTTTACTGAAGAGGACTGGCAAAATTTATCTACGAAATTAAAAAGTTGTAAAACTAAAAAAGAACGTGCCTTGCTAAAGATTCTAGAAGAAAATTTTTTACCAAAATTACCCCAACTATTTCTTGAAAGGGAAAAATTAAGGAGAAGAAAGTAAGAAAACTTTAAAAGTTTAACCTTTTTGTTTACTCTTAATTTATAGTCTTATGAATTATGTTATTGATTACAATTATATGTTACAAATTTTTATTAGAATTTCATATTTTTTTAGATTATTTCAAAACCGTAATTCAGCTCGAATACGTGCAACTGATATTAAATACAAAGTTTTGCACGAGAAACAGGATCTCGAACGTATTGAAAGAGAAAAGTACGAAGAACAGTTGAAATTAGCTGAAGCTACAAACAAAAAGAGACGACGGTTAGAGTGATACTTAACCAAAAATTAAAAAATATATATATACAACCATATAAATATATATTTAAATTATAAAGGAAAACAATAGCAAAATTAAAACTACTTGTATAATGAGAAAATAACATATATTATTTAGAACTGGGGGGACTTTATCAACTTATTATTTATGTGAATTTTAAAATGTTATATTACTTCCCAAATTCTATAAATATAGTATTATTTTTTTTTCATCAAAAAAATTGTATCGATTCACAATTTTGTTGCAATCAATTTTGCTTTGTTTATTAAAAAGTATGGTTAAATTTTTTCAAAAGTTTTTAAATTTTTGAAATTCATGAAAATTATTAAAAAATTATGTAAGCATGTATTGATTTATTTTACAATTTTATTTTTTAATTACGTATTACTGCTTTATTTATTATTTTTTTTGTTTTAAAAGAACTAAACTAAATTTACTGTTTTGAAAAAATTGCATATTTATTGAGGTCTATATGAGCTTATTTTAATACTATGTAATTGTAAAATGACCTTTTTACAACAATTAATATTTTTTAAACAGTAATTGAAAATTTATTTCAAAAATTCTTTTGTAGTATGGGTTCTATATTGATTTTTAATTATTATTTATTCATTGTTTTTTGTATTTAGGGTTCTATATTAACTTTTAATCTTTAATTTTCCTTGTATAATAAATTAACAACTTTTAAGAATAAGTATTTAAAATTTTTGGATTTTGGATAAGGAATATAATATCGAAAATTGAGTATCAATGGTCATATTTTCACACAACTTTCTAATGTAGTCTGTTGTAATTTATTGTTTTATACATTTCATTTAAAGTGTGTTTAAAAGAAATTTTTTATCTTTTATTATTTAAGTAAATATTCACAAAGAATACCTTATCGTTAAATTATATTTGATTCTACGTAGAGTTTTGTTTGTTTTTTAAACAAAAAAATAAGCGAAAAAATATATGTAAATTTAAAAATTTTATAAAACATCTTTTTTAGATCTCGATCAGAATCATCTGGAAGCGGAGTGTCGACTTATGCCAGTTCAATTCGTCCTTCTTTAAATTCTAGTGACTTTCTTTTTAAGCGTGAAAAATTTTGTTTATCTCCTGATTTGGGTGCATCTTCTTTATCACCTCCACCAGCTTCACTAATTCATAACCACGCATCCTTATTTCCCCCAACACCATCTCAATCACCAACTTTAGAAAAAAGTTTGAAAACTTTCAATGATATAGATGAATATGAAGCCCCGTATGAAGAAATTGAAAAGAACAAACTCTGTCATACTGATATAACGTATAAAGAAGGAACTGTAACTGAAGCAAAAGTTTTCCTAGAAATCAATAATCAGAATAATTCAACGCCAAATCAAACATTTTTTAAAGATCAAAGAGATTCTAACTTTACTCCAGAAAGCGTTTTGAAGTCGGATATAAAAAGTAACAAATCATCCAATTGCATTGGACATAGTGATGACTATGATGACGCTATATCTCTAATATCTTTCGACGAAGATAAGGAAAATTTAATTTGTTACAAACGATCAGATACAGAATCGGAAACAGATTCGATTAACTATTATAGTAATTCGCCGACGTATTGTGGTATAGTTGGAGGGAAAAACGCGGTAGATATTAAATTAGAAGAAAAAACAAATAATATGGCGCCTATTACAAGTTCAGCAACAGTCAAACTACCTGGTCGACAAACAAATAACTCGTTGTCTTCCATCAGTGAAAATATATTTATTCCAACTTTAGAAACCACCTCCGCTTCAAAGAAAAATATTAAAAATATGAGAACGGGAAAAAAGGAAATGAAAGCTCCAAAAACAAAACCAACAAAAAATGAAAAAACAGAAAAGATTGCCAAAAAAACTAAAAACTCTCCAACTGAAAAGTCTGATAAAATTGTCGAAAAAAATGAAGTTATAGATTCCGATAATTCTCAGAAAAAAAAGAAATCAAGAAATAGTGAAAGGTAAGAAAAATATTTGTTAAAAATATTTTCTTTTATATTTCTTGCTTGGTTAAAAAAAACAAGAGTAATACAAATGTTTGTTATCAAACATTTAATATTAATATTTTTTCCAATGTAATTCCTGAGTTGCGTTATATACATATTAATATAGCTATATAGATACATACATACATATATTCTTATTATATATGCAATTTTGTAATCTTTAATATTTTTTAATTTTAATTGAATCTTTTGGTTATTTTCAATTCATCTATATTTTGCATGCTCCTTAACTTAAAATTTAAAATGAAATATTAACTTAACTAACCCATTTTCCTTTTTTTTTTTTGATTCATATCACCATGTACATATATAAATGCACGTCAACCCTTATAAAAATTCGAATGAATTTGATAAATATTTAAACAATTTTAACATGATTATCACAACGCTACTTTGTATTTAAAACATGTATATATATATAATTCGCCTGATGTAAAATAAAATAATTTGTATCTATGTAAAATTATTAGCAAAAAGCAATGCCCCCTTACTAAAAAGTCATCACAAACATTATCACCGCCAAAAATTCTTTCATCATTGGCAATAACATCATATATGCCTGCCCCTAGTAGCAATAATTATTTCAATTCAACAAATAATTCCTTTCTTAGCTTCACTGAAACTGATGAAGTGTTACAAATTGGTATGCATAAAGTTCTCGTTTATGTTAAAAATCACCGTGATGCCTGGCCGTTTATGGATCCTGTTGAAGAAGACATTGCGCCTAGATATTATTCGATAATTAGAAGGTGAGTCTTGCCTCGATAATAAGTGAAAAATATTATTTTACTTTTTTAATATTAAATTTTAAAAGTTTATGTAAATTTTAGTGATTTTTGTGTAAACAATTTTTACAATAGCTTATAGGTTCAAGTTAAAGTAATTGCATTTGTTAAATGCAACTTTCAAGAAATTTTTAAATTACATTTCAAAGAAAATAGATTGAACTACTTATAATATTTTATTAAAATACCAAAACAACCTAATTTTAGGCCTATGGATTTACTTAAAATGGAGGATAAACTTGATAATGGAGAGTACAAAAAATTCAGTGAATTTCGAAATGATTTTAAATTGATAGTTAATAACTGTCGCTTATACAATGGACAAAATAATGGTAAATTTTTGTAAATTCATTTTAAATGTGCATAAATTAATCCAATATGAATGTATGTATATTTACAATGAAACAAATTGTGTTATTATGTTTTAGAATATACTGAAATGGTTAATAATTTACAAGAAGCTTTTGATAAAGCTACGAAAAAATATTTCGATAATCTGTCAGATGAAGAAGATGAAATTGGATATCCTGAATCAAAACTAAATGTTTTCAGAGAAAAGTATTTCAATAAGAACAATTCAAATGATGAAGAAATTGACAAAATTTCAAATAATATTATTATTGAGAATGAAGAAGATAATAAAGGTTTTACCTTGGGTGAAACAGATGAAGATGATAGTAAATTTGAAAGCAAAAGCAAAACCTCAAAAAGAAAGCATAAAGATAAAGATAAAAGACGTAAAAAGAAAATCAAATTAGATGATACAAACTCAATTCACAACGATGAAACAGATGAAGAAGACTATGTTGACAAAGTGAAAAAGTTAGATAATGAAAATGACGCTTTTGAATGCGATCAGGACGCAAAAAGCGAAGCTGATTGTGAAAGTAATGCAAAGGGCAAAAATAAAAAAACCAAAAAAATTACTGAAATAAATAAATCAAAAAAGAAAGATGAGAGTAAACAAAAGGATAAAGAGAGATACAGAAAACAAAAAGAGGATCACTCAAATAAAGATGTTAAACATAAATCGAAGATAAAAGATTGTGAAAAAAATAAAGAAACGAATATCAAAAAACATGTAAAAAAAACTCATTGGAAGAATAAAGGCCATAAAGAAGAAAAAGAAACCGCACAACATTTAAATGAAATGGAATGTGATATAAAAGAGACCGATTGCAAAAATACTGAAAATCAATGTATTGATACCAAAAGCAACATGTATGATTTCGACCCAAGCGAAATGTCAGACGAGAATTTAGAATCAAAAAATAAAACGAAAAAACATGGAGTAAAGGATAATAAAAAGCCGGAGAAAATGTTGAAGTACAAAAAAGGAAAAGAAAATCAACTTAAATCAAATAAAGGTAATAGCGAATATTTCGTAATCTAAAAATTTATTTGCAATTAAATTTTTTAGGTAAACCTGCAAAGGGTAGTTCAGTGTCGTCTGAGTCACGAAGTAAGAAAAAGAGTAATACCAAAATTAAGAAAGATAAGCCAAATACAAATTGTTTAGATGAACTTGATTCAAAAAGTGAAGACAGTGAAATTGAAAATCAAATCGTTGGAGATTGTGAAAATGTTAAAAAAGCGTCATTCTTTAGTGATTCATCTAGATCCCCTACCCCAAATTTCAAAATTGATTTACACAAAAAGTATGCCAATACTCTTACTCCTACCAAAAGTGCCTCTTTAGAAAGCCGTTTTTCTAATGATATTGAAGAGAATACTGTAAAAAATGATGATAATATGGAAGAAAATGACGACGGAGAGATTCAAGACATAAAAATTGATTCCATAGACAAAGAAGATGGAAGCGAAAAAAGAAATGAAAAAAAAATGAAGAAAAATGCGCAAAAAAGAAACAAAGATTTTAAAAGAAAAAATAATATTTCGAAAAGTTCTCATAAAAATAGGGAGGACGAAATTGATCTGAATACAAAACCTACAAAAAATCATTCAAAAAAAATAAAATCAAAACTCAAAAGTGTTACCCATTTTACTGCAAAATCTAAAGTAATAAGCTTCAAAAAGTCTAAAAAGAAAATTAATAAAATATTTGAAGAGAAGAGTTCAACAAGAAATGAAACTGAGGAAACTGGTGCAACTGAAGATGTCATATCAAATCGAAACCAAAGCTTAAGATCTCGTAGTCAAAGTCCAAGCGTCTCTGACTGCAATGAAAAATCTTTTAAACATAGAACAAAATTAACAAAGAGCAGAAACAAAATAGTGCAGGAAAGCAGAAAGCAAAATAACCAAAAAGGAGGACTTAAAAATAAGGTAAAAGAATCAACTGATTCAGATGCGGGCAGTTCAGATGAGGACGAGAATAACAGCACTGTTGAAAAAGACGCAAACAATGATATGCAAATACCACTTTTTCTAGACAAATATGATCTCATAAAGCAGCGTAGAAGATGTGCTGCGTTAAATTCTAAAAAAGAAGAGGAGAAAGTTGTAAAATCATCTAACCAAACTGACAAAGGTAAAATCAAAAAAGGGAAGGGTATAATAAATTCAAATAAGAAAAGGGGTAAAGTCCAAAAATCAAATAAAATTGTTGAAAAATCAAGAACAAAAATTAATAAAAATAGAGACAGGAAAGGTTCTATGGAAGAAGAAATATGTGAATCCGAGATTCGTTCTGAAGAGAATGACCAAAAAGAAGATTTACAAAATCTGCAAGATAAAAATTTTGTTGAGAAATCGATTAAGCACACGGAAAAAAATTTAAAGAAATCTCAAACTGATTCAGGTAAGAATTTTAATTTGGTAATGTAATAATTTCTGAACAAATAATAGTTGTAGGAAAAAGTAAAGTTGCGAAATCGCAAAATAATGTTAATACTATATCAGAAACAAAAGACAACAGAACAAAAGAAACAAAGTCAAAAGAAAACAAACAAAAAGAATCAAAACCCTTAAAGAAAAAAGAAGAAGAAAAACACGATGTAACCCCAGGAGTTCTGGGATCTTTGTTGCAAAACAAGAAATCTCATTTAAAAAAGCATCAAATTTTAGAATCGCTAGCAACTAGCTTATCGAGCACATCAAATTTGATTAACAAGAAGAAGGGGAAAAGTACATTAGGTACACCTCCTGTGGCAATAGTAGCACCTACTCAATCATTGACAAATAGTTCTCTTATTAAATGTGATTCAGCTAATAAGGCAACAAATATGGAAGCCCTTGAGCTCGAAACCGAACAGACTCTCAAAGACATCAATCGTTGGCTAGAACATACACCAAGATTTTCTGAATTTAGCTCAGCTAGCAATTCACCAAATCGATATAATTTGCTTGATGATTTCGATGCTGTAGCAGCAAAACTTGATCCAGCTGATTTTCGCCGGCCAGGAGATACCATTAATACGGGTACTGTTAACGGATCTGTGGCGCCTGCCATAAAAAGCGATGTCGATTCTAAATTAGTTGAAAATTTTGATGAAACAAAAAAACCGCCGCATGATAATAAGCTTATTAGTGATTTAATACCAGTAGCTCCAGCTTCAAACAAAATAAATATTTTGAACAATAAAGAATTGGACTCGCAAAATTTAAGTGGAACAAACATGGTTACGCATCCTAGTATGAGCTCAACTTCAATAGTTGGATCTTCTTCTTCACCCATAAATCATAAATCAAAAGAACCGAATACCACTCAACTATTGCCTCATCCTCCGCCACCTCCACCTCATATCAAAAATCAATTGCAAAAAGAAGCAAAACGAAAAAGCTTAAAGGAAAAACTTAGTGGAGTGGGTAGGCGGAAAGATCTATTGAGGACTATTGATCGATTACATCCTGGAAAATCAAAAGGAAATTTGCTTACTGCAAATAAACCTGAAGAAATTTTTCCATTAGGTGCCGTATCTAAAGTAAAAGAAGTAAAAAATTCTTTAGTGGTGGAGACTGATGAAAGCGCACCTAAGCTTAGCTTAGGCAGCGTATTAAATACATCTGGGTTTGGGTTAGGTCAGTTGCATAACTTTGGTGACGAAATAGCATCAAATGACTTTAAAATAAGTGAAGCTATAACCTTGAGTGAAGAGAGTGATAATACAATAAAAAACGATGCGGTAATGGAAAAATCGGAAAAGCCAAGCGAAAATTCAGATGAAATTGTTATAGACAAGGAATGTTACGAAGAAACACGAAAAGACGACACTAAACCCTTTCAGTGCAAAAAAGAAGAGCTTCTACCTAAAAGTGAAACAAAATTAGAAGATGGAAAGTCATCCTCAGCTACTCCTAATTTAAGCGCTTGGTTTAAAGCTTTTGGTGCTCCCAAGAAAACAAAAAAACCGGAGGATGAAGACGAAAAGAAAAAGTTGGAGTTGGCAGAATCTGGAAACAATAATCAAAATATCTCAGAAGATCCTTCCACAAGCCCTAATAAAAATTTGAAATCACCAGCACAAAATGGTCAAGACAATTTCTCTCTCCCAGCTCCTAGACAGCGGAAGGTATAAACATTTAAGTTCATTCAGGATGTAAGTTTTTAATTTAATTTTGATATATTTTTTAGGCTAGTACAGGAAGTACTGTTTCTGAAAGATCTTCTTACAGTCACGATCCAGATAGTCCAAGAATAGGAATCGAAGATAGATTTGGTCCGTATCCTAGTTCTTATACTTCACCAATCGGAACTTCACCAATAATGGTTTCACCAAAACCAGATGAAGTTTCTAAGCCTTCATCCCCATATCCCTTGAATGGAACAATAAAAGTTGGCTTTTATCAAGATACAACAACAAAAAGTTCACCAGAAAAGAGTTGCAGTCCAAGAGAGCTACCTTCTTCAGCGTATGCTCAATATTCGCAGCATATTTATTCTGGAAATTCTCCAAATATTAATGCAAGTACAGATACTGCTTCTTCAGTGATAGCTCCCTATGGAGCCGGAAATAACCAAACTGGTAATTCGGTGACTAATGGAACTTCAGCATACAATGTAAATAACGATCAAAAGAAAACTCCCAGTTCATCCAGTTTTTCACCTAGATCTCCGGTACAACCTCCAACACCTACGCTTTACGAACAATATAAACAACCACAGTCACAAGAATCGGATTATAATTCATCAATGAGCCCAAGTACCAATCCCAATTCACCTTATCAACAACCCCAGTCATCTCCTTACCATCATAATTCAAGCTCACCGTACCACCAAAGCAGTAATCCCAATTCTCCATATCAACAACCTCACTCTCCTTTTTCAAATCAACAAGGTCAATCAGGACAAGGTCCTCCATCCTCAGGTCCTCCAAGTGTTGGATCGATGCACATTGTAACTAACTCACCTAATCATCCGAATAGTGAATCGCCTAGAGGACAGAATTCTCCATACCAACAGCAAATGAATTCCCCTTACCAGCAATCTGACCATTCTTCACCGTATAATCAGAATCAAAATCCAACTTCTCCATATCAACAATCATCTTCTCCAGCCCACTCTTCCGTAGTGGTGCCATCACAACAATCTTCACAATCGAATACGCAAACAAAAACAAATTTTGCACACTCACCGAACTTGAATTTAGAAACTGCCCCATCCGCTTTAGAAAAGCATCAAATGAAATTGCAGAAACCTGAAAATGAAAATATTTACGAAAGTCCCGAGGCATGTTCCAATGATGGAAATTTAAAAGTGGTTGGAAATCAAAACACAGATGGCTCAAACCAAAAATTGCAAGTTCAATCAGCAACAATTCAACACGGAAACTCGAATCAAATACAGCAAAACATTATTCAACCTCAGCATCAAAATTCACAGTCACAACCTCAACCTCAACAACTAGTTTCCCAAATTGTACAATCCCCACATTATCATACAACACATTCACAGTCTCAAAACCAAAATCAAGTTTCACGTGGTGCATTTGAATCCAGTGCAATAAATTCAAATTCTGTGTTAAATCAGGAATTGGGACAGATTTCCAATCAGCCTTCAGATCAAGCATCACAAGCAAACTCAACAGTGACTGACAAAAGTAATTTAGGTTTACAACCGCAATATGCAAAATATCCACAATATAGTATTCCTTCAAGCTCAGACAAGAGTAGCAGTCAATGTAATGGTAAAATTTCCTTGGGCACAAGTGTCGTTGTATTTTATTTAATTCTTTCGCATTATTTTCAGATTTTGTAAGCGATTTGTCATTGCAATTAGCATCAAAACAAAATTCAATTAATGTACCAGGGTCACAAACACAAGTTTCGCAGCAGCAGAAACAACAACTTCAGCAGTCTTTACAGCGATCTATGAATTCACAAAATTTGCATCAATCTACGCATAACATTCAAAATCCGCAAGTGCAGCAACAGCAACAAAACTCTTCGCATAATATACAGCAAACGCCACAACAAATAAAACGTAATTATGAAACTTCCGCACCTACGATGAATGTAAATTACGCGCAACAAAACCAAAATGCGATTAACGATATTAAAAGCTTAAAAAGTGAAGAGAAACAATTACTATTGCATCAGCAGCAGCAACGAGAGCAACATCAACAGCAACATCAAGAACAATCGCAAGTCTCACAACAGCAAACATTGTACGATTCTGCTGCGATAAATAAACACCAACAAATGTTTGATGGTTTCTTAAGTTCAATGACTGCTGCAAAAAATATTGGCTTCAATAAATCTCTAGATATAACATCAAGTAAAGCATACGAAGTATTAAACAAAGCGGCAGCAATGGGATTTTCTAACCCTTTAGTCCAAGCTGCAGCTGCTGCTGCAATGTCGAACAAAGATAATTTACAACAACATCAACCAATCATTTCCTCTCACATTAGTCAACAACAAAAAAATGAAAATTTGACAAACCTATATTCTCAGCCACTTGCGCAAGTAAATAATAATAATCGAATTAATTTATCACATCAATCACAGTCTCTGCAATCACAACAGCATCAGCAGCAACAACAACAGCAACCATCACAAACACAACAATTACAGCAACAAAGACCTCTTCAATCTCAACGTTCTCAGCAATCCCAACAACCATCAAATTCACATAATCCACAGTCTTCAGCCATCCCTCTATATGGTGGATCCAAGTCTTCACATAATGTGGCCACAAATAATGCACCATACGGCTCTCAAAATATTGGTCAAAGAAATGAAAATAACCCTACTGAACTTATACCAAATTCACTGAACAGAAATTTAGACTTATCAAATTATAAAACATCTTCAACATACCAAAACTCTAGCAACATAATAGATCATACAATGCGGCACCACTCGAGTTTAACTCAAATGATGGATGACACTAATATGCTTGCACTACAAAATAACACACCTGGTACAATGGGTACTAGTTATTATGATAAAAATGTTCCACCAGCTGCACATATGTTCAGCAAAAATTTACCACAACAACTATATCAGAATTCTTCGACAATATATGGTGGAAGGGATCAGCAGAACCTGCCTCCACCAGGTAATTATCCGATTTTTTTATTAGGTAAGATGTTTTTTTTTCTTTATATTTTTTATTTTAATATTTTAAGGCATTTGGTTTTGTGCACTTTTAATTTCATTTTCATTATTAAAAACTGAAATTTTATACATTTGTTTTCATTTTCATTAAGCAACACCGTCGGAAAAGGAAATCTGCTATATTTAGAAGCAAGAAAAAATATTTTTTATATTTTACTCTTTATCCATCGTTATTTTTTATTTTATTTTTCATTTTATGTGTTTTATACATTTTAGGAAATTATGTGCCCCAAAGTAATCAATCCTCCAGTAGCGCAAACAGTAATGTTAACCCTCAAGGAGAGCAAGTACCATCAGCTACGTCTACTGATCAGAAACAAACTAAGCGCAATAAGAAAAAGAAGGTTACTGAGCTTGCAAATTTAAATCAGAGCACCATCAATCATCAGTCGCCTGTTTCGAACATTCAACAACAGCCCCAAAATCTGCAACTTCAACAACATCAACAACAAGAACAGCAAATTTTAAATAATAATAGTTCACAAAATACCACAAATACACCTGGAAATAATATTACGCAAAATGTTGCTTCCGCACACCAGGGTTTTCAATTATATGCTGGGTTAAAAACTGCAGCGGCTGTTGTAGCAGCTTCAACCTCTACAAATCAAACTATATCAGGAACATCAAACAATACTTCAACGGACCCTTCAGCATTATCGCTGAAAACAGCGGCAGCTGCGGCAAGCATGGTATCAGGAAGTGCTTTCAATTTCGGTCCTTCGCCAACTGGTCTCCCTCTACCCAGTGGCTTATATGGTGATAACTCAACTTATTTAGAGGAATTTCGTAACGCTAACCCATATTATATTCCACCTACTCACCATCGCGTACCACAAGATTCCACAAATAATCCAAACCAAACCAGTGTTTCAGAAAAAACTCAATCATCTACTATTAATAATAATACCACACCAAGTGTCGCACCTGCGGCCCCATCACCTTATCATCAATTTTTAACCGCAGCTGCGCACCCAGCAACGCAACGTGGTAGTTATCCATTTATGAATTCACCCCAATTGGATCCAAATTCTCCTTTGTATACACAATATTTAAGACCAGATGAGTTTCGCGCTAGAATGATGCAAAATTTAAGTCAAAGTTTGCTGCCTCCTGGAGCAACTGCTGGTTATCCTCAAGCTGGATATAGACCAACTTTGGGTATGCCGAAACCATATGACATGAATAACAGGCAACCATGGTTTTAAAATAACTTATATATAAATAAGAATCTAATTTAAGACTTAATTTAAATAACCCTTTTTAAATTTAAAACTAGTATCATTTAGTAAGCAGATTTTTATTATGGAGACCAAAGACCAATTTAAAAATTTACATAAAATGTAAATAACTTAAAAAAAATTATACAAAGAGACTTTGAACACTTTAAATTTCTAGTAAATACATATTCATAAGTAAATCAGTGAAATATTGAGCATTTTCGTAAAATAATAATTAACTTTCTTTTATTTTTATTCGCATATGTACATATATAAATTTAATATCTTCTCGAATTGTTTCAGAATATGTATTACAGACTTTTGGTTTTTTTATAACTAAGTAAAATTAATTTGCCTTTAATGCTTTTCTTGTAAGCATTTATAAGCTATGAAAACTAAGAACTCGACAATTTTGTCATTTTTTCCTTAATTTTCTATTATTACCAAAAGGGAACAATTTAACAATTTAAACTGTCTTTCTTTCATATACATGCGCCACTTTCAGAAGTCTTAAAAATACTCGTGAAGTCTCCGAATACATATAGTTAATATTACAAAAAAAATACAAATGTTAAAATAATAAATATTAAAATAAAGTTAGAGTAAGAGTTATCAAAAATATTATTTTCATTAAGTTAGGAATAATAAAAATATATTGACAAAAATGAAATTAGTGTTTCTTCCTTGTAAATTTTAGTTATCTATGTAAAAAGCTAACCTTATAATTTTACAATTGTTATTATTAGTTATTATGTGTAAACACAATGTTAAAATTTATTTTATTTTAGAACGTAAATTTAAATTAATAAAAACATAATTACAATTTAAGTAAGTAAATTAGAGCGAAAATATTTTTTCATGGGAATTTCAATTTATATTTTCTGTTCTGATTAAGTATTCTGCATCTATATTATTTTTAAGAAAGTAGGAGAACAAAACCGAAAAAAAAAAACAGAAATGCCAGAAGAAACTTCATACATACATATTTTAAGTTATAATTGCTTGATGCTTAGGTTATTAATAATGTTATTATTCATTTAATGAATAAAATTGCATTTAACTAATAAATTATTTAGCGTTAATGAATATGTAGAAAATAAAGTTTAGGAGAAAATGTTTGTTTTAGAATATGCTTAGTTATTTTTTATTAGTTTTGAACTGACGCAAATGTATATTTTTTAATTTCTATTTAATTGTTAAGGTATGCACTGGTAACATTAATTAATATTTGTATAATCATCACTTTAGAGATAAAATAAAATAATATACATTTTTCATTAGTTACATATACAAATTTTAAGTGTACAATTAAAAATTAATTACATTTACAAATTTTGTAAATTTTATTTGGTAATTTCTATTTCTTTTTCTTAACAACTTTTTTTGTCTTTATTTCGCACTGTTGTATTACACTTTTTATAATAGGATCGTACTTTAGTTTAACATTATTACTATTGGAGCATATAATACAGAAAAATTAGAAACAAACATTTTCCTTTATTAATAACAAAATTGAAAAGAATGATAAAAAAAATGTATAAAAATTTAAATTTAAACGTTAAATATGAGAAAAAAAAAACTAAAGTGCAAAAACATAATTTAAAAAATTAAAAAGTCTTTAAATTTAGGATAATATTTAGTTGTTAATATAAGAGAACAATAATTAAATTTAAAATAAAGTACAGCATTAAATTCTTAAAAAATGAAATAGAGAAAACAAGTAAATATCTCCGAGTGAAACGTGCACTTACAGCAAAACTTGCACAAATTATAAAATATGTTATTCATAATTCTTTAATTAATAAATTTAAATAATAAATTTTAAAACTCAAGCAAATGGAACAAATAAAAAATTTGTTGAGAATATATTACTAAATGCAAGTTGCAAAAACAAAAAGTAAATGACCTAATATGCTGTAGTGTTTTAGAAGAAAGTAAAAGTATAACATCTTTTCTGATCTTATTTACCTTATTTAATCTTATTTGTTTTTTGTGGAAAAGTACATACATTTTTTTTTAATTTATATATATTTAGTTTTCATAATTTATTAAATTGAAAAAATTCTACAATTTGTAAAATTTTCGCTTCAATGTTTTGTTATAACGAAATGTGTTGTATGTTTTATTAAATAATTGTCAAAAGCAACTACTTATTTCTTTAGAATTAACAAATCGTAAAATATTTGATTGTATTACATCAACACAGCACAGGCAAACACTGCCTTAAGATATTTTTTAATGCTTAATTAATGAAACTTGCATTTTCTTAACAAAAATGAATAGAGTTTTTGCAAACAGTAATGTAATCCGGTCATTGAAAATTAACTAAGAAGCTGTTTTTGTTATCAGCTATGGTGACAATCCTACTTGCACGAAAGGAGTGTATAATAATGTATATAATAGGAATGTTACAAGTATTCTTCAAATTGAATTAAAATATTAGATTTGTTAATCTAATGTATCTAGTTTATATGTAATGCATTAGTTCCATAAATTTATTTACTTATTAAGAATTCTTTTTATTTATCATGAAAAAATTGTAGAAAACATATATACAAAATAAAGGCATTGTAATAAACTATTGTACATAATTATTGTAATATTAGTATTATATGAAAAAAATTTAAATTATAAATATTCAAAATAAAAGTTGAAATTGGAATGTAAATGGATATATAAATTATAGTATATATTTGTACAAATCAAAATTAAGATTATTTATAATAGTTATTTAATTTTATTTTTATTTTCAAAATTTTACTTCATCGTTCTACAGTAATTAAAAATCTGAGTATATATTTTGTATTTAAAAGAAAATTAACATAATTTGTTATTTTTCACAAAGTTTGCTTTTAATAAATTTAGGTGCATTCTTATTATATACATTAGAGAAATTTACTGTTCAAAATCCAAAATTTATTATTTCTCAAATACATACTTACATATTTACATGTTTTAGAAGAAATCATTTAGGAAAATTTTTTATATATAAAATTGCATATTTTGTTTCTTGGAATATGAAAATAATTTTAATCATACATATTTTAGAATTTTTAAGTGTATCTAAAAGAAAATTATATAATTATATATTAAATAAAAATAAAGAATATGTAAAAAAAAAATAAATTTCATTTTATAGTTCAAATTTTCTCTATCCTTGGTGTATAATAAACGAAATCCATTGTTTAACTGTTTTGCAAAATAATGCACAATAACGATTGTATAGTAGGTATGACATCGTAACACCTTTGTGCAACATAAAGTAATAAAAACTGTGAATGGCTTGTAATCAACGCTTTATTTAAAATGCTGAAATCTAAATGCTTTTATATTTGAAATACTTGTTGAACAAAATTTGTTTTTTCCTAAAAGGAATATTCGGCCAATGTAAATTTAATTATTTAAAACAAAAAAAAAAACAAGTTTTTATTTGATTACCGTGGTGTCTATAATTTGAGCCCTTAAATATACAATGCTTTTCCATAAATTGAATATTCTGTATTCTGTTTATCTACATATTTAAGAAAAAAATAAAACAAAATTATTGAAATTAACTGGATTTTCTCGTTCTGAATATGAGGAAATTAATTTAATCTTTTTTCTTAAGAAATTGTTTCGAATTCAATTTAATTTGGGAAAATATTTTTCATACTTTAAAACAAAACAGAAATTTTTATTCTGACTTAATATTAAAAAAAATATTTTATATACATTATTTATGTACATATCATCTAAGAAACTAATTCTTCTACAGGTGGATCTTTATTTGTTTTAACCCAATTATTAAAAACATTTCTACAATGTCTAACTGCACATTCATTACAACAGTATTCATCTTCCCAGTCTGGATTGACAACAGCCTTATTCGTACAACCATCTCGAATACATTTTTGTACCGATGTATCCTCGTTTATAGTATTTGCCTCTGGTGATTCTGCTCTATTAACTCCTGAAGGAGAATTCATTTGACTTAGAGAATTATCATCATTGGTTGATATAGTAAAAACTGCTGGTTTGCTAGCAATCGGTAATTGTTTTTTATTTGGGTTCACAGTTGCAAACGAGTTCGTACCGGTTTCTTCTGTTGTTGTATCATTTATTCTAGAATTGTTCGCCCGATATTCGGATAACGCTCTTAAGTATTCTTTTTTTGCTATTTCGGCATTTTTTTTGTAAACATTTTTGTGTTCTACATCAAGAGCTTCCCACATTGATGCGACAATTTTAGAAATCTCTTCGAACGAAGCATTAGGATTTTGACTTTTAATTGCTATTTGTGTATCCCTGAAAAAAGCAGCATATGCTGAAACAGGCTTTACTGGTTCATTTGGATCTTTAGCTTTTTTCTTTTTTGTTTCTCCTGCGCTATTTTCATCCTCATTTTCTTCTTGAGGGCTAGAAGTATTCGTTCTGCAAATATGTATTTATTAAAAAGATTTGGTTTGTTTAATTTTTGCTTGGTCCACTTAATTTTACTAACCCTTGAACAGCGGTACTATCATTATAATCAATGTCATGATCATAGTTTTGACTCAAAGCATAATTTGTAGCGGAGTTTTCGAAATCATCGTCATTAAATGAAGAATGAAAACTGGACATCATAAAATTTTATAAAATAAATATTTTAAAAATACGAAATTGGTGAAATTTTTTAAATTGTATTTTTTTCCAATTGCTATTGTTTTTTAACAACATTCATACATACATACATATATAGGTTACAAAAATTAATGCTTAAACTCTATTTAGATTGTGTTGTTTTCTTTGGCACTTCTTTTTGTATACACCGCAGGGATGTACGGAATATTTGCTTAAGATACAATTTTTTGGCAGATTCCCAGTGCACAACAATTTAAGAATTGAACATTTAAAATGGAGGCAACAAAAATCGAAAATATGTTTTTATGATTTTGCAAAAATTTGAAAGAAATTATCAAATTGCTCAAAAGAAGTGTTAAATTAAATATATATATAACTAAAGCAAGGAACATCTTGAAAAAACAAAGAAGTCAAATTCTTTCCTGCTGTTTCTTTTTTGTTCCAAGTCGTAACAGGAGCGCGTTTACTTTAAATTTTTATTGGCCCCTTAAAAATTTTTAAAATATACATATAAGTATTTTTAAAATATTTTTTCATTTGAAATATCTGTAAAAATAATCAAATTAAAGTAGAATTCGTTAGTTTTTTCCCTTTTTATATAGAGAGATATATATTTTTATATATATCTCTCAATTGAGAGTGAACATATATTTTTATTTTTAATTCTGCCTTGGGTGTTACTCGCAATGCACTTCGTTGTTGATAACAACGATGTCAGCACAACATTTTTCAATGTGAGACATTGTTGAAGTGACGTTTCATAAATTTTTTGACTTTCGCATAAAAAAAAAACTTCAAAATTATGCCCTTTTTTATGTTAATAAATTTTAGTTAACATTTTGGTTATTACTCACTAAAGTAGATGGCATATTGTCGTATACTTCCTCATTAATTAACTGAGCTTCATATATTTACTCATTCAAAAACAATATATTTTATGAATAATTCACACTAATATTTTGCAACGACATCATACTGTTCGTATTCATATCTTCATATATAGTTTGTTATTTGGTCAACTCAATAAAGGGAAGCATTACCAAAGCATACAAATTATACCTATATTACATACAAATTATGTAAAGCATCAAGCGTTACAAAAATTTTACTAAATAATTTCTTTTTATATTTTTAAAATGTAATGAACATTATGTATAGTACTTTGATAAAACACATGTGTTTTTTTAATTTTAATTTTTAATTTTTAATAAAAACCTCATTTTTAGAAAGTCAATGGTCCGGTTTTTTTAATAATTCGAATGCAGTAGTAAATTAAATAGAAAGAATAAAGAAATTCTTCCTTATGAAAGTTTTTACGTCGAAATTGGTTATTTGTTAATTAGATAGTATATTAACAGAATAGAATATTGAATAAATAAATTGAAAAAAATTTAATTCAATACCACAAAATTTCTTTTAATTATTTTTAAAGAATTAAAAAATTACATGCCAAAAAAAGTCAATTGGCAAGGAGAATGAAAAGTATGTCAACAATTGATGCAAAAACAGTGAAGTAAACATAGGTAAAAAATATCTTTTTTTAATTCGTTTGCATGTTTGTAAATTTGATTATCAAGACGATTGATTCATTTTCTTTGTATTATTTTTTAAATCGATTTTATGGCTTCTGATTCCATTCAATCTATAAAACCGATTCCTTCTGCAAAATTGCACATCCCTAATATGTATACTCAACCTTTGTTCAAGCTTTAAAAACCAAGCGTTCACATGAATAAATTATTGACAAAAAATTTTGTATGATATGTATTAAATGTCATTTGTTTGATTTGATGAGAACATTTAGTTTATTTAAGATTTAACTTATCAAATCACAACATTCTGTGAAATAACTTACCTCTTAAAGACCTTTAACATTTGATTACAATTGAAAAACGGTATTTATTGCACATATTTATTATTTTTTTATTCATTTGATATCTGACTCTTAATAACTTTTTTAAAAAATTTTAAAGTGTATTCAAATTTCATTTGACAACGCGTTTATTTGTTCATGTATAATTACGGAGAAATTTCCTTCAATGTGATAAACAAGATTCTTGCGTGAGACGGAATTAAGTTTAAAACCAGATATCTTTTTAAAAATCAAAAAACTTTGTCTCAAGCACATGTTTTTTTTTTTTCAAAAAATTTTTAAATTTAAAAGATAGTTTGAGGTTGTAAAATATAATTCTAGCCTCAAGGCTTATTACTTTTTAATAAAGGATTTAATTTTCAGCAATTTTTTTATTTAAATTATTTTTTGATTTTATCTCGTGAAGGAACCCGTAGCTGGTTATACTTAGTTATTAATTATGTATGTACATCAATTAACCTTACTTTGAACGTTCCTTATTCTTACATATTTACATAAACTTATTCATAACAATAAACATAATTTATGTACATACGTTATCTATGTTTGTATATACATATTGTGTTGCCAATAAAGTTTGTAACATGAGGTAGTTTCGGTTGTTTAGTTTTGAGGTAGATTTTTTACTACATACGTCTAAAAAATTCTAATACAAGTATATATATATGTACAAATATACAAATATAAATTTTTTCTTACAATTTGGCTATGATATATTTTTTTTAAATCAAAACATTTCAAATTTGTGAACTGTGTACATTTTTTGTAGAAAAATAAAAATAATGAAATGTATTTCAAAAATGATTACAAAATTCAAATGTATATATAAAATGCTGTTTGATGTGATAGAAGTAATATAATATTATGTACATAAAAATACGTATATACCTTTGTAGGTGCACGTTCATTGATATAAAAACACGGTTGGTGAGATCGGAAATGATAATGTATCAATAACGATAATAAAGATAAGAATTTATTAGTTGAGGTACATACACATATAATTATGTATTTTTGAGATTGTTTTATAATGAACTGCAAAATATTCTCTATATAAATTTATTCATAAAACCTTTAATATAGTCTATAATAGATCATTTCTAGTTTAATATTAAGAAATTATGAGTAATATTCGGCGTTTTCATAAACGCAGTACGTATATCGCGATATATGTATGTATAGCGAAAATAGCGCTTTATTTGTGTTCATAAGCAGATGTTGCGAGCCAGATTTATTCATAAAAATGACCAATTTTTTACAATATAGCGAAGTTAGTTAGAGTAGTGCATGTTATGCATAAATTAGTATGAGTGTTTAATCATATGAACTTTTTTGATTTTATAGAATAGTCAAAAATATATTGAATATTCACTACGATATGTTTTTGTAGTATTGCATTTTGAAATTATTGTTGCAGTATTGCGTTTGTGAAAATTTCTATTGTGGCAATTGTTTCTTCGTGTCATTAATCTTAAACATGACGAATATAAAAACAACCAATTTGCAATAAATTAACAGAATAACGGGCTAAAATTGTAAATTTTACTTTAAAAAAGTAGAATAAATTTTATGAACGTAAATTTTACGATCTCGTTTTTGCAATTGTTTTGCAGTTTTCATGATTTTTATTAAATTCACTTGTATGTCGATGCCATTTTACATTACAAATGGATTAACATTTATAGCAAAATTTTAAGCGTTTAAATGATTTGTTTCCACAATTTAAACCAATTTCTATAAAATTAATTAAAAATACTAAACTTGACGACCTGCTGCTTTATATAACGAAAAATAATATACAAAACGGATGTAAAATCCCACACAAACATTTTTCAAAGAAATTTCAAGAAAAAGGGCATCTTATTTAGTAATCTTCTAGTGTGACCTATTTTGTAATATTCTATAATTTAAAAGTTACTAGAGTAGAACTCAAAAATCGAAATCAATTTCTCTAAATAAAATATCGTAGCAATTCAGTAAAATCATACTAGACCCTACTTTAGACTTTATATCTTTGTATAAGAGTTAGTGCTTAATTTATGTTATTTTTGGTAGATGTAATATTGATTAAATTAGGAAATATTTCAAATGTGATTAATTACTATTACACTTATAATTTAATACATTTTTTGAAAAGCAATTTCAAATTTTTGATTTAGAGATAAAAATCCACTCAGAGGGTAACTTTTTTTAGTTAAACTTGATTCCTGCTTGAACTTCTGCCATTAAGTCAGCTGATTTACGTAGTTGCTCCGTTTCACTTTGAGTTAAAATTTGTTTAACTATGCTAGTAACACCGTTTGAATTAAGTACACATGGTAATGAGAGAAAAACATCTTTCTCAATACCATGTTCACCCATAACAGATGTAGATACTGCTGCAACTTTATTAGTGTTTCGGAGAATGTCAGAAGCCAAAGCTGCAATGCTTAAACCAATAGCCCAGGATGTATATCCTTTTAATTTGATTACTTCGTAAGCACTACTTACAACTTGAGCATGCAATTCATTCCAATGCTCATCATCATGATTTGTACCAATTTCTGAGTTTAGTTCACGTAAACGTACCCCAGCTATATTAACTCCAGACCATACTGGTACACTGCTGTCACCATGTTCACCTATGATCCAACCATGACAGGAAGTCGGAGCAACACCTAGTCGCTGTGACATTAAGAAGCGAAATCTAGATGAATCTAAATTAGTACCACTTCCTATTACCCGATTTTTTGGCAAACCAGATAATTTCCAAGCTACATATGTCATAACATCAACTGGGTTGGATACCATTAAAAGAATTGTATCTGGACTAAATTCTACTAGCTGCGGTATAATTCCTTTAAGAATGTCAGCATTTCGTTGAACTAAAGATAAACGACTTTCGCCTTCTTTTTGACGAACTCCAGCGGTTACAATACAGATTCTTGATCCAGCCGTCAAAGAATAATCTGTAAAAGTAATAAAATCGTTAAAACTACTTATCATTGAATCATAAAAACTGTGAGGTGTGTAAATGTTCCTGTAAATTTGTACCTTTTGAAAAATTGAACGTTTGTAATCTAAATTCTCAGCAAAAGAGTGCAACGGCAATAGCGTAAATAGAAAATGCTTATATAAAGTGTATTGTTATGGAGTTGAGGCAGCAGATTAAGAGCCTATGTTTATGCATACGGCTACATTCTAAATATGTAATGAAAATGATTGTAACCTGAAATGATATTGTTATTGCAATATAATTTTGCATACGTTTCGGATGAGCTTTGAAACAATTGATTTTAACTTTGGAGCCTTTTTTAAACTATAACAGAGGATCAATTAATAATGGATATAGTTAACCATGATAAGGGCACGAACACATATTTTTCGATAAAAGAACAATTATTGCTCATTGTTAGAAACTTTAGAATGAATCCAATTTTTGATCGAAAATTGAAATTTAAAGAAGTAAATGAAAAAAAAAATTGTTTTATGAAAACAAAATAAGTACCTACCTACATATTTCATCCATACTTGTAAAATGATAAAATTTTAAACTAATCCTAGTTGTTCCGTAAATCCTAATTTCGCAAGTTGACGGGGAGGCAGATAAACATATGGACAGACATAGTGAAGTTAATAGAAACATTTTTTGCAAAATTTTTACGAAATATGCCAAAAAGTAAGATGAAATGCGGAATGACATCATAAAATTGTTAGAGACAAAAAACGTGAAAAAAATCCCTAAGATATTTCAATCATGTTGCTCCTGAATAAGTTACTCCTAAATTATGTGATTTATATTATGGAATTAAATTATAATCAGTAAATACATGTAAATAATAGATGTGTAGATGAAAAAAGTTTATTTCTCATTTTGATTTACATATTATATATTACATATGAGTGTAAGTCTTCATAAATAACAAAAAAAAAAACAATTGAGGAAAACCCAGAATTTTGTAGTTAACCAACGTAGTAAATTTAAAATTTTTCATATTAAATACGAAATACCTACACTCGCATCTTATTTTTATAGTTGCAAACTCGTTTTATACATATGCATAATATGCTTTTCTTTTATAGAATCTCTAAAATAAACGCTACATACAAACGTTACACATATTAACATAAATTAATATTTAAAAAATTAAAAGCATTAACTCAATACTGAATCAGCTTATTGTAAAAGTTATATAAAAAATATCGTAATTTTTAGCGAATCGTAAAAGTAAATATGTGTATTTTAGGTACATGTATTATAATAGGCATTTGGTTCTAGTTAAAAAATTTACTAGAGCTTTGATAAACTTTATCATCAGAATTCATGAAATTTAAAATTTGATTCCAGATTGTACTTCAGCCAATGTTTTTGCAGATTTTTGTAATTGTTCTTTTTCAGATTGGGTTAAAATTGTTTTAATGATGCTAGTGATGCCATTAGAATTTAATACACAGGGTACTGAAAGAAATACATCTTCTTCAATTCCATGTTCGCCTTTGACACATGTGGATAAGGCATAAACATTGCTTGTATTTCTAATAATCGCTGAAGCAAGACTAGCTACACTTAAACCAATGGCCCATGATGTGTAACCTTTCAACTTGATAATTTCATAAGCACTATTTACAACATCTTTATGCAAATCTTCCCATTTTTCTTTGTCATCGGGGCTTCCAATTTGTGGATTTAATTCACGTAACCGTACACCAGCAATATTAACTCCAGACCAAACTGCAACACTACTGTCACCATGCTCACCAATTACCCAACCATGACAAGATGTAGGAGCGACACCTAATCTTTGTGACATTAAAAATCGAAATCTTGAAGAGTCTAAATTTGTACCGCTACCAAATACTCTATTCTTTGGTAAACCAGATAGTTTCCACGCAACGTAGGTCATAACGTCAACGGGATTTGATACCATCAATAAAATTGTATTTGGACTGTGTTGGACAAGTTTAGGAATAATATGCTTAAGAATATCAGCATTTCGTTGGACTAATGATAAACGAGTTTCACCTTCTTGTTGACGTACACCAGCTGTAACAACACAAAGTCTGGAACCAGCTGAGAGAGCATAATCTATAATAAAAATGTAAAACAATAATAACAATTCATTAACAAATTTTTTATCCATGTAGTTAGTACATTAGCGTCCAAAGATATTAAAGTTTGAAGCCATATTTTGAAAAGAGTAGTCAGCCACCTTCTACTAATTAACTGTTTCGAATGAAGCAATTGATTTGCAAAAAAATGCAGGTTAATTAAAGCATTAAAATTCGGTACAAATAGGTGAATTAAATTTTTAAAACTCTTTAATGAGAACAATAACTAAATTTCAGTTTTGTTCAAAAAATGTCAGTTAAAATGTTAAAATTTCTTTAATATAGAGAAATTAGTTATGTATGCATGTATACTAATGTTACAAAAAAAAAAAGAAGACTTGAAATACTTACCAGTACCAGCAGATATTTTTGGATTCCTTAGAAAATTAGAACCGTGTTGTAAATCCATCATTTCACCTTTCAATTTGTCAGCGCAAACATCAATAAGACAAACATCATTTGAAACATTTTGAGTTAAAATACTGAAAGCGCATGCCATTCCAACCTGTCCAATACCAACGACCGTAATTTTGTTTCCAGCTGATGGTAAAGTTTCGGCAATCGGAACTAATAATTGATCTTTGATAGCAGCCATTTTTCTAATAAAATAAATTTATAAATTTATTTATTTTATAATAATAATAACTAATTATTGAATTATGCAAAAATTTTCAGTTTTCAAAAAAATATTCTATCAATCTATCCGATATAATTTTTTTTATAATTATTTTATGTTGCATATATTTTAGGATGAGATTACTTATATATTTTGCATCCTAATACAATTAATACATTTTGTTTGCAGCAATAAAAAACATCCTTGACAAGACAAGATTTCCCATAACATTTTTGTAAGCCAACTAAATACAAGTTTTAAGTATAATAATCATTCGGAGAAAATCAAAGGTAATAATTTAAAAAAGAGAAAAAAAATTAAGTTCCATTATTGTTAATTTAACGATCTCAATTATGAAATCAAATTACAATTGGAATACCTTTTTAACACCCTCTCCAAAGTCAAATAATCAACTTTAAATAGATTAACGCACCTAAATAAAATCTTATCCGACAAATGAAATTTTATCCATTCACCTTCTCTGCTGTACCTTATCTTCTTTTTTTTCGAAAATTAAAAAAATTTTAAAAAAGGAATTATCGAAGCGTCTAATAGTAAATTTTTAAATATCACCAATTGAAATTCAGAAAAATTTTTATTGCTATTAACTTTGTTGGCTACTTTGAATAATAATTGTACGTTATTAAATTTTTGAATAAGAAACGTTTTTTAGGTTGCTACTAACAACACAGTTTATTTGAAATTTCCAAAGATTATTTCTATAACCATCTACATATGTATATAAAACGTATTTTGCATATGTAGTTCCCTTGTAGATTTTGCATTTCTTTTTATAATGGAAAATTTAATTTTATTTTTCGATTTTCTTGTACTTTTCACCCCAAACAAAATTCCAAAACAACACACATGGAATAAAAAAAAAAAACAATAATTAGAAAAGCTTTTCGTGTCCTTCACACAATTTTTGAAAGTCAAATTGCCGAAATAAAAATATTCCTTTTTTAATTTTCCATGTAAAAACCGAAAAACCGTGTATTTTGACTTGCGTATAACAATACATTCAATTTTTATTATTAAACTTTTTTATATACATTCATACATACATATGTACATAATATTCTAAGAAATATTTTAGAGTATGTTATTTACTTTATTCCTCCAAAAGATTACATGTATGTAATGTATTAGAAACGATATATGGAAAACTTAACAAATCTAAACGAATTGCTAAGCAAGTAGTACCTACAAGTTTTTTTTTATTATTACCAACTTATTAATTATTGTTCTATTTGAAATGATAAAATTTTCCAATTTGATAAAGAAAACAACTTATGATGATCATGATGAACTTCATTTCCAAGTAACGTGAATTAAATATTTCTGTGTAATTTTCAATATTAAAATAAGAACTTTTATTAATAACATTACCGTTCAAAATATCATGCAAAAAAAATACATGTACCTGCACTTAGGTGGGTACCTACTTGGGTATGAAAATGTAAACTTGTGATCTAAGAACGTGTGTATGTACGTGTTCACTGAATGCTTTCGGCATGTTTTTTTCGTTTTTTTTTATAGTTTACATTTTTACAATATGCCGTATGTGGTAATTTTTAACTACATAAGTAGCTTAACAAATCATATTATGCGCATGTGAAAATTTCAAATGAAAGTGCAAGTAGATATAAAGTTGATTGCACTAAAAAAGAAATTACATATGTATATATACATACATATGGATCTAATTCTCAATTTTTTACGTGAAGGTCACTAAGAGGATTTTCCCATTGAACGTCAGAAACGCATACAATATTAAATAACATTTTACACAAATTTATATTGCAGTGACTTTTCCTAAAATTGTACTTTTTTATCTAATTTTAAAAATTTTATAATATTATGTTTTAACACTGGTATTTAAATATTTTAATTCACGAGATACATATATTTATTTACAATGTATGTATGTATGTACTCGGCTTTTTAGAACAAAATGTAAAAAAAATTTACGAAAATTAAAAAAGAAAATCAGCGTTAGAACTTTTAAAGTTTACTTGATTCAACACCGACTACATATATACAAAAAATTAGTAATCTCCAGTTCAATTCATGAATTTATACATAAAACAGAAATATTGTCATTAAAAAATTAAAATCTATATACATATGTAAGCGCAGATGTATTAATAACTTTTCACGTTGGTACATACCAATTGTAATTTATCTAAATAGCAAATTAATTTGTTTGATTTTTTTAAGTTTATTACACTTAACACTACACTTAGCTATTCTTCCTATTTAACGCACAAAGCCAATCTGTTGACTGATTTTCATTCACTAGAATGATAAAACTTTAGTTGGAAAAACTTCTGTTTCCATATTTATATACTTGCCCTTGTATACACATTGTATGTAGGTATGTATATTTTCTTTATATATAATATTACTATTCCGTGTATATCCAGGAATTTTTTCAAATAAAAATTACTCATGTTTATGGTCACTGTCACATATACAATTTCTTATTTAATACTTCCGTTTATTTTTAATCGGAGTTCTTACGCTTTGTTTAATTCTCCAATTTATTAAGTAAACTTTCGATATGTACTGTACATATGTATAACACAATATTAGTTTGAATTATTTTTAAAGTATTAAATTTTACAAAGCAGCTTTTATATGATGTTACATAATTTTAATGATATTAGTACACAATATCGTTAAAAAAATCGTTAAAAGACTCCTAAAGCTTTTACGACAAAATATGTTTTTTACTCCGAAACTTTCTCATTTAACGAGACCGCTGTTATATTCATTATACATAATAAAAAAAAGCTTTTTATTCGTTTTGTTTCTCTCAAACTTTAAAAAAGTAAAGTATATACATGTATATGTAATAAAATAACTAGTAGATCTTCAAACGGAGAGAGTTTCAATATTGGAAAACACCATGTGGCTCCAGTTAACAATAACGCAATGTGTACATACTGTAATGTAATAGCTGTGCTCTGCTCTGCATTAGTCATTATATTATTATTCTCTGCTGATGTTAGGTGTAGTATGCAATTAATTGGGTTAAAGGTGACCTTTATACCAAATAAGTATAAACATAATATTATATTAATATGTATCTATATATAACAAATACATTTTCATAAACTTATATAAATATACATGCGTATATACAGTATCATAGAGTTACAACGTCACTTAAAATCTTTAAGTAAAAAAATGAAATATTGATCTACATATGTACATATGTATGTATATTATTTTACATCTGTTTTCATACAAAATATATATATGTATGTACATAAATCATAATATAATTATAAACAAATATATTTACTGTGTATACTACAAAATACATATACTATGTATTTGTTTATAATTATATGATTTATGTTGAAATGTATGTTTCAATACAAACATAAGTTCATCTGTGATTTGTCTAGTAAATTAAGAAAAATTTTGGATAGTTTTGTTCTTAATGTAATTAAACGAATCAAAACCAAAAGAGCTTTCCGTAAGAAAAAACAGTATTTTAAAAGCTTCATTTTGTAACGATTCAAAGATTGAAATTCATAAAAAATTTACTTTTTATTAGAAAATCAGATTATATTTTCGTTGTCAGTATGAAACTTTTCCTTTGGTAAAGGATTAGTCGTTGACCTAAATGAACCCGATATGTATGCGATATAAATTAATGGTCACCTCCCACAAAAATACTATTCAGCCTTTGGAACATTACTTTTCCACTAATAAAGAATCTTCAAGTTTTTCTCCTTTTGCGCTTATTCGCTTATTGTTCTTCCCTATTTTTGTACAAAAATGTACAAACTGAAAAGCACTACATACAAAATGGTTGATACAAATAGTTTTAAATTGACATAAAATTTGTTTGGCAGAAAAAATAGAACTCCATCAAAAAATATTAAAAAAATATTAAAAATCTTCATTAAAAATAAAGAGTATCCGTGACTTCAATAATGCGCTTACGACGTAAACTTTACAAAGAATCACATTCCAAAAAGTTTAGTAAAAGCTCTTGACATTGTACCCTTTTCCTGAATGCGTTCTATACGTAGTGGATATGTAAAATAAAAGTAAATTGGGTATCCAAAAAATCGAGCACGCTTTTCTTAAACATGTTATATAAATGTTGCCAGAAATAACCAATCAAATAAATTAGCATATATTTTCAGCAATAAAGTGATATTTATTTAGTTTTATGCAGCATAAAAATGCGTATTTTTAATAATGTGGCAACGTTTGTTGAAAATTAGCATTTGCACAGAACTTAAAACTGAAATTTTCAAACAAACGTCAAAGTATGTATTAATATTGTAAAAATTATATCCCAAAATGTATCAAAAGCTTTAACAGTTGTTTTTTACAATGTAAAGGTATTGAAAGTTCTGAGACGGTACTACAATCGTATTAATACCGTACTTATACTTTTTATAAAGCATTATTGTCCGGGTCATTATAGTATAGTATTCCTGTCCGAAAAAAATATATGTGTGTATATATACTACGAACTAAATTTTATATGTATGACTTCAACTTAGAGTTGAAAATAGAACAAGAACGAAAAGTTAAAATTCATATAGAATACACATTATAGGCGATTTTTCTTTTTGACGTCATGTGTTTCCATGTGTATGTGACATTATATGCAAAATACTTAACAGTTGCTTTAGCCGTTCCGCTGTTGTTCTGTGTTAACAGCGTAAATCGTTCCCCGTTGCCGTTCACCGCTTTGGTCTTTTTACTTACTCTAAAATATATATATGTAGTTTTCTTATAAATTATGAAATTATTATTTTGCAACAACGATAAAGCTTGCAAAAAGAAAACTTTTCATCTTCCGACGAAAAACAGGAATTTTAAAAATGTAACAGAAATACTACTATAACAAAAAAACGAAAATGTGGTGTAACTAACAGCCATTTTTATTTAACGAATTAAGTGCTACCATTATCATTGAATTTTGCGATTTTTCGTTGTGGCAATTTGACAGTTTTTAGCTGTCTAAAAATACTTGATGATATTTCGTTTAGGAGCAATTTAAAGTTATCAAAGTATTTTGTAGAACGAATTACGTTTGATGCTCTTTAATTAGTAAGTTTTACGGTACCTATATTTTTGTAGCTTAAAAAATTATTATTTTGAAATATGAAATTTTGGCAGTAAAAGCGTACTATATTAGTGAAGTTTGTGGGATCGATCGGCTTTTCATCAGGAGTGAAAGAGAAGGTTGTGTCGAAAAAAAACACCACAATGGCGAACCAAACCGGTGTTGGTAAGTATAATGACATTATTTTAAGATATTTTTTTTTTTTGCAAAATTCCATTTACTGTAAACTATTCGTCATATTTCTATATCAAACTTAATTTTAGAAAATTTTACTGCAGAAAAAAAAAAGTTCAAGAAATTTTAATCTTGTGACAGTTAAAATTCATTTATTTTCTCTACAATTGATTTTTTTAGTAACAATAATTAAAAAGATTTTTGTTACTCAAAACAATAATAATTTCACTAAAAAATGGCATGTATATTAAAAAATAACAAAAAACCTTTGTTATTCCCAAAAATAATTAAATTACAATATAGGAAAAATTTAATTATATGCATTAAATTTTGCATTAATTAAAATAATATGTTAAAAACTTATTTTTTTTTTTTTTTAAAACGTTAAAATGTTAAAGGTTTAACCACAAAAATTTGGCGAAAAAGAAATTTAACAATAAAATTTAATTATGTTGAATTAGTATGTACCTACCTACCATACTTATAATATTTAACAAACCACTAGAATGAAAGTCGTGTCAAAAAATTAAAAGAGATATAACCTAATTATGAATGCTTGATTCCTGCACTTTTATAAAAAGAGATAATAGGAATTGATCTTTTAAAACTAAATATGCATATACTCTCTAATCTTAATCTTGCCAAATTAAAGAAGTTTTACTTATAATTTTTTTCATATTTGTATACCGCCAAGTAAAAAAATTTAGCTTTAAAAATTTCAAACACGTTCTTTATTTTTCTTAATTTTTTGCCATAATTCTTAAATTTTTGTTTAAATTTCTTAAAAAAAGTTGCTTGAATTTGTTTTTTTCAACTTGAAAGTATGTAGTACCTACATACATATGTACGTATGAGTATCCACGTTTTTTTTTCAAAATCTTCAATTTTGTTCAATTATGCACTTCTAATAAATCAAGGAGAAATATGACGTAATATTAGAATTGATAAATATATGTATGTATGTCCTACCTTCGCCCAAAACCATCAACAATAAATTTAAAAAATTACAAAAAATCGTTTTATTTTTTAGTGGTTCCACGAAACTTTCGCTTGCTTGAAGAGCTCGAACAGGGTCAGAAAGGTGTAGGGGATGGAACTATATCTTGGGGTCTCGAAAATGATGATGATATGACTCTAACGCATTGGACTGGAATGATAATCGGACCTCCAAGGGTATATTTAAATTTAAAATTAGTATAAACAAAAAAAAAATCAATATAATTTATAATAAACTACATGTATGAATTGTAGTAACTACTTAGTTGAAAATAGGTTCTGAATTGCGCTAATTACCTACGTTATAAAATGATTTATCCGTCTGGTGCGGTGTATATAACTTGATGTAACCCATTATATTATGTATGTTACATATATGTTTACATTTTTAAATATGGGTTTAGTTCTAAAGTTGCATAGTTCCAGAAGTGTAATCCTAAACTAATTGAAAGTTTTTTAATAAACATTAAGAAAATCTTCAATGTTTTGAAATAAATTATTATATTTTAAATTTTTTTAATAAATCATATAAAATTTCAAAATTTTGAATCTTCTGTGTTATTTCAAATAAAAATAACCGATTTTGATGAACATTGTTAATGTGTGTATTTAAAGCTGTTAATAATGCATTTATATTGCATGTATATTACTCGTATATATGTAGCTACATGTTATGTACTCAAAAATTTATTTTTGTTTTTGGTAAAAAAAAAATGTGAAAGTTATTTGACACGATCTCTAAAATAACTTTAAGAAGTTATTTTATTATAGAAACATTCGTTCTACTTTTATACAAAAGTTCGTGAAATAGTTAGTCAAATTCAAAATTATGTATATTCTATGATAAATGTAATTATCAAATTATTTCCCTTCTTCGAGATGTGTAAATGAATTTATCAGTTTGTGCATTGCGTATACGCTCATATCGGTTTTGATGTTTAAATATTTAAAATGTTGTTCAATGATATGTTTTTAACTCAAAAATAAAATATTTATTTATTTTGATAAAATTTTTGAAATTTATTTCTTGAAATAAATTTAACACTCATATATTTATGTATTTTTTTAAGACACCATACGAAAATAGGATATATTCCTTAAAAATTGAATGCGGAGAACGTTACCCAGATGAACCGCCGACTCTTAGATTTTTATCAAAAGTTAATATCAATTGCATCAATCAGAGTAATGGTGTAGTAAGTATTGTTAAATTTTTTTTTTTTTTTTTTTACGAAAATATAAAATAAAAAATATTTCAAATACTTTTTTTTTTAAATTTTAGCAAACTTACAAATTTATCTTTATTGTAAAAAAACCTTTTTTTAATTCTATTTCATTTAACTGACTATTTTTATATTTTGCATTTAAGAAAGAAATATTCAATTTAAAGAAATTTATTTTAATACATACTTTGCTGCCGTAAGCTCAATATATTTCAACATTATAATATGGTCAACCTTCAATTTTTGTATTTCAATTATTTTTCTTGTAAAACTTATTTTTTGAAACACCAAGCTCACCGCGGAAGTGAATTCAAAACAGATACTTCAAACAAACATTTGCATCAAATTCTAAATACATACCTAATAAAATTTAACTTAAAATAAGAAAATTAAAATTGTACAAAATTTGCATATATTTTAGGTTGATACTAGATTAGTACCAATGTTAGCACGCTGGAATCGGGAATATACAATAAAATCTATGCTTCAGGAAATTCGTAGGATTATGACACTCAAAGAAAATTTAAAGTTGGCGCAACCACCAGAGGGGAGCTGTTTTTAGTGAGCGTAACATCGCGGGTTCCTTCAAAATTTAACGAAATAAAATTTTACATCTTATTTAAAAAAAGAATCGCATTAAACGAAAAGCAAATAAACAAATGAGTTGAAAAAAGTTTTATGTAACAATAAAGTAAAAGGGAAGATTAAATTAAAATACACATTTAAAACCATGGAGCATTAAAAAAGTTTATAAATAAATTAATAAATTAACATAATTATTAATAAATAAATTCATTGTATTATTATTGACAATTAAGCCTTTCTTGAAATTGGGTTAAAATCAATCATATCTATATATGTATGTACCTATTAATTATATTATATTTTTATTATATTTTTATTTACATACAATAGATGTATAAAACAAACACTGGCAGTACAAAAATATTTTTTTAAGTAAGTCTGTGCTATCTACTACATTTATGTATAGAATCGGTAAAAGAATTGATCGAAAGTAAATATAATGAGATTTTAATAAACGATTAACGAAATATACCAAACCAATAACGTAATGCGTATGAAATATATTTTTGACGTCTTCATAAAAGCAACACCGTCGGATTGTTCAAGTGCGCTAGTCATAACAATTTTATTTCATTATGGCTAATTATTCAATAAGTATTTAAGTAAGAGACCGCATTTCAAATCTTAACGAAAATGTTATATTGGGCTTTTTCTAAAGCAAGATAAATTGTATATTATGTAAAACCATGTTACAGACTAGGCTACTTCACTTGATATTTTATATTATTTTAAATCATATGTATGTAATTTGTGTTTTATTTTTAATTTTTTTAGCGATTTTTTTGACCATAATTGCACTCACTATTGACATGACATTAGGAAAAAAATTCTGTCAGCCTCACAGCAAAACATTGTAACCAATGTACTCGAAGAGCATTGAGAAATTTTGGAAGATGAATAAAAAACGGAAAAGAAATGCCTGATATGTTGTAAGACCAAAATTAGTGAATGGACTTTCATTTGTCGTTTACAAAAACTTGCAAAATTCCTTACTAAATCATGAACATACATATGTACTCGTAGATGTATTGCGAATTATATGGTATAAATTTTCATGTATAAAAACTTTTACATAGTTTTTTCCTATTTTCTCTATTTTTCCTTTTAATATTTTTAGCAAGTTTTTTGTATTCAATAATGTATGATTGTTGATTCTTTTTCAAACCCAATCTTAATAATACCATTTTGATATTGCTCAAATACTTTTAAATTTTTTATTTAGTTATTGAAGTTGATTGCTAAATATTTCCTTTTACTTTATAAATTGAACATTAATTTTTTGTGAAATTTTAGTTATACATAATTAAAATGTGGTTAACCAATACTTTTTTTAATTACGTTATGCCTCTATGACATCTTAAGCTTAAAAAATATCATATGACATTTCTTTTATATGTTCACATTCGTAGTAAAAAGCACATTTGTTTGAGAGTAACTTGAAACTTCAAAAATATCGGTATTAAAAATGAAATCGATTTATTGCATCTTAAAGTATCGATATAGCAGCTAAGGCTTATTAAAGAACGAAATTATTACTCAAAATTACAGATTGGATTACCTGATATATCTAATCAACAAAAAATTGAAAAACATCTTATTCAACAGGTTGTCAAAGATGTTGTTTTCAGTTCTATATATATGTGTAAATTATGGTGATATGAAATCTGCTTGCATTTACAGTAATTATTAGGATTATTAAAGATAAAGTTATAGTTTGATATCCGATATAATATATCGAGCATGCCTTGTATTTCATGGAATTGACCCATCCCTAAACCTGTTAACACAAAATAGTATATAAACAACTAAATTGTAAAGTAGGGCAAAATATTAATTTGTTATTTCTGTTAAAAACAAGACACCTCAACATGTCTTTACCAGTAGCATTATTAACAAGAAAAGAAATATTTAGTGCTTGCCATCGTTTGCATAGGTAACATTTTCTTATTTATAATTAAATAAATAATATCCTATTCGTTGTATTTTAGTCCTCATTTAAGCAATGAAGAAAATGCAGAAATTTTCGGAAAGTGTAATAATTTAAATGGTCATGGCCATAATTATGTGGTTGAAGTAAGTGTTCGTGGTCCAATAGATATGCGAACAGGTATGGTTATGAATATTACAGAACTAAAAGAAGCCATGAAAATTGTAATCTTCGAAAATTTGGATCACAAAAATCTTGACAAAGATGTCCCATTTTTTAAGTCAGTGGTAATTTTCCCAATTTATAATATATTTCGTTTTTATGAATAAATATATGTATTTAATAACTAAAGAAGTATGAGATATAGACCGAGGTATCTTCCTTTATATACATATTATTTACATGTAGATACGTGCTCTTGCGATTTCTTGTTCACCTACTTACTAAATCATTGTTTAAGAAGTGAAAATTTTATGTAGATCTGTTATTCGCGTGCGTGTAAACATAGTGATTGTACACATTAATATAACTAATTTTTCTGATAATTTTCTAAATTTTTCTGATAATTTTCTAAATTTTTCTATTTAAATGTTCACTAATTGTTTATAGAGAATTAATATTATTTTTAGCCTAGTACAACGGAGAACGTAGCTATATTCATATGGGACAATCTAAAGAAAGTTTTGAAACAACCTGAGCTACTTTTCCAAGTGAAAATTCATGAAACGAATAATAATATTGTATCATATAGAGGTCAGCATACTGGCCAAAGACAAATGGACAAAAAGAACTGCTGCCAACGAGGAAATTGTACTAATGTGTCGTCTGATTCAGATTAGAAAATTCCTCATGAATTACATTTATTTTTGCTTAAAATAATAAATGATATTTTTATAAACTCTTGTTGTTATCATTATTCGTCAAAAATTTCAAAATTTTTTTATTTGATTATGTAGGTATTTAGTGACTTGATATAAATCATTTGCACTTCTCGACTTCTTTGTTAAAAAGTATATGGTCAGTTCGTAATTCCGAAACATATTTTGAACTTATAATTTCGTTTTCTTTTTTTCAAACCTTTTAAGTGGTGAGAAATAAAAACATAGCTTATTTCAGCATGGTTCAATAAGGCTTAACATGTACCTGACACCCAATCACTTTTTAATCATGTAGTAAATAGAAAGGTTTTATATTTACAGAATCAAATTGAACAGTAGCCAATATTTCAAGTATACAGCAACCGTTAGCACAAATTTTTTAACGAAAATGCAGACATCAATTACAAACACATGATAATTAAATATATATATACATATATGTAATTAAAATTGAAAAGACGGCAAGTTTAGGGTTCAAAATTTAAACTAAGTTTCATAATTTATAAATGAAATATATACATACATTTGATTTGGTTAAAATCGACTTAATTTTTCTCTAATATTCAAATATTTGCAATTAAATTATCACGTATACCCTTGATTAATTTTCTCAAAATTGGAAGTAATTCTTGTGTTCCACTCGTTTTATTTGTATTATGTATAGTTTATTATAGCAATAAGAAGGCTGTGCATATGCCTCACGCATATCTGTAAATAACCCCTTTCGGCGACATTTTGTAAATAGGTGGAAAAGTTTTAATGACATTGACAAGTTATTTTTAATCAATTTTGGTGAAACTTAGCTTTTTATTCTTTTGTTTTAATAATTTACTAAAAATAAAAACAAATTTAGTATATTTAATTTAATATATTGAAAATTATCAGGTAAAATTACAGTGAAAATTTAAATAGGTCCGTTGACCTCTCCAACACTGATTAAGGGTTAAAAAATATATATAGCATAATTAAGATCCGCATAAAAACTAAAATATAATGGTTATTAATTATGATGATTAAAAATGAACTTATAAAATTACTATAATCAATAAACCTATAGATAGGATATGGTAAAAAATTTGATTGGTAAAAACAAGTTTAGAATTGTTTTTTTATTTCGATTCAGCATGCTTAGATGTAATTCATGTACAAAAAAAAAATTAAATAAAAATGAGTAAATACTTTTTTTCTAATCCAAAAGGTTAACATAAATGGTACGTTTTATATTTTCGAAAAAATTTCATACAGTACGATTAGCTCGAAAATATCAAAATGTAGTTGCGTTTTCTGATTTAACTCAAATATTTTTAAAAATTCCGCTTTTCATATTTCCAATTTTTTTTATTATTTATAAATTGCTTTACATTATTCGTGTTTTAATTTTTCAAACATATATAAATGGATTTTTATTCCTTCCAAATAATTCAATTAAAAAATTTATAAAATTAATTTTACATGTACATATCAATATTCTGATTACGGCATAAGGTCAATGAAGATCACTTAAAGAAAAAAAAAACTATAACATTATAAATGGAAAATATAATTTCAAATTTAAATGTTCTTTTTTTTTGTGTGTGATTTTCAAAATGGTTAACTAATTGAGTTTATATGATAAGAAATTCTCAATAATTATATCTTAAAATTTTCGAAACCTAAATAAAAATATTTATATTTATATATATACGATTTTTTTCTTAATATATTAGAAAATTATTTTGTTAAAACCTATTATTCTCATCTCATCTAAATTTTGTTTTAGTTTGTTTTAACATTTTTACATGTTCTTCGCATTTTTTACTTTGATTAGTTTGAATCTCACATTATTTATTTTTTCATAACTTAGATTACTTTTTTATTTTTATTGTACATTTTATATTATATAACACTTCTTGTTTTCTATGTTTGTTGTAATATAGAGAATAACTAAAGAAGAAATAGAACTAAGCTGATATATTTAACATTCCTAAACATTTCCCTCATTTTTTTATTTTAATATGCATTTTTTAATTATATATATATATGTATTTCTTATTTTAATTCAACAATTTGACATTTTCATACACAATTTTTTTCTAACATTTTTTTTTTTCAATTTTCTAATGCGAAGATCTTTATTTTTACATATTTTTTTTGATAATATTATGTACCAAGATTTTTTATTCCATAAATTTTAATTTCTTCAATATTTATAATTTCTTTAATTTTTTAGGACTTCTTTGTTTTCATAAATATATCATTTTTTTTTTCATTCATTGGAGGGGAAGGACGTCAGCTTTCTTTTAAAAAATTGTTAATATTATTATCAATCTAAATTTTTCGATTAAAGTATTTAACCCCTTTATTATTTCGCACCTGCAAGAAAAATTCAATTAATTAATATTGCATAAAATATACAATTTTTTAATTAAAATTTAAGTGTTACAAAATAAAAAATATTCAAAACAATTTTGCTTTAATGCAAACTTATACGGACTAAGCACTTGAGCTTTAGTAAATAGAAAAGTATTGCGTTTGGAAACATTAATTGATAGTCAGATTTATCTCTTCATCTTTCAAAGGTAATTTCTTAGAAAACTTTGCATTTTTAAAATTTCATACCGATATGATTACAACAAAAGAAAAAAAAGTGCCATATTGCAAATTAAACAATGAATTATAACCTTTCTTACAATAGCCGCACTTAATATTTAGTTTTTATAACTGTTTCTTTTTTCTTTACCGAATATATAAATTATTCTAGCTGGATTTTTAAATGATTCTTTATTTAGCATTTACAGAGATTTCTAAATCTTTTTAATAGTAGCGATTATGTACGATCAAAACCGAAGTTAAACTTCTATGAATTATGATGATTTTATTCCACTTTCTGAGAAATTGTGTTCATTTTACGTTTTTTTTTTGTTGGCTGTTAACGTGAAATTCCTTTATATTATGGAAACATAATTTTATTTTTTCCCCTACCATCAGTCATTAAATTACATTTAATAAAAGTTTACTGTTGAAGGCAAAAATTCTTTATATTCTTACAATTCCAAACTTATATATGTATGTGCTATGAATATTTGTCTAAGAACCCCACTATGACGTCTTTCAATTTTATTTAAGAAAAAATTAAAGAAATTTATTTAGGGAAATAATATTAATACCTGTCGTAACTGATGGTGCTTCTGTTTGTTGCTGCGACTGCTTTGTTGCTTGCTGGGTTTTCGAAGGAAGACCAGTATTTTGGCCGATTCTATTATTACGGCCCCGATTATTATAATTATTTGGCCTATAGTTCCGATTGTATCCACCATTGTTCATATTCCGGTTATAATAACTGCCACCTCCAGTGCCTCCTCGGCCACGGTAACTTAAAAATAAAATATAATCTTAAAAATTGTAAATTGTATATTCCAATTATAATATTTTCCAACATAATTTTAAAAGAATTTAAACATTATTGATATGACTCAAGTTTAGTTTGCACTTTTCAGTCAGCTTTTTTATATCATTCAAAAATTTTACGCGTTGGTTTTGCTATAGATAAAAAAAAAAATTACATACAAATGACAACTTACTTTCCACGCCTAGTTGAAGATATGCCAAATGTTTCAGTGTTTAATTTTCGTTCCTGGCGCCAGTCGTTCTTTTTGATTGATCTGTCAGCTGCTTCACAAGATATGTTGTCAAAAAAGGATTTGTTTTTATCATAACCAACTGGAACGTAATCATCGTCTTGCTCCTGTTCGCCTGCACCAGTCTCGTTTCCTGAATCATCTTTCTTGGTATCGGTTTCTCCATTGACCTTAACATAAAAATATTTATTTGTATAATAGCGTTTCACTTGTGCAAATATAAAATAATTAATTTGTAACAATACCTGTTCAGTTGAATTTTTAGATTCCACTTCGCTGACTTTTAATTTCGCAAGTTGCGAACGTAATTCTTCAAACTTGTTATTTGCTTGCTCAAAATCGTAATCTTGGTCGAATTTGATTGTATTTTTTACAGGACGATTTTTATTTAGACCAATACCTCCTTGCCGATAACCTCCTTGAGAGAAGTAACTCTATATAAGATGAAAAACGCCAAAATTGTATATGTTGAATAATAAATTAAATTTTTAGTTTACTTGATTCTGGGTTCTACCCCGCCCGCGATTTCTCATCATATTCACATTATTACCGCCACGGTTATTCCAATTTCCACGGTTTTGGAACCGATTTCTTTGATTCCCATAATTATTTTGGTTATCATGATGTTGATCCATACGGCCTGAATCTCGTCGATCCCTATAATTATTTTGACCACTTCTTTGATTTTGTTGCTGATGTTGTCGTTTATGTCCAGCATCACGATTATTACCAGCGTTTTGATGGTGTTGTTGAGATTGTTGTGATGTTTGTTGCTGATTGACTTGAACCCCCATATCTGTAGAAGGACTTTTTCGGGATATCAAACTTACTGGAGTAGTCGACCGTGATCCTCCTGTTATCAAATCTACAATGCAAGCTCATTTATATTTATTATCGCCTACTTATAATAAATACATATTTTAGACAAAAAAATATTGCAATATTTTCATAATTGAATTTTATTTCAAATTTATTAAACTTCAAAATAAAATTTAATAACTAAGATAATGTAAATTTGAATATGAATAACATAAAGAAAAAAAAGATTTCTACAAGCCATTCCAACAATAATAAAATGAAACATGAATTACATATTATCAAAAAAAAAAAAAATATATATATACATTTATACGTATGTATATAAGAGCAAGACAGTATTCCCTTATATGTAATTAGAATTTTGATTTTGTCTCGACAAATATTAATTCAAATATTTAAGACACAAAATTTAGAAACATGTATGCAATTAGGAGATTATGGAAAAAAGGATATAACAAAAAAAAAAAAAACTCATACAAGCTACACATTTAATATAACTAAAGTTAAATTATACGTTGGGTAAAATTACTTCAACGAACATGATCTAACGAGGACAATTTGTAGGCGGATAAAATTTTGTATATATTCTTCGATAAAACACTGAGACCAAGGTCAATAATCGTTCACATTAGTTGTATGTTGCAAAAAATTACTGGGATTTATTAAAAATAATCGCCAATTATTAATTTTAAGCGCAAGAATGTTAAAGTTAATTTAATATATTTTATTCAAATACATGTTAGAATCCGCCTGATGTTTCCAACAAATGAAAAAGGATCAAATGCGAAATTAAAAATGATGATAACGGTAATGAAGAAGTAATTTTTTGACAAATTGGATCTGCTATGGGTTTTATGATTTTGTGCACATTTAATTTTTATATTCGAAAGCAGAAAAGGTGCGATAAGTTTCTGTAACGTAAGATATTAAAAGATATTTCGCTTAGATTAAAAGCCAAGCTTAAATATGAAAATAAGAAAAAATACTATAATTAAGAAAAAAATCATGAATTTCGCATAAGTTTTTGTTTAAACACTTTTTAAATTTTCAAAATGAAGCTATTTTTAAAAAATAATAATGCTTAATTATAATATGTACATAAGGAGAGAAAAAAAAAAAAAAAAAAAAAAACAAAAAAAAAAAATTACCATCACACCTTGGTCTTTGTGTTCAGCCGCGGTTGAGGGAATTGTGGTAGTATTACTAGGTGCAGTAGAATTTAAGTTAGAAGGTTCTGGAATGGCGTCGTTTAACTCACTTGGCTGTTTAGGTTTAGTGTTAAGCAAAAATGAACCAGGTGCCATATTACCAGCTGTATTATTCGTTGATGTGCCTGCTCCAGTTCCAGGTCCACCAAGACCTCCTATATTTCCCATTCCCCCAAAAGGAGCTCCGTAGTTTGTCATCGGTGAATTAATAGCAGGCATAGGAAAATGTGGCATTAAATGTTGCCCATTTGGCAGTTGCATTTGCATTATTGCTGGATCATTTGGATGAGGCATTCCATTGTTAACCACACGGATATCTTTAATGTCTGTTCCACGAAAAAGTATATAATCATAAATCTGACTTTGTGGAGCAATAGGATATTGAGTTTCACGATCTTCAGTACCAAACGATCGAACTGGAAAAGAAAATTATTTTAATAAAATATTTTACTTAGGTTATCGTAAGAAAACACAAATATATTGTAATTAATATAATATAAAAGTGTTCATTAAGATCTTAAATAATTATTTAAGGTTTATTTAAGTATGTATGTAGAGTTAGTTACAATGTAGGTATACCCATTTAAAATTGTATTCAAATGATTATATAGGATCTTATTGTAACATAACTGGTACTTATAAACCATGTGTTAAAAATTAACAGTTTTTCAAAAAGGAATTTAACAGTAAATTTTTTTTTTGTCCTAATGTCGATGGTTAAAAATTTTTAATTTGCTCAAGTTTCTAAATGAAAATGTTAAAAAATTATAAATCAATTTTAGTAATACCGTGGTTGATTTCAACCAAATTTTGTTATTTAATTATTACCCTCCCTACATATGCACATATTTCTATGCCACACGTAGCCATTTAATTTCGCAAAGGAGGCGTAATTTTTTTTCCCTTATTTTTTACTTACCATTTGCTAATGCAATTGTGCATTCTTGAGGATCTACAGTAAATAATCTTCCTTCATAGCGAATATCCGCTTTTGATATTAAACTAATTTTGGAGCCTAGCTCCGGCATCCCTCCGCTGCTCATATTAAGTTCTAGAGTAAAATATCCACTCCGAAATTATGAACCTTGATTAATAGTATCGTTATTTAGTAACTTTACATATACTCTTTCACGTTTAGAATTCTGAAACTTTAAGAATTTCAGAAATTTTAGTATAAAACTAAATTTAAATAATTGTACCGTCGAACTCTTTGTCTAAAGCAATGGCGTACCCAAAAAGACGAAGTCAAAAATCACCAAATGATGGCTGCCAAAATGTCGTCCAAATGTAGTCAGCTACAAACGTATACCGCTTTTATGCTAATCAATTGTATTTTTAGTCTGTCAAAAGTTACAAAAGTCATTCATATGGTCCGTACCATTTCGCGAAACGATCAATAATTTTTAATAAAAATAGTCAATTGCAATCTACAACCCAAAGCAAGCTTTTTCACGTACTTCATTAATATTACTTTAAAAACCGTATGTAACTTCCATAAGAATATGTATGAATTTGTTTTTGTTCAACATTCACTTGTATTTTGGTATTATAAAAATCATGACTATCAAGTATTTTAAACGAGCTAACTCCGACAAAAAAAGTTTTGTATCCCCATGCTAATTTTTTGGCAGCTAAGATTGCGAAATCTTCGAATTTCTATACTGCCTCCCAATTAATTGATAAATTTTCGAAAAGTAACAAACGAACGACTAGAAAAATTAAAAACGCAAATGTAATTGCGAAAAAAAAATAACTACTCCAACCTATTCTTATATGAAAAAGAAGTAAAGAAAAAACAATGTGAATAATGTCAAAAAATAAATCACTTCGGGATCTGTCACTTCACAAGAGTATCGTTGTCATCGAGCAGCTCAAAGGTTTTTTTTTCATCCTTTGAAAAATTTTAGATATTTTTGAACAGGATGGCTGCTAATTTAGGGAGGATTTGCGGCACAAATTTATTAAAAGCAAATGTTAATTTAACATCACTTCAACAGGTAAAATTCTATAGTTTTAATATAGGAAAACATATAAAAAAAATGAAAAGAAATTTTTTGAAGTCATCCAAAAAAAATGGATAAAATTAATATGTATGTCCTTATATTTATAATATAAATGATTGAAAAATTACTAACACGTATAGAAATTAAGCAAGTTTTAATTATAAAACAACCAATCTTTTTTATAAGCGAATTAAGCAAACTAAAAGAGTATTATGAATGTTTATTATGTAACATAGAAATGAAAAAGCATTGATGTAAAAGTTGACATAAGAGTTAAAAAAATAAAATTTTCTTTTAGGTTTCCAACTTTTCAACAGCAAAGCAATGGACTAGTAATCAAAAAAAGGTAGGATTTGCAAAAAAAGGGAAAAATACAAGAATTTATAAGGGTCTTCAATTTTACATAACCTATAAGGCATTTCAATGAAATCCGTGTCACTCAAACTACTTGAATTACATTTCGAAATTCTTTAAATTAACAAAAGTGTTTATTTTCTTGGCAATTTATTTAGCTTTTTGCCGCTGTTGGTGCTGGAATTGGAGGTTTAGGTACTCTACTTTTCGCTATGGAACAAACTGTGAAGGCTTCAGGTACAGAAGTTCATCCAACGAAATGGCCGTGGAGTCATAGTGGAATTTTTTCGTCTTTAGATCATTCTAGGTAATAAGTGTTTCTTTATTTACAAGGTTATTTATTTTGTATTTGTACTTAGCATGCGTCGAGGCTACGAGGTTTATAAGCAAGTTTGCGCGGCATGCCACTCTATGCGTTTCATTGCTTATCGTAATCTTGTTGGGGTTACCCATACAGAAGCGGAAGCAAAAGCAGAAGCTGAACAAATAATGGTGAAAATACACAAAATTCAAAAACATCAAACATTTTAATATTTTTGAGTAGGTTACAGACGGCCCAGATGACTCTGGAGCTATGTACCAAAGGCCGGGCAAATTGTCGGATTACTTCCCAAGTCCATATCCCAATGAAGAGGCAGCACGCGCTGCTAATAATGGTGCATATCCTCCAGATTTGAGTTATATCGTGTCAGCACGTCATGGAGGTGAAGATTATATTTTTGCTTTATTAACGGGCTATTGTGAAGCACCAGCAGGTGTAATAATTCGGGAAGGTCAATATTTCAATCCATATTTCCCTGGTGGCGCCATTTCAATGGCACAAGTTTTATATAACGAGGTACTTCTGAATTTTTTTTATTTTGTAAAAATATCTGTTAAGAATAACAGAAACTATGAAAAGTCATAATTTTTACCGTTTAAAAATAAATTATTTTAGGTAATTGAGTATGAAGATGGAACTCCAGCAACGGCCAGTCAGTTGGCGAAAGATGTTGCAACTTTCCTAAAATGGACTTCAGAGCCTGAGCATGATCAACGCAAAAGGATGCTTATTAAAGCAATAGGAATATTTGCATTCTTAACAGCCATTTCATATTATATTAAAAGGCATAAATGGTCGGCATTAAAATCAAGAAAGATAGTTTTTGCCCCAAAGAAATAAATAATACTAGAACAGCGGTTATTTAATAACTTAAGAGAACTTCAACTTATAATAATTAAAAAAAATTAAATTTAAAATAAAACGAAAAAATTCAAAATTTATTATTAAAAGTTATCAATTTCTTAAACCACTATACATATTTTGTTGTACGAATTTTCGGAATATTTTCTTCTAATGTTCTAATATTTTTGTTTAAAGCTGATCAAGCTTTTAAGCCGATAAATGCATTATCTACTTTTTTTAATGCTATTGTATATAAATTTAATGGATTTAGTCAAAAAATGCTTTTTATTTTACTAGCCGGACTTTTATTATATTATTTAAAAATAAATTTATAGAAAAAATTTATTTATAATAATTAAATTTAAATTTACAAAAGGTCGGAAGTCGACAAAACAATAAAAGTTAAAACCTTAATTTATATTTTTATTTACTTATTTAGTTGGTGCAAAATTATTTCGCAAATTATAAGATGTTTAATTAACTCTGTTCAAATATAATTGGGACTCTTAATACGGTTTCATAAGAACCCTTAAAAATTAAAAAAATATGTACATAATTTGATTAGTTTTATTGAAAGGTGATTTCAACGCTTGTTTGATTCTTGAATTATTAAGTAGACTTTCTGCTGTTTTTCTTATAAATGCAATCTAGTGTTCCCACTTCACTTTTCTTCTATCAATCTTGACTTAAATATATTTGCAAAAAATTTTTATTTCTTTTAATAAGAGAAACAATTGCTGGCTATACCGAAAGTTTTGTTATATAATATAACCAGCCACATCTTGTAGACGCATAACGCGAGGCACGTAATATGTGCATGTCAATACCATTGCCACAAAACGTACATATACTTAAGTAACATGTATACATAAATGCAGTTTATGCTGTTCAGTATAAAGTTTGCCAAGAAACTAATGCAACCGTATAAGGTAATATCAGAATGAATTCCAATCAGAAATAGTCGATATTATGTGTGCCAAAATGTAAATTACGGATTATTTTGTAAAACGCGTTTATTTGTTCCTACTTTTCTATTCCAAAAGCACACTAAATAATATTTTTGAAAACGCTTATAGACGCATTTTTAACGTTTTTTGAAAGTATGTAGATTAAAAAATTACCCGCGTAATGCATGTTTATGTATAACATGCATATTACATATTGTAATGCAAATACATATATACATACATGCGTACATAAATACGTATGTATATTCTGGTTTCTTTCACGTTTTGAAATAACGTAAATTTTTTATTGCACATAGGAATCTATACATAGTTGTGTGTGTGCAAGTGTAATTAACATTGCCCTTCTTTCACTTCCTGGTTTGGAAACAAGAAGTAAATACCCGAAAATCATTAGAAAATATGTACAATGTAAAAATATATAATTAATGCGAAAAAAAAATCATTCAAACTTTTCCTGTTTGCTACTTAAAATTGAGCCTTTAGGTGTTCTTTGTAATTAATTATATGTACCCACATATGTTCATGCATACATCTGTAAAATATAATGTTGTAGAAATGTTAGTACGTGAAAATTCGTGTTTTTAATTTTTATAAAATTTGGTTATCAATAAAGGAACACTATATAAACCAAGAATAGAAACAGTCTTCGGTTCAGAAATGTTTTAAGATACTTTAAGAAACATTAACGAGATGAAATTTACTTACATATATTTCATTACAATTTTTGTAGTGGTTTCATGTGAACCTCAAGCTATAACTGATGATCGTTTGAACTTTATTGATGAATTAGGCAATTATCATTTTGGCTATAATGATGGACAAACCGCTCGTCATGAGATGAGAACAAAAGATGGTATTGTTCGTGGAACATATCTTTTTGTTGATGCAAATGATGAAATTAAACGAGTATCCTATACATCTGATCCTGTAAATGGATACAAAATTGTTGACGAATTACCTAAAGAAGAAAAAAAAGAAAGTGTATCCACTGATGATAAATCTCCAGCAACAGAATCTGAAGCCACCACTGTTTCATCACCGGAATTAGATGATAGAATATCTGACGATATGAACTTACCAAAACCTGTTATGGATACACCAGAGGTTTTGGCTGCCAAGCAAGCACATTTGGAAGCATTCAGGCAAGCTTCTCTTAGAACACAATTTTTATAATTCCAATATTTATATACGCATCCAATTTGATAACTGGGATAACAAGAGTTTTGTTCCGATTGGAAATTGTATTGTAACCGTTATTATTCAGTTTACTAGTATCCAAGTGTTTAATAGTTTAGATTGTTATTTATTTTGTTGTTTAAATTTAATTACATATGTACATACGTATGTAAGTATGTAAAATATGAAATTGTGTCAACTTTGTAAGGAGTTTTGTAGAATAAAAAAATATAAGAAAAAAAAATAAATATATAATTAAGGTAAAGGACTTGTTTTTTTCATTTAATTTTTAAAATTTACCAAATATGGTACATGTTGTAGGTAAAGAATAATAAATCTTTATGAGCTTGAAGATAGCTTCCTAAAGAGAAGTAATGAGAGATGATTTGGCTGTGTTTTCTATCGACGAGCAATTTCCTTCTTGACTGTAGACGTATAGAACGTTTTAACATATTTCAAAATCAATCTAAGAAAATTTTTATATCTGTGAAAAGTCCTGATATTTTAATATTACAACTTTTCTGTATGGTGATTTTTAAACTTTCCCGCTATTTGGAACACCAAAGGTTTGATGATTTGCAGGCCATTTCAACTATTAATCAAAATTAGACAAGAATTATTGTTATCGGTTTTTAACGAATTTTCACAGGAATAATGAACTTTTAAATAAATTATCATTTTAAAGCCTTGGCTGTTATTCGTATATATTATTCTTTAACATATGTACATACATACGTACATACATATATTTATATATATGGTTCTTAAAATTAAAGAAAAACAAACACTTATGTATGTATTCATAAAACCGAGTTTATTTTTCCGTACTAAAATTCAATGAATATCTTAAAAATGTTTTACATTAAAATATATTGGTTTTAAATTAGTGTAACCGTATGACCAACCATAATTAGGATTAGCTGCACCATATGGATATGCTGCAAATGTTACTGGGTTTACATTAGCGAACGATTTCAACTGGATTGCAGGCAAAAGTGGAACAGCTTGTGGTGAAAAGGATTCTAATTTTAAAATCGGTACTGCCAATTGGTTACCTTGTAACAAATTTATATTTTTCAAGTCAGCTTCCTTCTTTTGTAATAATTCATCTTTTTCCATCGATTTTGATAATGTTAACAATAATTTTTCATCAGATTTTTGGTATTGTTGTTGTTCTTCAATTTGTGTGTTACGATTTTTTATTTCTTCTACTGCTTTCAAATGTTCTAAACGGGCAGCGTGAACTTCATTTGTTTCTGTAACTGGAATTGGTAATTCTACTGGTTCTGGTTTGATTTCAACTTCTTGAGCTTTTGGGAAATTGGTACCAGTTGCCCGGAAACCATTTTGAGCATCAGCTATATATGATACTGATTGTAATTTACCGTTAGCATCATAATAAGTGTATCCTCCTTGTGTTATTCCATTTAAGCTTTTTGATTCAACTTTAGCGGATAAACCATCATTGTAACCATAAGCGTATTGACCAAGAAAGTCTTGTGAATGGTATTGAGATTGAATTGGTGTTCCTAAAACATAAGCTGTAGTTCCTAAAATTTCATGTGATGGTCTAGCTACCACAACTGATATTAAAACTGATAATATATATAATTTCATGATGAAAGAGCTTAAAAATATGTATGTATAATATTAAATGAGAAGAATTTTAATTAACCAATTCGGTAAATTAATAATATTAATGTTCTTTCTGAGACTTCCTATTTAGAACTGTTTTTCTTTACAAAAGCAACGTTATTTATATACAAAAACTCATCTTTAGAATAAACAGGATAAGAAGATTACAAATTAATTTTTTTTTTTGCATCGCAAGCAACCTTGAAATATAATTTAAGAATAAGTTTTTTGAAATAAATGCAAAGAAGTGCAATCATACGTTTTGTATAATATTTAATGATTTAGTAGAAATGCGAAATCAAGAAATAAGATCAAGCCAATTAAACCAAATATGTACATATACTGAAATAGGTATGTATGTATGTATGCACATAAAGCTGTGTAGATTTATAAGAACAAACATTGAAATAATTTTATTAACTGAAGGTCATAAAATAATATTGATAGTTTTCACGCTCATTTAAATTGGTTTCCTTAACTGTGCTCTGAACAATTTATTTACGTTAGCATATTTAAATGATTGAAGATTCAAAATAAGACTAAATAATAACAATAACAGTATGATAACAGATAGTGGTAAATTTGTTATACGCAATTTAAGCAATCTAAGTTGTAAAGGATAACAAAAATTTGTTTTAAGCTGTAATGAAAGTAGATTATCAAAACTGGCGCAACTGTGCGTTTCTTTTAAATTGGGTTGAATATTTATTTCAAAAACTTCAGCTCACTCAGGAGCTATGTTTGCTTGCAATCTTATAAATTAAACAAGAAAAGTATATGCTCAAATATTAAGCTAGTTGACAACAAAAAAAAACGTAAAAAGCAGTAGAAACGTTATATAACAAATATACTTATTTATTTATGGAGTACAGATCATGAAAAAATGTTGATAAAACACGGAACTTTACTTATATATATATACATATATATTATAATAAACTGCTAATATGAAAAGAAACTATGTGTCTTCTACATCATTCAACCGGTTTTTTTTTGAAAAAGAGGATCAAAGAATTGAAGCATAATTTAATGTAGGTATGTATATAGATGTTGGTACTTGCATATATATGGATATAACATCAAAATGATCTGATTTGATACCATGTACATACGTACATATACATGTGAATCTTAAAAAGATAAGTGCATATATTTTTCCTTCATTCAAACATTTCTATATTTAAAGTTAATAAAGACCTTGACTTTATTAACCGTTTAAAGTGAAACTGAATTTGAACTTCTTTTGATTTACATTGTAAAAGCATCATGCAGGATATTATAAAGTTATTGTTCTTATACAAACAAACATAATTTAATATAATTAATACCTAAACATATTTGGTATTGAAAATAATTAAAGATACTTTAGAAAATATTTTTTTGAGTAATTTTCAAACGGAGAAGAGAAACAAATATTAAACGGAAAAAGGCACGTTCTTTTTAGCACATACTGCCTAAATTTACGGATATCACGTGGGTTTTCTATTTTTTGTACATGAAATATATTGAGATTGGCTTTTCTTGAAGGTCGGTTCGGAATCGAGGTCTTTTGAATTTAAATGAGGTGTTGGCAGTTGGAGTAAATTTTTATCATAGCAGACAAAGGGAAAATCCAAACAAATTTTAATAGTCATAATATGTAAGTATGTATGTATATAAAAAAATTTAGATATGAGGAAATTAATTTTATTATTTTAGATGTAGGGTAGTAGTTATGTAACCAAACAAAACTATTTAAAAACTTGTGATGCAATTAAATTTAATTGGATAACCAATTCAATCGGCATCTTTTTCGAATGAATTTATGTTATAATAAAAGGACTTAGGTATAAGGGCAGACTTAGGTATAACAACAAAATAACAAGCACAATTAAACTAAAATCTGCTAAAATCAAAAATTAACACAAGAAAACCAATTGAAATAAATTGCTTATTAAAAAAAAGACTAAAAATAAGATTTAGAAGTGATAAATAATTTTGCTATTAATTTGAATTTGGTCTGATATTAATAATAATCTTTTTATCCTAGCTTAAATACTGCATCATGATAATTATAATGATTATGCCTACTGTGACAAAAATACTGCACAATAAGCATTTCCCCATATTTGACGGTACGGTTGATTTTTTCAAATACGAAGACTTCTGTGTAAGGATATGTTTAGTATTTTCTATGCTAAATTTATATTTTTAGATTCTAGCATTTTTATGTAGGTATATTTATAATTTGAGCAGGCACAATTTAAATTATACTATCAAGTTGCATTCAAAACTATGTATGCAGGTATTGCATATGCTTCCATATTCTGTAGGTCTACTGCAATACTAAATATTAGCTAATTTAACTTTATATATGTACATGTATGTATATAAATACTTAGTTTTGTTGATTGAGTCCATTTGTAATTTTGTTTTTATTAATCGTAGATTAATGTCAACATCTATTCGTGGGCCATTTGTGTTATAAGAATTTTAGAAGTGTAATTGAAAATTTATGAAGTGAACTTAAAATGAAGATGCAATTGATTGTGCAACATATCGTTAATTTTACATTTATATTGTTAGTTGTGTTAATGTACAATTGTGGTTGAGAATTTAAATCCTAAACCTAAATTTTCAATTGCAATATTAGGTGTGATATATGCCCACCTGTAGAAGAATATCAGTATACATACAACATATTATATTATATTAACGAGATTTTGACAAGCTTGTATATTTTGTACATTTATCAATTTCTGTGCTATACATACTTTGTTTTATTTTTTCCTTCTCCTAAATATATGCATAAAAATATATTTAACAAATTTATCGCATTTGTAAATCTGAAAATGTTCATATACGCGTATGTACACGCATTAAAGATTCTACATTAATTATTTTTTATTTTAAGCTAAAATCGTCTTATCAACAACCTCAAAATAAATTCTATCTCAAAAAATTTGAGTTAATAAATCCAGCACTGCAGCAATAGAATCAATTCACTCATGTTAACTAACTTCTTCGCTTTATTTGCTTTTTTGTATCCTTGGCATCGTATAATGTACATTATGCATGTATCCTAGCAGAATCTATTAGGTAAACATTAGTACAAAAGTTAATCATTGAGCATTTCTTAAATTTTTTTTACTTTTACTTTATTTATTTATACAAAAATCTGTTTTTAGTTTGACTTTTCAATATGCAATTAATACAAATATATGTATGTATGTATATGTAATTATGTACACCAATTTTCGATGTAAGATTAATATTCCGCAATGTTTTTTTAGCAATGTTATATTATTTGTAAATTATGTATATATATATGTATGTATATACAAATAACTACATGCATATGAACACAATTCGGAAATTGGTGTACAAGATCTTTCTCAGATTATACAATTGAATACTAAATCTAGGCAAAGAAAACTCAATAGATTCAGTGTTATGGCAAATAACATTAGACAAAATCTATTAAAGTTAATATATCTTCTTCGGTGAATGAGGTAGGTATCTACATATTGAAAATAATTTTGCGTTCCCTCGTTGTTCATGGTTTTTTTAGCAAATTTGAATTTTTCGGTAATTATTCCGTCGTAATTTTGCAATTTTTTAAGCTAGTTTTTAATTCACTTGTCACCTTTTCCAGATTTTGAACATATTTCATGTCAAAAATTCGTAAAGTTTCTAATTTCGTTAGAACTTTTAATGCACTAAGACCTGATTCTGTTATGTTGTAACATCCGGATACTTGAAGATGCTTTAAAATATCTTTCACATTAATAAGTCCCTCTAATCCATCTTCTTCAAGGTGTTTGCAATTGTGTAAAATGATTTTTTCAACATGATTGCATCCCTTTAAATGGTCAAAACCAATTTTCATTACTGACGAATTAGATGCATCAATTCCAATAATATTAAATTTCACATTTTCTGGAGGCAATGAATTATAATCCTTTATGTACTTGTTTGACATCACGGAAAATGATACTGCACCACCATTTTTCAGCACCCATTCAGCACACAATCGGTTAGGACCTACCAACTTTAAACGATTTTCATCTACTTTATTAAATGCAATTGCAACATAACCCCATAATCCCTTTGTTGAATTTTTATAGTGTTTTATTATTTGGGAAGTATTATTTAAAAGTAACATTCTTATTCTAAGTAAATGCAAGTAAATTTAATAATGAATTTATACCAGCAAAACAAAAATAAAAAACAGCTGTTTTGCGACACGGTGAGATTAAGATTGTAGTAAGATAGTGATGGGCCATGCATTCAAAATATTTACTGAAACGATTTTTGTGACGATGTTATATTACACGTCGTCACAAAAATAGGAATCTATCAGCATAACACAGAATATAGAAACTAAATATGCATTGTAAACTGCAGTTTAAATTTTCAAGATTTTATATGGGCTCCAGGATAAAAGTCTCGACAGAAAAAAACAGTGTTTACCTTTTGTATTGTTTTATGGACTTAAGTTAATTTTTCAAAATACTGACAATTATAGTTATATCGCCTGTCTAGAACTATGCAAAGTCGCAATTTGCAAATTGTTTTTTTCCTTTGGTCACTCCTAGGAGGACCATGGGGCTAGTGACTAGCTTGTCGTAGTTTTTGCTTTGCAAATTGTTCAGGAGAGGAAATTACATGTTTAAATTTAATTTCCATTTATCATTTCTATTTATTATTTCTACACAAATAAAATAATTTTTAAGATGAACTACTTGTAGTGAATAAACAATGTATACATTATCGTGTTTAGTGCACAACTAACATTGGATATTGCTTAAAAAATTTTTTCGAGAAAATTGGACTTAGAACAAATCTACTTTAAACAGGCCATATGTGGGTGAAGACTAACTTAATATTAGAAATTACAAAAGTTACGCAATATTAGAACAAGGCTTTTCTATAAAAGTTTAGATTTTCCCAATTATTACATAAAACTTAAAATTTTTTGAAATGAACCTGTATCACAATTCTAATTCTATTTTATTTTCTATATTATATAGGTCAATACGAAGTTCGGTAAGACCGTAAATTATGATGTTATGATTTTTAACGTTTTATCAAAACAATTATACATAAATATGTAGCTTCATGGGGGATAATTCTCAAACGATTTTATGAGCCCTCCTTTTCACTTATGTATGAAAAAAGCGTTTGCCGACTCTATTGATAGCCAAAATTCCATGTTTCTAAATGGATTAGAATTTATCGTATTTTTCAAATTTTCTTTTTAATTGAAGAAGCTCTTACAAAAATCGCAATTCATACATACATACATAAGTATATACATAACTACAATTTGTATTTTAATCTAAAATATGCAGTTGAGCAATTTATGTAAACATTTTTATTTTCTACATTCAATTGTACCTATGTATATGATTAATCTAATTGTATGCATAATGTCATGTTTACATATGGATTAAATTTACACATCTTTATTGAGATATACATACATACGTAGATAGGTATATATTATTAAGAGATTAGTGAAGCGTTCCAGTGAAGCATCAACATTAACCATGTTATAATGATTCTATGTACAATAGAGTAGGTATGTACCTATACCTACAGGCTGGTGTTTTATATAGGATGTACATACTTGTATATTTTGATATTATTTGTTTGTACACATATTTCTATTATATAATATTACGATTATTATAAGATGCTTTTAAAAAAGTTTTTTATCTACTCTTCTATAAGCTTAATATAATGATTTCATTTTGTGTATACCTTAGCTTTTGATATTGTATATTTATCAACAAAGTTTTTATTCATAAATATTTTTCCAGTTTATTTTCAACAGCGTGAAAGTAAAGAAGAAATTTTATTCATCTTAAATCTAATTTTTGTATTTTTTTTGTTTTAAAGTAAATACTTGTTTTTTCAATTTTATAATAATATTATTTAATAAAAAGACCACCATAAATATATAAAATAGAATTTAAATAGGATATTTAATATAATTTGAAACAATAAAGTATCAAGGTAAATATAAAGAAAATTTTAAAACGAATATATTAAGTTTGTATGTAAGTATTTGATAGCATTCTTCAATTAAATATTAAACAAAAATGGTCATGAGGTCATTTAAAAAATGAAAAAATAAATTTTATTTTTCGAATACTTTTAATCAATTGATACGAGTATGATAAGTAGGTACAAATAGAAAACAGATATAATAAATATTCTGTGTGAATATATGTGTACAAATATATAAAATATTTATGTAGTTATAAAAATTATGTACTCGCCTCATATACTTATGTATATCGTTTACATATTTCAATTATTAATAGACTCAAAAGTTTTTTTTTTGAAAAATTTAAAATATATTGGGACAATACTAAAATGTCAATAATAAAGTATTTGCTATTTTATTTGCTTTTAACATAAAGGCTTGTTGCACCCACCTTCTCGTTATTATGGTTGAGAAAAATTCCATATAGCCCTTATATGCATGCAACATGTATGTACTTACATAAATACATAATCTATACTTTATTTTAATATTGAATAAATATTTTTGTATATAATATGTGCTTCTTTTACATTAATTATTTACAAAATTAGTGTTAATAGAAACAAAAATTTGAAAATTAAATATTGGAAATTTACATAAATTATTTATAATTTCAAAATTTCTTATAATTTCAAAATTAAATAGTAATAAAAGCATCGTGTTAGATCTACAATGTGTCAGTATAAGTATGTGCTCTGTTAGTACTTCTATACAATACAAATTTTAAAAAATTTCAAAAATTTTTGATGCAACACCATCTTAAATAATATTGTTATTTTCTTATAAAAGAATTGAGCTTTTACTAATCTTAAAACTCTGAAAATAGAAATAAATTCTAAACAGTTTGAATCGCTCGCCTGAAACATTTTTAGAGGGTGACTTAAGCAAGTTATATTCTAAGGTGGCGTTATGCAATACAGTATTGTAATAGTAATAGGTTGATGTAAATGCGCGTTTAGTTAAAAAAAAACTCTTCAAGTTCACAAATCAACAATTTTCGTAAAAAAAAAATTCTGTGATTTTAAAATGCAAGCTCAAAAGATTTTTAGAAGAAAAGAGGAAAATTTTTTACTTTTTAATAACAGTGGAATAAATTTACCAATAATAATATTATAATAGTTCATTAAGCTGGTTTAAATTTAAATCAGGTTATTAAGATTTGAAAAATTTAGTTTTGCCTTTCAAGGTTCTTGGCATATTTATGTTTTAAAAATCTTGCAAAACGGTAACTTTTCATTTTATTTTAAAAAATTTTTTATTTTATTTTGTTGATCAGACAAATATATATATATTGGTACTCGTATATGTATTGATATATATATGTATATATAAATAAATACACCAAAAAATTATATATACACATTTGATTTGTTTTGTATTAAGAAAATCCTAAAATTTTTCTTACTTCCTGACGAAAATTGGGCTAATAATATAATTAATGAGCTTTATTATTTCTCTAATGAAATTATACATACGAGTATGTACACTTCATTATGCATATAGAATTTTCTTTTTCTCTTTTGATGTGATGTCACTTTTCCCCATTTATTCTTTAAAAAAAAAATTGAACAATATCGACGAACACATTAAATAATAAAAAAAAAATAATTGTTCTATTGTATAATTTTTTTACATAACAGTCATAATAGTTACAGTATAATAATTGAAAATAAAATTGTATGATTGTATTAAATGGAAAAGCACATATGTACGTATAAAATTGTATTGTCTAACTTTGAAATATACCCTAAAGTTTTTTGTTAGACTTTTGAAATTTATGGAGATGTAAATCTTATGATAGTATATGAATGGTTTATTTTGAAAGTGATCTGAGTTCATTAAAAAAAATAAATTGAAATATTGAACAGTTTGGTTTAAAATTAACGAAATTGAGTTAACTGGTAATTTGCTTAATATTACGTACATTTATTTTCCTATCAAAATACAACTAGATGTGAGTTTCTATTCAAACTATTGGCATTACCATTGCATTGGAAATAAAATAAGTTTGAAATTGCATATGGGCTTAGGCCACTTTCAAAATAAGCCATTTATACATAAGTGCAAATGGTTAAGTATATTAGATTAAGAAATTATTGACATTTTTGTGTTGTATGGGTATTTTGTGTCTTCTGAAATATTATTTTTATATAAGTTGATTATAAATATAAATAGTACATAAAATTTTATTGTAATTTTAAATAAATACAAACATGTTTTCGTATCGCTTAAAACAATATTAGAATTCTATTAAAAAAAATTTCTAAATTCTCAAAATCTCAATATTTGCAAATAACATCCCATCATATCGTACAATAAACCTCATAGTATCCCGTCAACCATCGTAATACGTCTAACAGAAAACACAAAATATTTTTGTTGTTCAAACACCTATAAAACATTTTGCAAAAAAAAAAAAAATACAAAAATATACTGCAAAATTTTAATAAGCGCAAAAATTTTCATTACCTTTAACAAACATTATTCTTATAATTTAAATTTACATATAATATACATACATACATACGTAAGTTACAAATAAACAAATTAATTTAATAAATGTAAGAGATTTTTTAAGGTGTTCCATATACTAACTACATTCTATGTAAAATATTTTATATATTAATTATTGTCATGATATTATAGTAAATGTAGAAAAGAATGCCAGTCACGCAATGAAATTTATTAAAAAAAAAAAATAATTATAATTTTTAACCATTTACCCATAAACCTACAAAAACATATGTCAGCTGACGTAATACTTTAAATTTGTAATAAGTACATATATATATGTATATATATATTAAATGTTTAATTTTGTAATTAATTAAAATTAACGAAAAAAAAAATTTAACTACTTCTTCATTTTGAAATGCTTGCATATATTACCGTTATCATTTTGAGTTTATCTGAAGAACATGGTGTAATTTATGTATAATGCAAATCTGAATACCTCTATACATATGTATACATATTTCGATATTATAAGATCTACATCTATTTTTGAAGAGAATGACTTTAATGTAATTAAAATTATAGCAGCTTAAGAGTAGTTTTCTCACATCAAAAAGTAAAATCGATGTTATAACGTAAATTCTAAAAATAATTGGTGTAGTTAATTAATTATTTATTTAATCTAGTAATTTTAGTATATGATCTGGTATTATTAATGTAAAAGTAAAGCAGTAACAGTATACGAAATCGTAATTTAATAAGAAACCTATTTTTTTTTTATAAAGTTTAAAAATTTGTATACTCGTAACATTACTATGCATACCATATTAGAAAATAATATACAAAATAAACCGTATACAAAAATTTAAAATCATTTTAAGTAAAAAATTGTTTAGTTTTTAATTACTATTTTTTTTATTAATATGGCTTTGTTTTTAAACGCTTTGAACAGTTTATTTTTTCTTTTCGTTTTTTGAAATCACACAAATTCTTTGCTTACATGTTGCGTCATCGCCTTTTTTGGAAAATAAAGCTTTTCATACCAATTTTGCGCGATAAAATTCGCTCTCAAAATAAAAATGAAAAAAATTTTATTTTTTTTTTGTATTAAATATGCAGAAAGACTTGTACAATATTTTATTTTGCTTTGCAAATATCTTTGTAGCAAGCACTACAGAGCTTTTAAAATTTTATTGTTGATATTGGTTATTAACGCGTATAGAAACAAAATTATGATTTTTAACTTTAAGGGACACCACACATACATATGTATAACAATTGAATCTAATCTTAAAATACGAATAAGAGACTAAATATATTTTATTATAGAAATTTATAAAATAAATTCATCTTATAATATTTAAAACAAATAAACAATAATTTTTTGAGCTTCCCAATTATGAACTGAATAATACTCGTATGTACGTTAATCTTCAGTTACTAGAAATTACTTATGATTTTTCTGCCCGTTCTCAATATGTAATTGTAATTTCATACTATGCAATATCAAATAAGAAATTAATAAAAAAAGTGTTTAATTTAATAAAAAAAAAAAACAATGAGCTAATTTAAATTTTGTAACAAAAATATTCAAAACCTGGATTTAAATTGGAATTTGAAAAAGGATTTAGAGAAAGGTTTTTGTAGTACAAACAAAAGGTATCTAGAATAATTTGATTAAATTTTTTAAAAAAATTATGCCTGAGCTTCAAATTGTTCATTATCAACAATAAAATTCTCTTTATATCAAACGATAACCAAAATTTAGTCCAACGATTACCTAAATTTTGTTCGAAACACTTTAAAATATTATTGAAACTTATGCTTTGCCACCTGTGTAACATAATTTATTCACTTTATGAATAAGTTTTGATTTTTATATCTTAAACAGGTTTTACCTGCTTTTAATCAACTTAAGAAATCATTTTTTAAAAAAGTTTCTAACTGTTTTTGTTAAACTAAATTTTTATTAACAATTTTAACAATTTAATTTGTAAATTTCTTTAAGTTTTGTTATCATTCAGTCAAGTAATCTAAAGTGTTTAAACAATTTTGTTAAATAATAAAATTGATTTTGTTTGTAAGTAAAATTAAATAAAAAATTTGATAAACTTATCACCTAAAATTCAAATTAGAAAAAATGTGCTTATTAGTTTCCGTCAATAAATCAATTCGTTTTTCCTTCCGTGAGTTCGTCTTCTTTCAGCAAAGTGAAGATCCTTTATAAATTCTACATGAAAATAGATCTTTGCAAGAAACTTGTTGCTCCATAGAAAAAAAATTTTTATGTATACATCCAAAAAGTATGCAATCATTTTTATTGCCTTAAATCATTTAATCCGACTTTAATAATAAATTGGGGTGATTAACCATTAAAATATTAAAATATGATTACATTTTAACAATGTGTAGGTTTCATTCGGATTTGTTCTTTATAATTTTTTAGCAAAAAATTTAAAAATGTTATTGTATTCATAATAATTCAAATATTATTTTATTCTGCATACTATTTATTTTGAATTATATCCCAAAAATTTAATAAATCTTAGAAGGATGTACATTAGGCTGGGTTAAAATCACATTTTTTTTAGTTTTAGTTCAATAGCGTGTCACACATCCATATGTACATAGCTAAATAAATTGAATAGCTTTTTGAAATATTTTAATATACATACATACATACATTATTATAAATAATGAAAATTTTATTTTTTTAATTTTATTTCATTGGTGAATAAAACATTTATATGTTAATTTTTTAGCTAAAACAAAAAATGTCTGACAGTACCAAAAATGGGGATGAACCATTGGTTAATGAAGTTGCTGGAATAGATATAAATGATAAAACTGAAAAGTGTTCTACCGATCAAGCATCAAGTGGCAATTTTCGTGAAAGTTTTAAGGCATTTTCCAAATTTGGTGATCCAAAATCGGATGGACGTCATATAACATTATCTCAAAGTGATAAATGGATGAAACAAGCTAAAGTTATTGATAAAAAAATTACAACAACTGATACAGGCATTCACTTTAAAAAATTGAAACAAATGAAATTATCCTATGACGATTATAACAAATTTTTGGAAGATTTGGCCAATACTAAAAAAACTAATTTGGCTGAAATTCGAAATAAAATGGCAAATTGTGGAGCTCCTGGTATTTTGCAAGTTTCTGTATGTATTTGTTTTTCTGTATTGTGCATGCTTTATTTAACTGCATTAAATATTTTTTTCCTTGATTTTCAATTAAATTTATAGTCTGGAAGTAAAGCTGCCGCTACGGTTTCTAGGTTAACAGACACTTCACGATATACCGGTTCTCATAAAGAACGTTTTGATGATTCTGGAAAAGGCAAAGGTATAGCAGGAAGAAAAGACGTAGTTGATGATTCCGGTTATGTGGCTGGTTATCAACATAAAGATACTTATGATAAATCACATTAATTGTTAAAAAAAAAAGAAATTTGTAATCATTTACACGAGTCATAGTTTGTAAAATCCATTTTCAGTACCTTCTTAAGATAAAATAAAATTATTAATGTAATAAATGTGTAATTATATAACGTGAATACACATTTATATGTACACATATTTTACTGCTACTAATTATTTGTGGTATTTATATAGTAATAATTATATTATGTATTTATTTTGTTGTCATTTATTGCGTTAATTATAAAATCTGTTATTATCACATATTTGTATTGTTGTCTGAGGTATTGGCATACATAAGATTTTATAACGATTAACGAACAGAACAATTCAGTATCCAAAAAGAGCTTTCAGTATCATGAAAGCTCTTAAATATTTTAGAGCACTTAAATGTTTTAACACAGAAAAAGTATTTAACATATTTTTTATATCATTTCGCATCACTATTAAGAGAATCTTAATAGTGATGCGAATATCCTTTCTCTAACCGAAAACTTTTTCTCTCAATACTTTCAAAAAATTAAATTCAAAAGTTTTGCAGTAAATTTACATATGATTTTATGATATGGGTATTTATTTTGAGTTTTTTTATATTTAGAATAATAAATTGGTATAAATTACAGTTTATAAAGTTGTTGTCTAGATAAAGTTATCTTAATTTTTATTTAGCACACTCTAAAATTTTGGCATATCCAGTTGGAATATTCCACAATATTGGTATAACCTCTTGGGTCCAGACTATTGCAACCATTTTTACTTCTAAATGATAAAATTCCTATCAATTTTCTGGAAGAGTTTATCTGTGCAGCTAATCCATGACCGGAATCACCTCTGCACCCTCCTTTCGCGACATTAGAGCCAGATGTTGTACACAAATTGAATTTTGTTACATTTGGATAAAATTTTTTACAAGAATCGATAGACATTAGATAAACATCAACATATTGAAGAAAATCGCTTAAAGTTGTACCTTGAAAAATATATGTATGTACATGCAGTTATCTGATATCCAAAGTTTTTCAAAAAATAAACTTGAAACAACATATTAAAATATAAGCATAAAGTTTATTAGCACTATATACTAAATATTATTTAATTTCTATTGCTTTTATACTTACTAGAATCAGAAGTAAATCCCCAACCACATAAAGTAGCGGCTCCACTCTCTAACGAATAATTATAGGAATCGTACTTTGAAAATAATTGTATTGGCTGAATTATTTCTATGAAAATAAATATTCAACCAATTTTAAACACAATAATTTATTAATAATTTAAGAGACGATAATCAACATATCAAAATATAATTAGTTTTATAATTATTGTACTATTTAGTATTTATTATGGCAAACAGAATTTAAAAAAGGTATTCTTACGTGTTGTAAAGGATAAGGTTGTCCTGAGAACTATTCCCGCAATGTCATTAGCAAGTGTGATTGGGCTAAATTCGTTATGAATAATGAAATCGTCATGGCTAGCGTTCATATTCACAGCACCAGAAGGAGGTGAAGATAGTCGAATGTAACCAAAATAAAGCTTAGCTTTGTTTTTCCTAAAACGAAATTTTTAAAATGAAGTAAGTTGTTTAGATTATATGCAAATTCTAACAATTGGTAAATAAAGAGTTAAAGAAGTCAACATTAAATTTGGGGAAATTAATATACATATGTATGTACATCGAAATAATTTCGAAATCAATTTAAATGTTCATGTTTGATATTTATGTATGTGTAAGGCACGTGAATCTTTATAGCATGAAAGTTGTCCCCGTAAGTCGATACATGTTTGTCTATGATGGGGCAATAATTATTTGTTCTGAAAGAGCGAACATTACCTCAAAATATTTAATTTTATATAAACAATGAAATTTAATATTTCTTAAGGTATTGACAATTTCAAAACCTAATTCTTCTTTTATTTAAGTTCATAAATTCAACAGCCCAGATTAACAAGACTGATTTTTTTTTATCTAAATTTTTAAAGTTACACCAAAATTATTTCTTACTCATATAAACAATGCGCGGCCGTTATTACACATTTGCCTGAATAAAATAAAAGAAAGTTTTGATTAAACTATATTAATAGATTCTCAAAAAACAAAGAATCTCACTTGATATTATTGAGCCTCCACACCATTCTCCATCATCAATATAAATTCCAACGACAAAATTTGTTAATTCGTAACTATCAACATTATCACCTCCAATAATTTTGCTCTGGATCGCGTAATGTTGGCTTTCATTTTTTCCAATGTTGAATTCATCATCATAATTTTGTGCATTTATTTTGGATTTTATTGTTAACACAAGAATGATGAAAAAATTCACTTTATAATTCATTTCAATATAAATTCAAACTTTTACTTTTATTAATAATCACTTTATACACTCCAGTTAAAATTCACGTTCAAAATGTGAAATTTATCATGAATTTAAACAATTTGAACTAGACCAAGACGGTATTTAGACAATAAGAAGAATGTTCTTTCTTGTTTTTTTTAATTAATTGTATGTGTACTTAATATTAAATTCACTAAAATTTATCAATTGTAAATAAATTATTAATTTAATTTTTTTAAACAGTGAAATGTTAAATGTTTACTTATAATTAAATTATATTATACTTATTATTTTCAAATTTATTTTGTTTCAGTAAACTTCAATATTTAACTTCTTTATTTTTAAAATATCGTAGAACATGATAACATAGGCTATTCATATATTACGTAAGTTTTTAGTGTTTAGTATATTAAAATAGACAACAGGATTATAGGAATAGAGTTTAATGGAAGAAAAATTACTTGACTCAATTCGTGAACAGCTTCACATTGGAAATGTGATGAATGTAAAACGGCTGTTGAATATTTGCCTTATATGGATTCATCCTGAAGGTTAAGGATTTTTTATAATTGCGTTCTTACTTAACTCTTAATATGAAACACGGTCTATTTATACAAAATTACAACTGTACTGAAAATACTAAAGAACGTTTTTATGAAATTCTATAGCTCATTTTTAAATTTATGAAAAGATCATGTGAAAAAATGTCGTGCATTCAAGACATTACAGATACGAGTATACCAAAGTAAACTACATATGTATTTAGTTTTTCCATATCTCTAATTAAGGAAAAATGGTTTTTGAAATTTAAGAGCATCAAAATAAACTCAAAGAACTGTAAGAGTTATCAAAAATCAACCCTTTCTGCTAGGTATTCCTATATGTATAAAAACAAAGGTAGATATTCCGGATTATTCCGGATTTTCAACATGCTTTTTATATGTAATGAAATAAATTGATATTGAGTTATACCTCTTTTGACACAAAGAGCGATTGTTAGTTGAGAAGTATTCTCGCAATGAACTTCCTTGATAAATATAACGAAGATAGTCATCCCACTTGGTAATTACATTCTATGAACTTCTCTTTTTCCTCATACAGTAAAAAAATGTCAAGGCACAGAATGGGGCTTAAAAATTTGTTCAAAAAGGGTTTTTGAAAAAGGGGGGAAAATTATCGCAAATTCCTCTCCAAACAAGCAAAGATCCATTATCAGATATATATATGACTAAAATATTTAAATAACGTATTTTCTGAAATTTAAATTTTTATTCATTTTTCATATATTCTGCTCACATGACACACCAAAATATACAAGTTAAAATTTCTAGTTTTTTTTTAATATTTTTATTGTACTAAAACGTACTTTTAAAACTTATTAGAGAAATAAAAAAAAAATATTAATCCATGTTACAAAATGTTGTTAGAAAATGTTGTGTTCTTAATTTTCTTAATATTCTTTTGTTTAAGAGCATCATAATACGAATTACAATTGCTTACTTAATATATACACTTGATTTTTAAATACCACATTAAGCCATTCATTTCATTAAACTTAAAATATTTAATTTATATTATTTAACTACATTGTTTTTGGAAATTTACATTATAATATTTATACATTGTAACGTTAATTTCTTACAGTTTAGCCAAAGGCTAGATGTCACATTTACATACTAGCTGATTATTATAAAATCTCTGTCATATTATTTTATGTTTTAAGTTAAATAAATATACTAAATATGAAACAGAAATAAAAATTCTTACACATGCAGCCGCAATTACCATCCTTGGTGGTCCTACGTTCTGTAAATCAATTAGTTACTAATATAAATGGTTAGATTCTTTAACGAATTTGCCCTAAAAGCAAATCTCCTTCATCTCTCTCCGCATTTAATTTGGCAAAACGTCTTTCAATATGTCTTTTGCTCCATTCCCCAAAGAATCTGGAAATTTGATGTCAAAAGCAACAAGAAGATCCCCCTTCCTTGAGGGCTCTTTTGGGAAAGGTAATCCTTTTGCCGAAATCCTTTTGACTGTGTTAGGTTTGATAATCTCTCCACTAGTATTTATCGACAGAGCCTCCCCTGATAATGTTGGAACTTTTATCATAGTACCACAGAGTGCCTGTTTCAAGGAGACTTTTGCAGAATATTTCAAATCACTGCCCTCTCTTTTAAAAAGTGCATGAGGCTTGTCGCGAATTATAAAAATAATATCAGCTGGAATTTTTCCAGGCATTTGATCTCCTTCACGCTGAAATGTAATTTTTGTTCCAGCTTTCCATCCTGGCTTAACATTTATATTTAAAACTTTTTCTTCTTTTCGAGATTGACCATCTTGTCCAACAGCCATTCTGGATATTTTCATTTTTTTAACACAACCCTTATCAACTTCTTCTAAGCTAACATAAAGATCGTGTTCTATTGGAGGATCTTGAACTTGTCGTTTTCTGTTTGGAGATTGATTCACATTAAATGATTGTGATCTAAATGCTCCTCCAGGACCTCCCATTCTTTGACCACTCATTTGCGCAAATATGTCATGATCATCTTCCATAAAAATGTTTGACCCATCAAACATGCGATTTCCATCTCCACCGAAAAATATTCCGAACGGATCTGAACTACCGAAAAATTGAGCAAATGTTGCTCTGGGATCACCATGGAACTGATATGTGAAGTTTCCACCTGCGTCATTAGGACCACCGGGACCATTTGGCATTCCACCCTTTAAACCTTCTTCACCATATTTATCAAATATGTCTCGTTTCTTTTTATCGGAAAGCACTTCGTAAGCCTCTGCAATCTCTTTAAATCGTTCTTCAGCTTCTGGAGTTTTGTTTTTATCTGGATGATATTTTAATGCTAACTTTCTGTATGCTTTTTTAATATCATCATCGGTAGAGTTTTTGTTAATGCCTAATATTTTATAGAAGTCTTTACCCATTTTTCTTTTTGTGATCTGAAATAAATTAAAAAAGTCTATTTAGGAACATAATCTTATGACCATATATGTATGTAAATACATAATACGTTAATTTAATTATATGCGGTTGTATATGCACACATATGTATGTATGAATATATGTAAAATTTTATTTATGGCGATCGTAATTGGAAAAATGTTAGTATGATGACATCATAAAAATGATTTTTCTTAGTGAAAATTAGTAAATTTATTAATAAAATTAATGGAAAATATAAATTTTGTCATCCGCAACTCTTGTAAATTAGTAAAAGTACTGATTTATAAATAAATGTATGTACATATGTAAATATGAATGCAGGCCCATACGTAATTCCTTTTAAACTTACTTGATTTTAACTTGTAACTTTCTATTTATTTAAATATGTAACTAGCTCTTTTATTTTTATAATTTCTAATTAAATATTTATTACTGATTATTTTCCGATTTTTTTTTAACTTTATTATGTATTATTTAAATAAAAATTAAAATACTCTCTTTCACACTTTTCAACTAATTGCCTTTTATTTTTATTATGAGAAAAATGTTCTTTTCAGATAATGCTTTTATATAGAATAAAGTTTTCCAGATTATTCGAGCACTTTCGAGTGAAAAAATTGGGAGTCACCTTATTCATGCGTTAACTAATTTGACAGTACAATGTTAATTTCTGCCACTTAAAGCTATTGGGAGTGTTGCCAAGTATTGTGTTTATTCAAAAGATATTATTTAAGAAGTTTTTAAATGATTTTATCTTCAATACGAAAAGAATGGAATACGAATACATTGTCAATTAAATTAATAGAGTTAAATTGTAATTATACAAAAAAAGGTAAAAAATTTGCAAGACAGAAAAAAAAATATTTTTTTTCAATTCTGTACTGCTTTAATATCTAAGTTCTTATATTGAAGAACCTGATAGGAATTTACAGCAAAATCCAAAAAATTGTTAATGCATCGATTAATCGATATCGGGAACTTTTGGAAAGTATATCAATACAATAATAAACGCTTATCTATTTATTTGTACTTTTAGAATGCATGTGCATACAAACTATATTAGAGAATACTTACTTTCATTTTATAGAGTATACCATATATATTCAAATTTTGAACTGAACATATTTAGCTTTTTTTTAATAGTGCAACTCTTTGAAATGGTTTTCGGTTTCTTTAGAATATTCAGAAATTTCCATATGATTAACTTGTTCTTCTATATTGTTGTGTTGAAGAGTTTTTTCAGAAACGTGGTTTTAATCTTTTGATGTAAATTAAAAATAATAATAGCATATTTTAAAAAAAAAGTAAATCTTTAAAAATTAAATTTATAAAATTTTATACAAAAACTGCTTTTTTGTTTCATTTTTGAAATGAATTCACGTGCAATGGTAACCGTCGGAATTATGCAGTTCTTGTGATTTTTTTATGCTACTTTGTTGGTTTTTAATTTACTACCACTAGTTTTTAATAATCGATTATTTACCAGTAAACAACTGTGTCGATTTACGTGTTGTCATTTTGACAGCTGATTTATATTTCTAGTTTGTAGAAATGGCTGGACTTGAAAAACAACATATTGGGAAATCCGGTGAGTTTTATCGAATTTAAGTTTGATATATTTTTTTAAAAATACCTCACGTTTAAATATTTTTCGTCGCCCAAACATATTTTTTTTATAAAACTAAACGAAATTTTGTGGGATTAATATAATCTGAATTTATTTTTGTTGACCTAATTGAAAGAAGGTAATGCACGCAGTGTAAATTAAAACAAAACAAAAACATCAACAAGAATTGATAAATATAAAAGTTTTTCGAATAACAATATTCAAGTTAATTTAGTGCCTTTAAATTGCATTGATAGTTTGCAATTCATTTGTAGGAATATACAAAACCTCAGTTTATAAGAATGGGTCTTTAATTTTTATAACATTAATTATGGAAATAAATTAAGTTTCTGGATAGCAGCCAATGAATTCTTTTATATTCGAAGTGCGGTCATGTATAAGTATACGTTTGATGTACTATATGTTTATCATGCATATTTATTTTTGTTCGCCTTACTAAAAATAGAATTTATTTGTCATTTTAGTACAACATAAAACATAAAAATAAAATTGGTCATGTAGATATAAAGAAGTTTCAGAGGTACACTACACAAAATTTTGTTTAGCTTAAATATAATTTTTTTTGCAGTATTTATTTACTTTATTTAATTTTCAAATAAAGTTTCTGTGAAGACCGGTTTTTTAGTATCCAAGCATGTTGTTTCATTGTAGAAATGGAGTGATCCCAATTAAAAAACTTGTTAATCTTTTCTACTGACATCACACTTTAAATAAGCAGTATCCACAAATTTTCAAAACAAACCAGTCAAAAATTTTGTTTTAAAATTTTTGTTTTTGTCCATCTTGTACCCGCTGCAATCCAAATTATAAATTGACATAATAAATGTAGACGGATTGACAAATTTTTCGTAATGTAAATGTAATGTAACCTAAATGTAACTTATGGTTGACTTATTAATGGTTGAGTATTAACTTAACATGATTTAAGTTAATATTTTTTTCATCCTTTAAGAAAAGTTTGTATACTTCAATACAATTTCAATTCTATTTTTACTGACTAATATTACACAAAATAATTTTTCTAAAAACATTTTTTTTGGTAAAGACTATTTTAATAATTTAATAAATCAAGACTTAATTTAAAAATTAAATAGATTACAGTTCATGACCAACTTATTTTAACGGGTACCTACCCATCAAATTTAAAAAAAATCGCTTTTATTTTTAATGAACAGTACAAAATTTTAGTTAAAGTCCTAACGAAATTTAATTCTAACGGAAACGCACATAATATGTAGGTTAGAAATTTATTAGAATTTGCAAAGTATATGTATAATTATTTTGGAATATATGTAAGTAAAATACATACATGAATTGAAAATTTTATTCAAAATCTATTTTTTGGACCTTTTAGAATAGGCATTTGAACCTATACAAATTTTTACTTACTTCAGTAATTCCGTTATTTTACGCCATAGACATATTGTAAATCCGGTTGTGATTATAACGAATATTGTTTGATCCTGACTTCATCAACATAATGAGTACATTTATACTACATACTTCAATTCAGTAACTTTGTTTTAAATTTTAGGTATAAGAAATACTCTAGTTTACGTAGCTATACTTTTAAATAAGATTCCAGTTATGATAATCAACTCTTCAACAAATTTATTATGATTGCAATTTTTGTTTAGTTTAAATTTTTTAATTTTTGTGTGTTCTAATTTCGTCATAAAGAATATTGTCATAAATGTATTCATACTTACATATGTAGAGCTACATATTTTACGAATTTAAACAAAATCATAATAATATAAGCCAACAAAACAACAAAAAAAGCTTAAAAATGTGTAAAGAGTATAAATTAATGACAACTTTTTTTTTTATTTAAATACTATATAATTTTAAATGTCTTTAATTTGCTTGCCATCGACTTTCATCACAGCGGAATCAAAAGCAAAATTATAACTACATTCATTCTACTTAAAAAAAAATCGAAAAATTTTTTCTCTCAGTTTCTAAAATTAAATCAATGAAAATTTAAGAATTCAGAACTTACATGCTTAAAAAATTGTACGATTTTCTACATCCTACTATAATAGAGGAGAGGAAAAAATTGCAATGTGACGATATTTGTGTATTTAGTTCATTTAGTTAGGATACTCGTGTTGAATAAAGCGCATTTAATCGAAAAAATTTCTGACGGTTTCTTGGTAATATACGCGAATCGTACACTTTTTTATTTTTTTTGTATTTATATAATCTTTTGATATTTATTTTTTATTTTTATTTAAAAAAAAGCGTATATATAGGCGTTCTTAAACTTAAAAAGTATATTAAAAAAGAAATCGAAGAAAGTTTAGGAAATAAACTTCCGCAAAAGGTATTTTTAGAATTATTTTTTGGCTAAACTGTTTGAAATCTTATTCTCGATTATCATTTTTAAGAAAAAAAATTAAAAAATATTATTTTAGTTGTCATTTAAACACACGTTTATTTATGAGGCACATACTTATATATACATATGTACATTCATATGTATACCTATATATATTTAAGCATTCCTTAAAATCAGAGTCCAATTTATTTTGTTGGCTTATTTTGTTTTCTTTTTTTTTCTTTAATTAATTTCATTTAATTTCATTTTTTCGATCCGATATAAAGATGACTAATAATTATTATGTATGTAAGTGTTCTATGGTGCAATATTTTAGCTACTTTCAGAAAATTTCTTCAGCTCATAGTGCAAAGAGTTTGTTATAATTTTTATAAATTTAAATTTACTATTTGGATTTTTTTTTTATCCCTTCTTTTTCAAAATTCACTATATTTCTACTCATTTGCTTTTATTTTAAATTGATCAATGTTATTTCCTATTTACTATGTGTATAAACGGTTTTAAGTGAAATTTAAGTAAATTTTGAGTAAATGAATACTAAAGGACTGATTTTAAAATTTTTTAATTTTTAATTCGTATATCAACAAGTGTTTGGATGAAAATATACTTAAATACACTACAAATTACATATATAAAGTCCTTGTGTGAAAGTGTTAAGAGAACAAAGCAATAGATGTTGTGTGGGAAACTATGTTGTGTGGGTTAAGAGAACTGAGATGTTACAGGAACTAGGTCCTTATTTACAATAAGGACCTAGTGTTGATATTTTCTATTTGGCTTATATATTTTGAAAAAATTGAGCCCAAAGAACTATATCTTAAGAATTAGACTGTAAGTTGAATATTTTATAGGCAATAGTAACTATTTATAATTAAAAGATTTTTCTAAACTGATATTAAGTGTTTCATTTATCTTAGGCTACACAACTTTCGAAATTGAAATACGTTTAGATAAAAAAAATATACTACATAATACAATTAGATTTGTGTATGGATGGATATGTGAGCATGATTCGGGAAATATCAATTTTTCTTTTACAAATAATTTTTCTCTTAATGCCAAGATTCTTTTAATTTATAATTTGATAAAATATGTATTTATGTAGATTTGTTTTAAGAATACGAAAATTTGTCTTATAATTTCTTTCAAGAAAGTTCCGATTTTAAAAAAACATTTTGATTTTTAATCCAAATTTGCATAGTTATTTTTTACTCATATTGAAATGATGGCACTATTTACTGCACTTATATTCTGAAATTAATTAATAAAATTAATAACACTATTAATTCTAATAAATATATGAGGAAAAAATTTTTTTCTCCACAATTTTATTATAATATTTTGTTGTTATCAAAGAGTCCTATTCACGCGCAAAATTTTTTTTATGCGTATAGATTACTTTCATTTAACTCACGTTGGGACGTAAGAAATTTACTATCATGTGTAACTTTTATCAAATTTCTAGAGAGGTTTTACTAGGTTTTTGCGGAATTGAGTTTGAAGAGACTGTGTTTCACATTATTTTACGTATGCTAATTTTCTTTTTCTTATAATTTTCTTAAAGAACTCAAATTATATCTATGTGCTTATTAAATATTCATGATATTTCTGACATATGTTACACATTATGTACATATATAAATGATGTACATACGAGTATATATTAGATATTATAATTTTTTTATACACAATATGTTGATGAGTATAAACCTTTAAATTTTTTTTTGGATGATCTAGAAAAAGCTTTAAAGAATTATGCATGTGTATGTATTGCGTATGTATGTATGTGTTGTATTTTTCTTTTAATAAACAACGTTTCTTCAAAAGTTTTAATAAATATTTTATTAAAAATTATAAGAAGAAATTAATTAAAAAATTTTTTTTCTTGAAATATCTGTTAATGCATCGTGAGCAATAATATTTATTACGTGCAAAAGAAAACTCTCTTATTAAAAATTATGTATATGAATTTGTGTATATTATTTGCATAATTAAATATTAGATAATCTTAATTTAATGATGATAAAGTCCGTTCATTTAACAGTTAAACGTGGTTCAAAAATATATTTTTTGATTAATTGTAAAAAATATTCATTAACATTTTTGGAAGAAATATACGACAAAAATATGCTATTTAAAGGAGATTTTAAGGTTCTTTTCAATAACCTTGATATTATCCGCAGATTTATTCAAATTTGAATAAATAGTAAATGAAAAAAAATCGAATTTATTTTGTAAAAATAAAATAAATCGTGTTTGTTTTGTTTTGTAACGAAAAAATATGATAAAAATTTTTGAGTTCACTTATTCGGATTTCATTTGTGATCTTTCTGGCTTCTCTTTAATGAAAATTTAATTTTTAAAATAAATGTACAGATGTCGCACGATGTTTTGTAATTCAAATAATTTTTTTTTGTATGACTTTCTCTTAAACAAAAGTCGAAAATTAAAATTATTATAAAATATTGTTTATAACTTTAAAATTACTTAATTTCTTATGAATAAATTTATATTTTGTAAAATTATGTTAAATTAATAAAGTTCTGTTAAAAAAAGTGAATAGGAAATTAAAAGATTGTTTAATGATAAAGCAACTAATTTGATGAAATTTGACTGGCTAAACAAGAAAATTTTATAACAACGTTGATATTGCGTGGAAAATTGATGTGCGCGGTTAAAAATATTTTATGAAAAATATTTCATAAATCTTATGACGTAATTGTTTGACCCAATTTGTATAACAAATAAATCGCGAAAGAAAAATATTTTTCCATTATTCAATTGTAAAATATTTGTATAACAAATTTAATTTGCATATAGAAAGTTGTCTCTTTTCTTCTATTTCTATGATTCTTATATCTTTTTATTAATCATCCCAAAAAATTCGAAAATCCTTTTTAATTGAATTGCAAAAAATTTCAAAATATTTTGTTTGAGACTGAATTATTTGTGAATTAATTTTAATCTTAAAATATATGTAGGTATATTTAAATTTTGTTGTGTAAAACAAAATATTGTTGAAGAAATAAAAGTAAAAAAAAAATAAATGTACAAAATTTAAATGACTTGTACATTTTTGTTTTCAATGGATTTACCTTTGTCGGATTAATCTGGCATGTCTTTTTTAAAATTATAAGAATTCGAAAGAAAAAAAAATTCAACCATCACAGAATTCTAAATTTAGAAGATAAAATTTTTACACAAAATTTTTTTAAGTATTTTTCTCGATTGTGTTTTGCTTTTATAAGATAAACAAAAATTTTATATATTTAAATTTTTTTTTTTGTTTTAAGAAATGTGTTAGAAAGCGAGAGTAAATACATTGATACATTAAATAAAAAATTGAAATATTCTTACTTTTAAAATTTGTAAAATTTTTAGTATACGCCTAACTTCGATCAAGATCTTTGCCAAGTCTCTGGAAATATTTATTTTAATTTCTTAAAAATTGTTTAAGCAATTTATTACTTTTATAATTATTAAACTTGTATAGAATTACACAAGTGTATAACATTGTATTTTAACAATAAATTTAATATCAACGTGATTGTAAAATTGAAAATAGAATAACAAATATAATAATACACATACATATTGTACATACATACATGATTCTGACAACATGAACACTATTTAAACTCTTAAATAAATTTTACGAATATAATTTTCGCAAAATAAGGTTTTTTCTTCGAAAAATTGAAATCTAAAATAAAAATACGAGTACATTATAACTTTTTTAATAATGGCGTAAGTGAAATTTAACAATAAATAATGTTTGTGTATAAAAATTGTTAATTTGTAATAAAATATTAAAATGTTGCATTTGAATATTAAAATATTTAATTAAAATTTATATGTTAAATATTTCAATATTTTGGAGGTCATAATAATATATACAATTTGTAATATAAAAAAATTTCTTATAAAAATTCTTATAAAATTTCTGAAATCCTAATATTATAGTGTTTTTATATTTTATACGTACTAGTGTAAGTGTACATGAATTTATTTCAAAAATTTTGGCGAAGAAATTATTTTATGACAATAACCTCTACGGGCGGCAATACTTTCAACTTACAAATTTAAACGCATAATTAGAATAAAATTTAAATACTATTTTGTTTTAGTATTGGAGAGTCAAAATTAGATCGTCGTTTAAAATTTATATGAATGGTTTAGCAGCAAATGAATTTATTTATAAAACTATAAAAAAATTTCTTTTGTCAACTAATTATTATAAAAATAATATATATCATTTGTATAATATTGTATAATATAATAATTACATTGCAGTGCAACTATAATTTTGGTTTTAATTAAAAAAATTAAAAATATTTGATTCAATATTTTCCAAAAGAGAAAAATTATAATAAAAATAGGTTTTCCAAAATTTTGTGCGCGGAAACTTTTTAAAATTTTGGCGTGGTATTTATTTTTCTTTCTTTTTTCCTTCAATACTTGTGTGTAGGTGAATAATTGTGATTTATTCAAAAGTTTAAAATTGTTAAGTTGTTAACCTTTAATGGCTTTTTATAAATTTAGGAATGTAGGCATACTAAATGAGTGTAATATTGATTGTGTGCACAGATTTCAAATTTGAAAAGGAAAATTTCAGATGAAAGGAAAGCTTCAAGACATGTAACTTTTACTCAATGTTATAAATGATATACAATTATTTTCTTAAATTAATTAAATAAATTAAGGTATTTAAAGATTCTAAATTATTATTAATGAAAATATTTTTTCTAACGAATTATTAATGATTAGGATGGCAAAAAACTTTGTTAGAACGAATCAAGTAAATTTTTTATGCAACCACGCTTCTCCGCCTTTCGACAATTTCACTAACATTTAACCCCATTCTCGATAATATAATATAATATAATTCCTTTGAAAAATGTTCGAACAACTAGAGTAATTTTTTCTTCTTTTTCCATAGTGGCTTTATTAAAAGTAAAATAGCTAGAAATTTAATTGAATTTTTTAATTAAAAAAAAAAAGTATTTTTTACATAAAAATAATTTTATCTTGCAGATATGGTGTGTTTAACTGAAGACGAACAAACGATATGTACTATTCATGATACAACACCAGGTTCAAGTCAGAAAAAAATTAGTATTATCGTTCGTCCAAATCATACAGTGGCAAAAGTTATACATGATATTAAAACACAATTTTCTTATGAGAATTTTGATTTAATTCTTCAACCGCCTGAAAAGGAACAATCTGTAAGTATATTAATTGAATTTTTATCTTAAATATAAATATAAAATTTTTATTTTTTAAGATATATCTTAATGATAAAAAGGATACAATTTTCTACAAATTACCTGGATTTGTACCAAAAATTAAAAATATATTAATTTTAAGTCCTCCTGACACTATGCTTTCAACTTCGGAATTAAGTAGTGTAACAATTCAAAGTAAAATTAAAGTATCTACAGTAGGAACTAAACAAAGCTTAAAAAACTACAGCACTAATATTAATGACAAAATAAATAAGAGCACCAAAAATTTAGCCGTCATATCATCATCAACCATATCAAACGGTGATGCATTGCATGTTGAAGAAGCTAATCTGGAAATTAGTAAAGATTGTGAAAAATCGAGTAAAACGTCATTCAAAGAAAAGAGCATCGACTCGGTAAATATTTCAGAAACGTTTCATAAAATTTCTGCTGCTATAACAGAAAAAGCTAATACATCAATGACAATGATTTCTGAAACTATTATTGATTGTCCTAAACAAGAAACGAATATTCCAACACTTGTATCAACAGTTGAAATACAACCTACTAAGCAAAGTGAACCAAAATGTGAAGAAAATTTAAAAAAATCTCCTCCTAAAAAATTGAATGTGAAAAAAAAAATATCTACCTCTGAGACTAAAATTGATGGAAGTAATAAAACGGTTGCAAATTGTGAAGAGAATGAGTCAAAAACAAAATCGGTATCAACTAAAAAAGTGGTTGTAAAGAAAAAAATAGTGGACAATACTACGATTGAGTCTAATTTAGCTTCTAAAGAAGAAGAAATTGACAAAGAAAAAAAAAATTCTGTAAAGAAGATTTCAAAAATTACTAAAAAATCACCAGAAAAAACGCTTACAGACAATGTAAGCACTGTAGATACAGCTTTAGTTACCGAGGAAAATGTCAAAAAATCTTCAAAAAAAAATATATCTACCTCAGTTAATCCAAAAGATAATTTAGTTTCAGTTGAAGTTAGTTTGTCGGAAACTACTAGTTCAAAAGAAATATCATATCAACAAGAAAAGTCGCAAACTAAATCATCAAGTTCTATTAAATTAATAAATAAATCGGAAATGACTGCATCCCCAGGAATAATACCATCTGATAATAAACAAACTGGCAACTCAGTTGATGACAAACCAGTGGGTCGGAGGACCATTATTCTAAAATCAAAAAAGATTACTAATAAAATTAATGAAAATTGTGCCAGCAAGCAAAATGTAGAAGGAGATACGGAAACGGTAAATGATGAACTCAGTAACCCCAAAATTTCAACAACTTCTGTTGATCCTGAAGTAAAGCCATTGTCATGTGCCAAAATAATGTCTGCCGATTGTGAAGAAGGAAACGAAACAAAAAATCATAAGCAAGAGTCAAATATCATTATTGCAACTAAAGAGTCTGAAAGTGTTCCAAAACTAATTGAAATGAAAGAATCGTGTGACACATCAAAAAAATTACAGAAGAAAAGTGATCACAATAGTAAAGTTAAAATATCAAAAGGAGAAGGTAATAATAAGCTACCAAATTCTTTTAAAGATAGAGAATTAAAAAAATCAGCAATAGAAGTTGACGGCGTAAGTTTTGTAAATGAAGCCAATGTAGAAAATAAGTTTTTAGATAAAAACTCTCGAGATTGTGTAACTGAAACTTTAGAAAAATGTCAACAACCATCCGATTCAAACAAAGTTGATGAATACATTTATAAAGTAAACGTTGTATCTAACGAAGATTTACTCTTAGATCTCCCGACTAGTTCGTTAGAAAACGTTGAAGCTGCTAATGAGTTAATAAATTTGGATTCTTCATACAATCACGTTAACCAAAGTGATAAGGAATCACATTTGGAAAAATATACAGATTTATTATCAGATGATGATCTAGCTCTGGGAGCATCAGCCAGTCCGACAGAGCCTGATTTCACTGAAACAACAATCAATGTTCCAGTTCCACCAGCTTTACCTATGTTTCAACCAATTGAGTCAACTCCTTCAACCTCAAATAGTGCAAAATTAGACAAAGGAAGCCGTTTTCAATCAAATCGTCCCCCAAATTGTGGCTATGTTGGACTTGTTAATCAAGCCATGACATGCTATTTAAATAGTTTATTACAAGCATTATTTATGACTCCGGAATTTCGAAATGCTCTTTATAAATGTGAGTTTGATAATAGCAAAGATGATATTATACCTTATCAGCTACAAAGACTATTTTTAAATCTTCAAACATCTACTAAAAATGCGGTTGAAACTACTGATTTAACCAAAAGCTTTGGATGGGATTCTACAGAAGCTTGGCAACAACATGATATTCAAGAACTATGTCGTGTTATGTTTGATGCGCTAGAGCACAAATTTAAAAATACGGATCAAGCTAATCTCATTAATATTTTATATGAGGGTAAAATGATAGATTATGTAAAATGTTTAGAATGTAAAACTGAAAAATCGCGAGAAGATACATTTTTGGATATCCCATTACCTGTACGTCCATTTGGTAGCGTCGTAGCTTACGGAAGTATTGAAGAAGCTTTAAGAGCATTTGTTCAACCTGAGATACTAGATGGCAACAATCAATACTTTTGCGAGAAATGTAACAAAAAATGTGATGCTCATAAGGGCTTAAAATTTAAAAAATTCCCTTATATACTAACTTTGCATTTAAAACGTTTCGATTTTGATTATCAAACTCTTCACAGAATAAAATTGAATGATAAGTAAGTGAAAAGTTTAGGAATAATTTTAATTCATAATAGAAATTTTAAAATTTTATAGTAAAATTTTATAGTAAAAAGTAGTGTTTTATAGTAAAAAACTTATGTTTCAGAGTGACATTTCCCCAAATGTTGAATTTAAACGGTTTTACAAAAGATTCAGAATCTGGCATGCATATCCCTTTACAAAGTAATAACACAAATCAAACCAATGGTTATGGAGTGCTCGATGATTGCAGCACAACTGATAGTGGAACAGCCTTAGAAGAAGATAATTGCAGCGGTATCGCGACAACAGCTAGCTCAAGTCATCACGAGAATGAATTACAAGTAAATTGTTTTTATCGATTAATATAAAATAAATTTAAATCTTTTTTTAAGAATAACTTAAGATTTTAATAATATCATTTTTGCCTTTGTCCATAATAACGATTCCTGTACATCAAATATTTGAACCAAAAGTTATACTTAAACTCTTGTATGCTATATGTAATGTTATTTATAGAGATCAGTTAATTACAAATATACAAATAAAATGGTATTTTATAACATTCATTTAACTTCTATAGTTGTAGAACTATACTGATTTAGTTATAAGTTTTTCAGTTACCAAATTAGTAAGTTTTATAAGAAAATTTCGTTAACCAATTGACACATGCATTTGAAGTTAGAAAATATGACTACACGGTTTAAAATTAGTACTCAAAATTTATATTTATAAATAATAATATTAATGTTTACATAAATTTCATATTTCAAATTTAAATGTTATAAATCCAAAAATGCCGAGGGATTTGTTTCCTTCGGCATTTTGGATTTAATTTTTTTTATTATTTAAATATGAGAGTGTTCTTTGATCCAATCCCGTAATGCTGCAACTCTAGTGTAAACACCTGGATATTGTTCAGCAGCACAGCCTTCACCCCATGATATGATACCAACCAATTCGTCATTCAACATAACTGGTCCGCCAGAGTCTCCTTGGCAAGCATCTTTACCTCCACCGGGATAGCCTGCACAAAACATATTGTCAGTTACATCAGCTCCAACAACATCTTCAAAACGCTTAACACATTCTTCAAATTCTATAGTATAAACTTTTACAAATCTCAAAGCATCATTGGACTCTTTGGAGTTAAGAGTGTAACCCCAACCAGAAAGAGTTACCATTGAACTATTTTTAATTTCACGGTCATTTGGTGGTAAATCTATAATAGCTGCTCGTGTTTTAATTGAGATTGGTTCTGTTAATTCCAATAATGAAATATCATTATTAAAAGTAAATGGATTAAATTGTGGATGATTAATCACACGTGATACGTTATATATGAAGCCTCCTTCAGCGTGGTATGTACTACCAACACGAACATAATATTTACGAGTTGTGCTTCTGTTTTTTGACATTAAAAAAGGAAAATTAATCGAATTTTTTATATAATCTTATAAAATACCTTGTGCAATGAGCAGCTGTTAAAATCCATTTTTCTCCAATAATTGATCCACCACAAAAATGAAAGTTGGAGTCCCAAGCCTGTAGTGAAACTTGATATGGGAATTTTCGAATATTGGTTGCAACACCTCCTACAATTCGACTTCTATCAAATGATGCAACTTTAAACGAAAGCGGACTCGCTTGTATAAGACAAAAAAATAACGCAAGCAATAAATATATTTCGGTTTTCATTTTTTGTTTTCGAAGTTTCGTTTAGAAGTAGCAAAACCATTTCGAGTATTTTCTTTTATTACCTTAGTTTTTTCCCGATAAGCTTCTTATCGATTATTTGATAAATCCATGCACTAGATAGAATAAAAACAATAAAGTCGGCAATACCTCAGAGAACTGATAATGTTTTAATTTGAAAACTTGTTAATACCAATTTTGATTTCTAAAATTATTTAATACCACGAAGTGAAATTCAAACTTTTTAATTCCGTAGATTACGTCGCATATTGTTTTAAATATTTTGATATAATTTTTTTCATGACGTTTGAGTTTTAAAAAAAATTCTCACTTCCATTTATATCGCTATTATCGTGTTTTCAAATGCTCTAGTATTGTAACTTATCTAAAGTATTTATTTAATATTTTCAAAAATAAAACAAATATTTATATTGTAAAATGTTGTAATTTTGATTGTCTATTAAATTTTAATATTTTTGCGTCGAAAATTTTAATAGTTCTTAACTCATAATTATTAAATTTTTTAAATACTTTTAGGAGGATGATGAAGGAATTGACACAAGTAATGGCATAGATGGGCGTCTAAATTTCAAGAATGAAAATGGTCCATTTCTTTATGAACTGTTTGCTATTATGATTCATTCTGGTAGTGCTTCGGGCGGTCATTATTATGCGTATATTAAGGAATTCGAAAATGGTGAATGGTATAGTTTCAACGACCAAACAGTAACATATGTGAGTAAATGATACATGCTTGTAGCATATTGCTAAATAGTATATAAATAAAACTATGCTTTCAGATAACACAAGAAGATATTCAAAAGTCTTTTGGAGGCGGTTCATTTAAAGCGTATTACTCTAATATGTATAGTTCAAGTACAAACGCGTACATGTTAATGTATCGTCAAATTGATGGAAAGAAGAATGAAAAATGCATTAAGGTAGATAAATTTCCAGAGCATATAAAGAAGCTTTTAGAAAAGATAAAAACTGATGAAGAAACTAAAAAAGTGAATCGAAACTATGATTCAGACATAATACGCCAAAAAGTATACTTTTTCAATCCTATACTAAAACAAATGAAAGACGCGAAAATATATGTTCCACGCGATTTTGATTTGGAGTCTGCTTTAGATTCTGCATATACGGCTTTAAAAGTGAGTGCCATTGCTTCTATAGAAAGATGTCGTTTAGTAGCTTATGACCATAATTTAGAAGAAATCGAATGTAGCTTCGAGGGACGTGAAAAGGAAGAATTTGGTGAAATTTTAAAAACGCTGCCTGCTGATATAGACTTTTTGTTAGAAATTCGCGAACCTGATGAAGAATTTGAAAAATATAAAAGCGGTGGTGTAACAATTAAGGTATTTGTCATAGATTTGAATACAAATGACTTAGACGGACCTTATTCAGTTCGAGTATATGAAAACGAAAAATTAGGAGGGTTGAAAAAAAGAATAACAAAAAAGTTGCACATTAATTCTGATATTTTTATTTCTATTAACAACTATTATTCGGGCGAAAAAGTATATGTTACTAAAGATTCAACAAGCGCCATAAAAACTGAAGTGGACTTCAAGAAATTTGTTGAATCAAACTTTTCATCTGTAAATTGCTTTTTTATCACAATCCCCGTAGTTGAAAATGAAAATTTAGAAGTATTAGGTATACCATATTCATTAGAGGATATGAAAATTGCTCTTACTCCAAGGCAATCTCCATCTTTCGATCGTAGAGATGATAATGGTTGTGGATCAGATGTTGTTGACGCTGTAGTAATGAATGGAATGCAAAACAGTTATAGTGATTTAAATAATTTTATGAGTAATTCTTCAACGGGACATGGTGATTACAGTAACAGCAGCGCAAATTTTGTGAGTGGAAGGTGCTCACCACCGCAGATATCAATATCGCAGGGTAGTTCTACTGGTAGTAATAGTGAAGACAGTAGCCTCTCTGATGGAGATCGCACGTTAGTCGAGTCAAATCCTCGGGGTTCAAGTCAAGTTTCAAGCACGAGCCATTCACCGCAACTTTCCAGTCCCGAAGATGAAAATCTTATATCGAATAAATTAGATGGCTTTAGTTACACAGAAAAATTCTCATCAAGGAAAGCGAAGGGACGACAAATGTTGAATCAAGGAATTTCTAGTGATGATGAGGAGTTTATTGATTTCGAAAAACATTTGTATTTTAGAGCATGCAATATTTTATCAGTAGACGATTTAAATAAAAATAATTTACCGAATTCAAATACCGATACCGATACCGAGCCTGAGAAAAAACAAACGGAAGAAAAAGTACCAAGAACGTTAAAAGTTTTTGTGGACAAATATATGAAAGTTGGTTCATTGAAAATTGCTTTGGAGCCATATGTAAATGTATCTGCAGAGTACTTTAAAATAATTAAAAAGCAAAGTGACCCAATAAAAAATGAATGTCCAAAGAATCAGGAAGATTTAAGTGTATTTAAAGATGGAGAGCAACTAGTAATTGAAATAGGTCGCGAAGCGAAAAAAGGAGAGCGAAAGGCAAAAATATATTTTATGAGAAGGAAAGAATTGAATGACGAAACTGGAAAATTGCCTGTAGTTTGCGAATTTATATTTAAGCTCGGTATGCTTGCAATAGAAGCTAAAAAACAACTTGTTGCGCAATTACATAGGATAGATTCAAAGTACTATGAAACATTAACCTTAGAAAACTGTCGCCTGTGGGAGAAAAGTGGGAGAAATCCTATTAAAATTTTACCAGATGACTATAAATTAGGAGATTTGAAAATGTCTATAAACTGTGAGGTACTTTGATACGATTCACAATTTTATTCGCCTCAATTTTAAGTATGCAATTTCTTATAGTTTATAGTACAAGAATGTGATGACGGAGTGAAAACCACTACAAGTGAAAACAGTTTAACTTTGTTTGTCAGAAGATGGTACCCATCTAAATATGTTCTAGGAGAATATGAAGAAATAACATTAGAAAGTAAGTAAAGTAATATTAAAATTGATCGCTTTTTACTACTATTTGACATTACTGATTTTATCAGTACGGCAGGATGCATAACTGATATTATTAGGCTCGATTTATTAAAATATTTTTTTAATAATTAATTTTCAAGTTACATAATGTGCAATTTCTTTCATTTATTATAGAAAATAGTGAAATTCGAAAAGTTTTATCTTCAATTTCGCAAATACCAGAGGACCATATTTCATTTGCAAAGGTATGAAAATTTCAGTTTTATCTTTTCATATATGATTTACACTAAATTTAAACTTTAAGGTTAATAGTAGCGCTTTTCCATGTAATAACATATATTTATTGACATTAAATACATCTTTGAGTTGGCTAAAGGAGCCTATGACATTAGATAATTATCCATTACTATCTTCAATATGTGGTTGTGTTTATATTTATAAGTAAGTATTTTTATGCAAAGAAATACAATATGATTTTTTATAATAAAATAATTCATTTAAAGGGACAATACAGAGCCATTGAAAGAGCTAACACCGGAAGAAAGAAAGGAATTAAGCACTAAAGAAAAGGCTCGCTTAGATAGACTTGGTGGCACTATAAGATCTTTATACTCACCACGAAGAGAACGAGCGCTTAAAATTTATTTGGATTCGCCGTCTAAATGTAGTAGAGATGATTAAGCTTAGGATTTTTAAAAGTTAAATTATAATACCAACAACATTAAACATCATTAAACATCAAGAGCCATTTGTCCAAATCATTCTTTGCAGACGCCAAAAAAAAACAAAAAAAATATTTTTTTATTGCTAAATAGCTATTGGTTGAATAATAATTTTTAATTTTTTTATACATACTTTTTTCTATTGTTTATTTTATTAGAATGCAAAAAAAATGTGAATTTCGATATCATAGAACGTTAGATTGAGGATCGAAATGCGATTGCAGTTACTAATTAAACGCGTTTTTACTTGTTAATATTGGTGCAAAAAAATTTTTTTTTGCAAAGAGCTAAAAGAAATTTATTTAAAATATATTATGTATAGCTAATTATGAGACTGTTAAATAAATAAAATTTTCATTTAAAAAATAAATAAAAAAAAGAATCGCTAATAAAAGGAGCGTTTGTTTATTTTTTACAAAACTTAGATAAATTTGTAACCAAAACTTAAAATTTCACATTAGCATTAAAAAAGTTTTAGTTTTCAAAGTTCTTAGATGTTTTTTAAAGTTTCAAAAATTAAGGCACAAAGTGAAATATTTAAAAAAAATCGTTTTATTTTCAGTTCACTTAAAAAAAATTTTAAAAAATTTATTAAAGTAATAAGAAAATTTAAACGAAATTTGGCATGATAAATCCTCTAAAACCAAAATTAGTTTAATTTTAAGTACTAAATAGTTTCCGCAGCAATAAAATGAAAACTGAGTTGTTAATCTTACAAATCTTAACTTGTAGTTATAAAACAAGTTACAAAAATAGTACCGCATTAGCAACCACATTTTTTTGACAACACGTGCAGAACTTCATTGCCAAATCTACTATCATAGTATATTTATAGTAATCATAATTCGCATGAAAATTTACTTGAATGGGGTTTTGGCAACTAGAAGCAAAAATTTAATCTCATTTCTCCATTTTTTTGGAAGCATTTTTATGTGATTAAATATCAAAATATTTATGAGTCCGCATTTCAAAAAAAAAACCCTTGTAAAAAGCAATTTTGTCTATAATACCCCAGAAACTCTCCAAAAACAATAGTTTTATTATCTGACAAAACTGTCAATATTCGACTCAATTTCAGTAGATAATGATATATAGGGCAGTGCCAAGTAATATTCATTCTATTCATTCATTCTATTTGTAAACTTGAGGTAAAAGAAGAAAGGATCAGAAAATTACGCGAAATTTTTCAAAATAAAAGATTCAAAAAAGAATTTATTTTATATTTTAAATTGAGTATCTACACCAGGTGCTAATTAAAAATGTATATAAATGACGACGATTAAAATCCAACTTAAATTATGTTTAAATCTCTATTTATTATTTTAAAATTTTATGAAAGAAAAAGATTTGTTCTTGAAGCGCCATCGTTTTTTTTTTTATTTTTGTATATATTATTATATAAAAAGTTGATATATGTATGTAAATTGTGTGTATATAAAAATGTTATTCGTTGATTTTAAATATTTTCCTAAAAAAATAGGCGATAAATTTTCATAATATTTTATACATTTTTTTTTTTTTTGCATAATACTATTTTTTATAATCTTAATATTAAAACTATTTAAATCTTAATAAATATTTTTCTTTTCGGTTCAACAACATTATTTGATTTAATATAAATACAATGTTACACTTTTCCATTCATTTTTTATTTTTTTTTTTAAATATTATTTTTCGTTTTTTTATGCTTAAAAAATTATCCCATTAAGTTATTTTTAAATTTGAATATAGGCTTACATATAAGTACATACATATACATATATAACTTACATATGTATGTAAGTTGAAAACAAGGTGTAACTGATAATGTCAAATGCCGGTCGACTACAATTGCATCTGACGGTCACCAAAGCGGCAATTAACAATAATGCCAAAATAATGTTTGCATATCAACTATCGTAGAGAACTTTTGCACACAACCGGTTGGCAACTGCTTTAGCAACAAATTATTTAATACGATATTCGACATTTTACTTCAATGCTGTTTTATATGATAATATTGAAAAGAATAATTATTGCAACATAATTCAAAGCGCATTTTACATTATTTATTACACCTATATGTATATTCATGCATAATTATCGTTACAAGCATACATACATTATGAGACCTAAGTTTATTAAATTCGTGTTTTCTCGATTTGTAATTTAATAAACAAATTAATTTTCAGAAACCTTCTTCTCAAGAATTTTTATTGACTAAATTTTTGTTTTGTACTAAAAATATTTTAGAATAATTTAACTATCATAATATATATTTGTGAATTTTAAAAAATTTTGAAATTTTTAATTTAATTCTTGTGAATTCCTTGATCTCTTCGATGTACATATAGATAACATGTTGAAATACCTTTATACATTTTACATAATATGCATTTATATATCTGGATATCACCAAAACATTATAACTTTCTAAGATTCTTAATCAGTATTTTTATTAAATTTCTATTTTAAGTTTTACAATTGGTTTGACACGACACTGTGATTTCAATTTTGGTTTTAGAAAACATTATGCTACAATTTTTTATTAAATAATGAAATTTTGGGCGATATAGAAACTAATGAAATAAGAGCAAAAAAATTATATTACATCAAATAAGAAACAATTATTGACGCTTCAATAAAATTGGTAGAACACAAAACGTACCTATCATGCAATATAATAATTATTTACAAGCTTTAAAGTTAAATAGGAAATTATAAAACTGAACTTTGAACCGTTTATCTCTTCTTTTTTTTAAATAAAAATAGTAGAGGTCCTTTAATCAAAATTATAAATGCAAATTAATTTGTTATAGAAAATTAAATAAGCACATAATGTTTTCCTTGTATAAATTATTACAAGCATTTTTAAGTTTCGTTTAACTTTTTTTACAGTGTTCGTTAAAATGTGAACATAAATATGAATGGATTAAATAATCTGATACCCAGAAATCTCTTTATATTTTAAATGTCAACATTCTAATTATTATAGATTTACATTATTAATTTTTTAACGTTTACATTATACATAACTATTTACATATGTATGCAATTACATTATATTATGTATATATTTGAGTCTTTAATTAATTTTGTATTTTAAATACTAGACGTAATCAGATGGTACAGCTGTCGTACTTTCATTTATTGCAGCTAATCTAGCTGCTCTTCTTGTAGCTGATAAACCTGTAGCACTACTACCACTCGAATCACCTGATCCATCGTTCCAGTGATGATGTAATGGTGCTGACATTACAGTTAAACCAACTACCTCATAAGCACGTTCATTACTAGCGCCACTTGGTAATGCTGTTACAGATAAATCTGAATAATAGGCACTACTTGGAGCCGAGGAAACCATTGGAATGTCTTGATCATGATGTTGAAATAAATATTTCTACAATTATAAATAAAATAATTAGTTTTTATACCTCAACTTTAATTGTATATAATGTTTAAATTAGTTTTCTTTCTGTAAGTCAATTTTATTAAAAACTAACCTCTCCACATTGACTATATGCAGTGTTTTGATATGATGGATTCCCTGACCGAACAGATTCTCGATCTAATTCTGCATACAAAGCTTCACCAACACCTACAGGACTATAGGCGTCTTCCATATGAGTATAATGATTTTCCGCTGGTGATGATGACGGTGGTCCAATTTGATCAGGACTAGCAGAAGATCTTCGATTGCTTAACCATGTCCACACACCGGAATTACTTGTGGGCCTTCGTATGCTATCTCCTGTGTGTTTGGCCGACATTGATGAACGACCATTGTGACCTCGATTATTACGATACCACCAAGGTAGAGGTCGCCCTGCTACAAAAAAATTTTTAGTTCTCTTAAAAATTTTATTAAAATTTATTTGAAAGAAGCTAATCGGCATTCACTTACCATTACCATTTGATGATTTTATTCTGTAAATAAAGAATATTTTATTTTTTTAAAATGAACTGTTTTAAAAAATTTTTGTTATACAATTTGAAATGTAAATATTCGTTTTATATGCACATAACGCTTTTTAATTTTTATTTTTCTAAGCCGTTTTTCCGCTACAAGACATTTTTCTTAAAAACATGCACTAATAAAAGTTATAAATTTCAATTCAATATCCGATCTAATACTTTCTTAACCCGCGATATAAGTAAATAATTGGTTACAAGAACTGCAATTGTTTTGAAAACTGTTATAAGAAATGTTATGCATTTTAATTTAAAAAAAGTACAGTATTAACAAAATTAAAACGTTTTAAGAGGAAACCATTTCTTGAAAGTCTTATTTTGAAAAACCAAAATCATTTTTAGCAACACTTTAGTTATGGTTCAGTCGGTCATTAATCATAAAAATTTTTAGATATTTCATATTAATTCCGAATTTAAAATATCGAAACGAAAACTTCTCGAAATAACATTAGTACGGATAATTTACTTTGTTTATTATTACCTTCTACACCTAAGGACTATTACCATTACTATAGCACCTATAAGAGCTGATATGATTGAAACTATAATTAAAGTAAACGCCCATCCTAACTCGCCTGTTGTTTCTGAAAAATATTAAAGGTACTTATAATTGCCAATATATTCAAAAATTGGAGTATTTAATAAATTTAATTAAAAAATTAGGTTGTAAAATTACTTTTAAATTTCAAGTTTTATTTAATGTCACTTACCAACAGAAGCATCTAAAGAATAAGCATTTCGTTGCCATGCCCAAGTACATAAATCACAGGTAGTTAAACCGTCTGACACTACATCGTCATCTAAAAAAGGCGGTCTTGGTGGTGGTGGAACAAATCGTCCATTCCATAAACCATTTTCACTAGCATCAAATGCCAACGGTGAATTAAATGTATCTTCTTCTATTGCATTTGTCCACCATACATTATCATCTGTTAACAAATTATTTAATATTTGACTATTTTCTAAAAAGCTATTATCTTCGTCAACGATATTCGCAGAAGTTGTAGTAGCGACACTAGACGGTGGAGTTGCATCTATTAATGCTGTATCCTTTATTGTGGATTGAATGATTGATGAACTTGAATAATGGCGTGTCGATGGCCATAATGAATTTAATAATACATCAGCAGTAGATGCTGTTGTTGATGTTGGTCGACTTCTAGTTGTAAGTAACTGATCTACATAACTTATAAATTTTGTATTACTGTAGAAGTTTTGGTTATTGCTATTCGGTTGTGAATGTGGATGAACAGTTATTGTATCTGCTACCGATCCGACTGGATCGGGCAGTTCTAAATTCATGACGCAGCAATATTTTTTTTATTGTGTTATCATAATTTCTATAATCCGGTTACATTAATGGCAGTTCAAATAAACAATTTTTTTCGTTAAATTTTGCTAAGAAGTATTTTGATCTGAAATATTACAAATACAAAATTAACAAAAAATATTGTAATTGTTATTAAAACTGAAAATGCAAACAAAAAATATATTCTTAGATCTCAAAATTGCAGCAATATCTATATTGCATTGTAACAAAATTCTGCAATTGCGACTATCAATTAGACTGAAATATATCATAATACTGGTATTATTGTAATTTTAAAGGTAAGGATTATAATATACGTCGCCAATGCTCAAAGGGTAAAAAGTACTGTAACTTCATCAAAATTGCCGCTTATGAGTTGTGATTGCTTAATCACAATTCCGCTTATGAGTTGTGATTGTTACATTTTTTAATTCCTATGGCATACGTTATGAATTGATTTTACTATACTGGTTAAAAGCACAATTTGAATTGGTTTTGTTTTTTTTTTTAATTTTAGAGAGTAGGTTTAGGTCATTCTACAGCACTCAATTAAAAATTTAAAATATTGCAAGTGGGTTAAACATATTGATTATCGCCATTAATATACCAGTTTCCAATAACATATAGTCGATAGCAGCGATAATATGAATGTATAACATTAATGGATACGCTGAATTAACTCTGATTTCGTATGCCTCTCATTTCAATTGTGACAGCATAATTGAACGTAGAATACTCTTAATAGTAATCATAAGCACACAGTGCTTCTGCACAGTGCTCTTAACAAATTAAATGGAATACTATTTACCATTTATCTTTAAGTTATTTGGTATTAGAACACATTCATACGAATTCGTAAAAATCCATACTTATTTAATTGTATTTATAATTTTAAAATGAATTTTAAAATAAAAGAATGACTACGAAAACACATTTAATTATTTGTACATTTAAATATAAATAATCACACGGTCCTTCTTTAAATTCCAATATCATTAAATTTTACGAATAGCCTTATTAAATTTATAGTTGTTAATGCTTGAAATGTTAAAATTAAGCCCCGAACAGAAGTCAACAAAAAGCTTGAAAATATTGTGAATCTAAGTATACCTACTTACATCTACTTGTATTTCGTCATGGATGAAATATTTTTTTGTTTTGTAAAACATAAAACTAATAAAACATAATTTAAATGGTATTAAATTTATATTTTATAATTTAAATTTTCATTTTGTATAATATTAACTACAAATATGTTAAACTTTATCAAAAAAGCATAAATAATTAAACGAAAGGAATAAAAAGAAATGAACTGGCGTTGGCGTAACTTTGGGAGTTGTACATACATAATAATACAGAGAGACACATGAAGAAATAAATTTTTGGGTTCAACAGTTTCTTACATAACCGGATAAGTACTCTGTTCAGACAGTGTACATGCTTTTTTGTACGTTGTACACACAATTATGGAAGTAATTTCATTTATATGTGGGTAAATATGTATATATATAAATAAATTCTACATCAATTTACAATTATATATATGTATGTATATATACACATCTGTATATATAAATTTATTATTTTATACATCTGTTAATGCATATTATTTTAACTGTTTTCCTTTTAGTACTTTTTTCGCCCCGTGCGCCTAAATAATGCATAAACACACATATTTATATTTATTAGTAAAGAAAAGAGATAAAATATATTCACAATTATATATTGCTGCAAATATTTATATATTATTAACATATAAATGTCTGCAAAATTCGAATGTACAAACATATACGTACGTATATATGTACATGCATATTATGTTTTCTACAAGTATACAAAAACGTCTAATTAAAGTTTATTTTATAAATATAGAGTGGAGTGAATTTTAAGAGGCGTGCGATGATCCTTTATGATGTGTGAAGGATTCAAAACATAAATTGCTTTTATTTTCAATCTCTTTAAACTTTTACACGTTGATGATAAGTTTTCTTTTGAGTTCTCAACTTATAAATCTAGTTCTGATTTGAAATCACTAATTACTTTATTATTTATACTTAATCAAATATTTTATTCAATAATAAAAATTTAGATCATAATAAAGATTTCAAAAAGTTCAACGATCAGTAAGGTGAGTTAAAACAGATTGTGAAATTACTGTTTTTGGGAAAGATTATTTGAAATTTGGAACACCTAGACGTTCGGAAGAATAAAGACTTAAAAATTGAGAAACATTGTCACTTTTGAGAGCATCGAAGTTTCAAGGAGGTGTAAGAAGAAAAAGGAAGAGAGTTTTTAGAGTTTTGCCCGAGAAAATAAACCACTTAAAAATTCCTATGACATAAAATTTCTAATAAATATCAGGCTATGAGAAAAACCATGTTAAGTATTGATTAAAAAAGTTGAAAAAAAAAGACTGGTAATTGAGTTATGACTTGATAATTTCATACAAGACGTAAAATACTGTACTCGCTAAATTTTTATGTAGTATGGTTATTCATAGGACTAATTGTGGTATGCACGGCTGGTAAACAGAATGTTGCGTCTTGGAAATAAACATAAAGACAATTTAGATTTCACAATAAAAAGGGACATTTTAAAAAAGCACCTACATAAACTTGGAAACAATAGGTAACGTTTTTTTAATATTTAAAATAAATAAATAATTTGCAATTTGTAATTATAGATCTTACTGTAAGTTTTCATTGTAAAAAAAAAGACTCATAATGCAAAATGTTTTAGTTAAACATTAAAAAATAAATAAATAAATCAGTACTGTTGCGTAATAGAATGAAGCAAGCCTCTATTTTTCTGCGATTGAAGAATAGCATTTTGCCGTCATTATTACATATTGCAGAAGAGGGCAGTAAAAAATAAAAATTTGTTTCTACTGGTTTCTTTAAAGATCAGTTTTCGTATAAAATATCAGCTTCCCATCTTACAGGGTATAAAAATTTTTTGAACAGATGCAAGAACGAACGGAAATTACGCGATAGCTTCAGTAAAGATTTTCAATGCATATAGCAAATGACTTTATATAAAAATACGAAGATGTCGAAAGGCTTACAATCATTAGTTAGAAAAATGTAGACAAGTACTACTTAATTAATAAATTTAAATTGTCAATTTCTCTTCATATATTTTTAAATCTTAATCTCGCCTTTAATTCAACTAACAAATCAGCACACTTGTAATTCATATGAAGATCTCCTCATACTTCAAAATTATAAACCAATTCAATAAAATAAGGAATCATTATTTTCATTTTATGTGCAACAGACGAATAATTAAATTTACTACTCTTAGTCCATCTTAAAAAAAAAGTTCGTAATAAATTGGAAAATTCCATAATGCATTACATGTGTAGCTTTTATTTTTTTACAGTTATTATTGAGCTTGAAAATGTAGCTATGCAGTGTATCGTGTATTTGAAAAATTAGAATTTTTTATTATAAGTGATAGTGTGACATATTGCATTAGGTGTAGTAAATTAAAATTATATTATTGTGAGCTCTTCTCAAAATTTTTTATTATGTAGTCAGAGAGAGCAATGTGCAATATTTGTTTTTTTTTTTGCAATTTAAAAGAGTCATCGAATGAATTTGATTATTTTGGAGATGTGTTCAAATATATTTTGAAAATAGTCCCGAACAAGCATGAGTGCATCAGTAAAATTTATTGCTTTTCTTGTTAGAAAATCAGAAAATCATAGAGCGAAATATGTGTAGGTATGCATTTAAAAAATATATTTTATTCTTAAATTTTTCTCTTTTCGAAAAATATTATTGGATTTTAATTTTTCAATGCCGTATAGCTATATAAAACATCTATATGAAATTGCATACTTGCGAAAATGTTAACCAAATGCAATGGTAAAAATGTGGAGGTAATAAAAAAAAAATAGCTAAATAAAAAATAAAAAACTTAGTTCAACATTTTAACGATAGAGAAGAATACAAAATAAAAATATCCTTATATATACATATATACGAATAACATACACAAATGTACATAACATTTTTTTTTATTTTTTAATTTAATGTACGAAAAGATGGATGTGTGTATAAAATATAAAAATTATCAAAGTGCAATTGTAATTACAAACATTTATGCACTTTTGTTTATACATTTTTATTTGTTTGTTTGTTTGTTTGTTACAGATATGTGGATCTAACGAGAAATTGTCGAGTAATCGAGAAAGTATTAACAACATAATATGTGCATTTTTTTAAATATTCATCAAGAAGCTTTTGCATCAAAGCTCTGGCTTAATCCTAAAATGCAGTTATGATTATTTATTTATGCTTTTTAGCCCTTTTTTTTGCATTATTTCGTTTATTTTTTTTTCCTTTTGTTCTCTTTTTTTTCTCCTTTCTATATTTTTGATATGTGAAATCGGTCGGCGACCCTCACTCTTCTTTTCCATATATAAGATTTTTTGTGTCTTTTGTTTTAATTCAAAAGCATATTATTTTATTCCTTTCTCGTGTGATGAAGTTTGCGTCGACTCTTTGACAAAATGTTGGAAAGGGAATTCAAATGATTTCAGACGCTTGTTGAAATTTTTTTTTCTGTCTTACGTACTTAAAATAATAATACGAGTAATAATAAGAATTGCTTAGAAGAGGATATGTGGAAACATATGGAAATGAGGAAAATAAACTTGTAATGTCTATACATCAATCGTATTCACAAATTTTATAAAAATTTGTATAAAGAGAAACACATTACAGTAATTATATTATAAGAAATATGGTAAATATTATCATTTCCACCTGTATATTCAAAACGACCTTAGATGATTGACGAATTCGTATAATTCTAAATTCCCTTTTAGAAATTTTTTGTTTTCACAGTGAAAACTATTATTGATTAAATTTTGATAAAATAATCGAAAGAGGCGCAGGTGCAGGTGCAGATGATAAACTCAAGTTTTTTCATACATATATATATAGGATTGTCCGGTATTTTGGGAAAGTTTAAAAAAGAGGTTTTATAAAATAATGTCCGGCTTATATCCATTATAGCTTCTGTCTATCGAAAATCCATTATAGCTTTGGAGTTTTTGAAGCTATAGCAAAGTTTCAAAGCTATAACTGTTCGGATTTTTTTTTGCCAATTGAGTTTGCCATTAAGTACAAAATACAGTGAGTCGATGATTGGTGTCAGATTTACCGTATTAAAATAAATGCGGCATAAACACAAAATTTTGAGTTCAAAAATTTGAAAATTTTTCAAAAAACACTAATTATCTGAAAAAAAAGGGCCAAAATTTTCTCCCCGCTATTACATAATATAAGTGCAATGTTTATATACAAATCTCATAATAATTCTTAGACAATTTTTTTATCACTATTTTTAGTGTTCCACATTTTTCTTTAAGTCTGCAATATTTTCAGGATATTGTTTGTCTAACCTAAAAGTGGCTTATCTTGTTTTAATGAAAACATCTTTTTTCATTAAAGCAATTATTATTCAATTTATTTTTTTTTGTTTATAGAGTAAGCACTAGATGCGAAAAGTTTCTCTTACTCTTATTCTTTTATTTCAAGTTAATACTATTATTAATGTAGAGTGTTAGCGTTGTCTATGTTTATAACAAAAATTAAATTGTTATTAATCTTATTCAAAAGAATGTCTGCTTGCAAAATTATTTTGAAGTATTTTTTGAGATAATCCTTGTTACGTGCCATATTTTTTTAATTTTAAGATTAAAATTTAAAAAAAGGAAAAAATATTATTAAAATTATAATTTTTTTAACAAATGTTTAAAAAAAGGGTAATAATGAATTGAATTTGAATTTTATAAAATGTGTCGAATTCTATCATTTCTTGTTTTTGAAAAGGATTTCGAAATTTTTATCAGGAATTAGTTTTCGGTAAAGTGATTGAACTATTTTTAATGAATATTTATGCCTAATTACATTTGGATTAAACGAGGATTGAAACTATGAATTTTATAAGAAGAAATCCTATGATCTGAATCACAAATTTTCTCAAAGGTGCAAACATAAAGGAAAGATGCAAACTATACCGCAATTTTTCTGGTGTTGCATTCAAGATGTATTTCAGACTTCATTCTCATCTTTTCACCATATTGTAACCAAGAAAGAATCTAGTGAATAAGTATTACTTCTTATATATATATTTTTTTTAAATAATTTTCATGTGAGAAAAATTTGTTTCGTGTTACATAAGTATTTCTCTTTTTCTAAAAATATATCTGATACCAGTCACCATATTCAGTCAGAAAAATTGCATATAAAATAAGATCCTCATATGACGTTATGTCATTTTTCTGATTTGAAAGTAACTTGAAAAGTTGATTGAAAAAGTGAGATTTACAGATTGACGAAAATTATTTTATGCTGCTATGAAAAGTGGCAGTTATAATTGTACAATTGCCAATAAATATACAACTATGACACACCAGAAAAAAGCTTTTTGTCTACCTACATAGTAAAGGACGCAAATTCAAACGAAGTTCAACGCGAAAGCAAGTTTTAATAATATTAATATTAGTAAGTAATAAGCGCAATATTAAAAAAATTTGATATGCAGATTTGTTCCATAAACATTGCAATAAAAGTATCAAATTTTTTTTTTTAAATCTATAACTCGGAAACTGTTGCGTTTTGACACCTACTTCCAAAAAAACGCTTTACTCATTTTCGATTCTGTGTATAAACAATGGCGTTTAAATATAGTTTTGTACAGAATATTCCTGTATAATGAACCGATGTAAAATTAACAAGTGATTTACCAAATTTGAATTAAAAAAGAGCTACAGAATCTGAAACTTAGTTACGAAAGTGTCTTTTATTTCTGCATATTTTTTTAAAGGACTAAATAAGAATTTTTAAAATCGAATTCAACGAACAATATTCTCACAATTTTAAGAAAATAATAGTTACTCATATTCTTCATATATTCGCATTTTTTAAATTGCATAATTTCAGGGGTCTTTAAAAAATATGTGAAATATTCAGTGTTTGAAACTCCACTTTTTTTTTTGAAAATTTAATTAAATAGTTTTTGTAATTTTAATTCACTTATCCCAAATTTGGTTAAGTGCCCTTATACAATTAAGCATTCATACTTCTATAATTAAATGAATCTAATGCCACAAAAGAAGATTTACAGTAATAACTTACTAAAAAAGTAGTTTCATATAGGAAATGACTAGTTTGTCATATCAAAAAATTTAACCGTTTAATTAAACTGAAGTCGACTATATTTTACTAAACACTTAAATATGATTAAAACAAAAAATATTAGTATATTTTGTTTTTTTTTCTTTTTGTTTTTTTTTTTTTAAATTCTGCCTTTTTATCTCGTATCTTTATCAAAAACTACAAAGCGTATTGAATAAGATTTAAAATAAAATAAATGAAACTGACAAAAATTTCACACCTTGCGGTAAGAGAACATTTTTTATAATTACACATTCTATCGTATTTTCCAACTCTTATACGCAGTCAGGCAGTTTATAAAATTATTAATTAGAACATTTTTTTATATGACTATACTCCGTCTATTGTGTGATAATTTAATTAAATTTTAATAATATTAAAATAATAAACGTGCAAGTTATAAATAATAAATGTACTTATATTAAAGCGAGTATACTAGAAAAAATAATAATGACAAAAAATTAATACCTTTGATTCATAACATAATCCAGCGTTTATAATATAACAAATTGTTAAGCTTTATAATTGTTATATTTTCTATTTTCATTAATCCATTTTCAAAGATTACTTATAAAGATCTCTCAGATGTTAAATATAATTTATATTGTTGTTTTTTATGATTTTACAAATACTTATATTTCCTTTCTAAAATTGTATTTCATATTTTATTTTGCATTTTTCTTTAAAATTTTATTTTTAATATTAATTTAATATTAAATTTTAATGCAAATTTTCCACTTTTTATATACCATTTATGCAAACTTAATAACAAAACATATTTTTTATTTTTTGCATTTTTTTTCAATTTTATATGTATATGTGTATAATATGATGTGCAATATATTTTGTAATTTTATTTGAATCACAGCTACATTATATTTACAAAATTAATTATTTAATTTTTTTTTATTTGTATGAATATTTTTTAATTTTCTTAATTATTATTACATAATATAAGTATAAGATTTTTTAGAAATTACATTTGCTTGTTTTTTGGAAAAATTTGCTAAAATTTTTAAGTGTTATATACGCACTTATATAAGAGAGATTTAAAATCAACTTTGTTAATTTATTTATAATTTATTAAAAATTTAAAATTATTCCTAAAATAAGTATATGTTTTATTTAATTTATTTATACTTTTGATTATAATTTAATTAATTTTTTTTTTTGTTTTATAAATAAATTTTCTTTTATATAACAATTTTTTTTTAAATATTCTTAATTTTAAATTTAAAATATTTTTATTTTACACTATATATGTATATAATATGTTTGTTGATATGTAGATATATAAATATTAAATATGTAACTATTTCTTTTTATTTTTTTTAATAAATTGTTTTAAATAAAATCTTGCAACGTTAAGATCTGACGACAAAAAACACACATTCGTATAATATTATGTACGTGTAAATATAATACATGCATTTAATTAAAAATTATACATATGTATGTATATACACATATGTATATATATATATTTGTTATATATACAAATGCTTAATATTTAAAAATGAAGTTTTGATTATTATTACTATTTTTTATTTTTTTTTTATATTTTTCACTAAAATCGCGAATATTTTTCCATCTTGTCGTTGATTTTTTTTTTGTTTCACGGCATAGGTACCTACGTTTTGTTTTCTTGTTTTCTCTTATTGTTAACTCTTTTTTTTTTCTTATTTGGTTTATCTTATTCTTTTTTCTAGTTTAATATGGTAAAGAAATACAAGCAGCCGTCGCAATAGGTAACGGTCATTTTGTTATTTATTTTTACCCAAAAAGAAAACATTTTTTTTTTGAAAGATGAAAAAATTTTCGATCGTCAAATAGACAATTTTCCATAATTTTAATGTTGTAACAAAGTAAATGAATGCTTTCCTCATAAAATATTATAATTTTTTTTTTAAATATTTTCATTTAATACAAAAAAATAAATAATGAAAAAAAAAGACACGTAAAAAAATTAAACGCTAAATTCTAGCATAGTCCCACCTTGTCGTTCAACTAAACACGTACTACTCTGCCATCATAATACCTTGCCAGTATCTTGTTTTTTTGTTTTTCGTTCTCTGTGGCGTCGAACGATGTCTTTTACTTAAGCAACATTTCAATTGAAAATGTTAAAGCATCACACGACAAAAACAGAGAAAAAAAATCGCTAAAAACCAACAGAAAAGAACAAGGAAATTTTTTTAAAACATGTTTTCTTAATTATGTGTACTCTCTGTCTACTAAAAAAAATTTTTATCAATGTATTCGAATAAGAAAGGTTTCTTTTATATAAATAAACAATGTTTGGTTGTTGTATCGTTCGTATAGGTAGGTAAGCTACTCTTATGAAACCGCTGATTAAAGCCATTGCTCTTGTTTTTTTTTAAACAGACAAATGTTGGATAAAAATATTTTAGAGAATAAAAAGAGGTTTTAATATACATACCTAATATACATATACAACATGCATATTTTTATATTTATTTGCAGAAACTCGCTTTACATTGTAGGTTTCAATTTTAACACACCTTTTGGCATGCAATTTTAACATAAACGGTTAAAGCTACACAATATGACAATCTTTGAATTATATATATGTAGCTACAAACAGAGTAAATATTATTTTTTAATATTTAATTATATGTAGTGTTAATAAAATTTATGTTTAATATTGTAAAGTAACGTTGCTAATTCTCAATTGAAGCGTTTCTTGTGTAGTATGCGGCAAAAATTCACATAATAAGTATATTTTTGTTTTCTTTTTTAGCCATTAGTGAATGCTCTCTAGCTACTTACTCTACATGAAAAATGTTTATGTTGCAAAGAATTGCATTGCAGCTGAAAAACTTTTAAAAAAAATTATATAACTTTGAAGTGTTTATGTAGTTGTTTACAATTAACAGATATAAAGAGAAGAGTAACATAGATATTTCAAAGTGTGTGTATATGTTTACCTATGCGAAATGATAAATTTTAAAAAAATAAATATTTTCGTGAGTATATAAAGTTTGCAAAAATAATAAAAAAAAATTACGAATTATGATTAATATCTAGTTTTAGACAAAAAAAAAACAACCTAAAAATCATGATAGAAAACAAGTCTGTTATAATGAGATCTCGATAAATTTTTACACTTTTCCATTTTTATCGATCATTATAAATTTGCCGAATATTTTATTGTTTAACAATACTGTTATACATGGCTATGAACATTTACATAATAATATACTATGTAGATACCTACCTGATTAATACTAGTTTAGTTTGCAGTATGTTTATTTCAAACATAAGATACATTAAGTATGTTTATACAAATGTAAGTATGTGATATGTATATAGGTATAATACATGTATAGGTATGTATATGCGCTTAAATTGCGGTCTATATTTAAATTTACATAATTTAATTGTGTATGTTAATGTATTTTTACTTTTTTGATCGAATTTCTAATTGCAGGTCTGATATGGTCTTTAATGATCTCAAATGATCCATCGAAACAAAAACATGTTAAATTCCGATACAGCTAGTATCCACTAAGTTGAAATTAACACATTGCTTACTGAATATATATGAATTCTATAAAAATATGTTTCTTAAAATATTATATTTGAAATTTTTTTTCTTACCTCGTAATGTACCCGATCACATCCATTAGGACAATTTTAGACTGTGTATTATATATCTACATACGTAAGTAGTTAAAATGAACTATTGAAATATTATGTAGTTCCTATAATGTCATTAAATTTTGCATAAACATAGGAAAAATTTTAGTGTTTTAATTTTACTCCGAATAATTGGTTTTAGATAACGATTAGTTTGAAAATATCAATTCCCCAATTTGACACATCTATATAAACATTTTTTTTTTATGTAAGAGAAAGTGTAATTGACTGAAAATTTTGCATTTACAGAATTTAATGCAGAAATAATGCAGAAATGTTAAACGATGTTAAGAAGCTTTGTAAACAGACGGACGAACAAATCGACTGGATGAAACTTAGTTTTCCAAAATTTTATGGAAAATGTGCCAAATTAAACTTGTTTTTTATCTTATATATCCCCAAAATATAACACAAGAATAAAATTATATACATAATTAATATATAATAAAGTTAATTAAGAACTTATCGTAAACCTTAAGAACTAATTAAAAAAATTAATAAATTAGGTTTTCAGATATTTTCTAAATTTCAATAAATATAAGTGGATATGTGATGATAGTTATAGCGGTTTGATAGAAAGTTAGGTAGTTGTTAAAAATTATTTCTTTTTTGTAAATCTTTTACAAATTAATCCAATTGCAAGTAAAAATAATGTATAAAAATACACATGCAAACACATATATATGTAACTAATATAATTGTATACTTTACTTTCCAAATATTTCTTTTGTTTGATACAAAAATATAAGAAGCAAAAATATTCGCGATGTTTATATTTATAAGCATGTTTATTATTATGTACAATATACACAAACACACGTAATTGAAAAATTCTTGTGGTTAAAATCTATTTTTAAAATTTACAAAAAAAAAAAAAAATACGTACGTACGTAAGTACCAATTTCTCGCAGTATATTCGAATCTTACACACAGATGTGAAATTTGGGACAACTTTCATTTAGTTCAGGAAAAGACCACAACATATTTATACAGTAGCGTTATAAAATATAAAAATTACAAAATTTAGTAGATTTTTTTTTGTTTTTGTTATTTTTTATGTATTTTATTGAAAACTTAATTTTTTTTACGAAATAAATGAATTTCATATACATACATAGGTACATGTATACTAAGTACATTACGTATGTATACAATGGTATATTATAAATTTTTAATGAAATGCTTTTATTTTGCAGTTTTATTTTGCAAAATACTTAATATGTATAAAAATGTATATACATACATATACATACATATATCATTTAAAAACGAACTAAGCATAAAAATTTTACGTACATACATACTCCAATGGATGCATGTATAATTAAATAGAATGCACACATGTGTACATAGATTCCTGATAAATGCATGTGTAAGTAAAAAGGCATTCTAAATTTCTAACGATATTAGTTTTTAAAATAGTTTTAAATTGTTTTTAATAATTTTCAAAGTATTTTCAAAGTATTTTCAAAAGTTTTACACTAGTAACTAGTAATAACATAACTAGTTTGTTATACTACAAAAAAGTATGTGGTGTATAAAATATTAACAGCTGTTAATAATGATTTTATTATTCAATATTACTTTAATACTTTCATAATTTAGTTTGGAAAAAGAATGTTTAAATATTTTTTAAAACTTACTAAAACTATGCTGCTGTTATTGCAAAATATTTTCTATTAACAATATAAACGTTATACAAGCAGAATTCAATAGAAGAAATGTACAAAATATTATGCATCCAAACATATGCATGCATGTATATGTAAACGTATGCACATATAAATGCTAAATTAAAGTATTTTATGTTTCATAATGAAGAAAGAAAGAAAATGGAAAAAAAAAACCTGTATCGCAAGTTCTCAGAGAGCTTTAATGGTGTTCTCGACCTTTAGTGCATTTCTCATAGTTTATTTATAACATATAATTTTTGCCTATGTACAT